ACACCAACTGACCCAGCCGAGGCTCGAACCATCGACCTTCTTGCTGTGAGGCGACAGCACTACCTACTGCGCCACTGCATCGCCCACAATAATTTACATTTTTTTTAAATCTATTTATAACTAAAATTTCGTCAGTAAATGTTTCCATTATTTCTTATCAGATACAACGGAGCAAGATAAACTTTTAATGAACATTTTCAGCCTATGTTTTTAGTTCATTGTAACTTATTAAACTATGTTAATCATGTTCTAACTTAATTTTATAAGTTACACAAGCTGTTTAAAGTCAGTTTAATATAATATATACTGTAAAAAGTGAAAACTTAAACAAATTACTTCGACTTGTTACAATTAAATAAATTAAGTTTGACCAAATTAATTTGACAGTTTTCAGTAATAGATTAAGTTCTTTTAGGTGTTTTATTAATTTATTTAAGAAAACAAGAATGGAACACAACTGTGCATTACAAATCATTCAATATAATCATTCATTCATTCATTCATTCATTTTCTTGTCGGCTTAGTCCCTTTATTAATTTGGGGTCACCACAGCGGAATGAACCGCCAACTTATCCAGCAAGCTTTTACGCAGCGGATGCCCCTCCAGCCGCAACCCATTTCTGGGAAACATCCACACTCACATTCACACACACACTCATACACAACGGACAATTTAGTCTTACCAATTCACCTGTACCGCATGTCTTTGGACTGTGGGGAAAACCAGAGCACCCGGAGGAAACCCACGCGAAGGCAGGGAGAACATGCAAACTCCACACAGAAACGCCAACTGAGCCGAGGTTCGAACCAGCGACCCAGCGACCTTCTTGCTGTGAGGCGACAGCACTACCTACTGCGCCTCTGCCTCGCCCTCTCAATATAATCATTTTAATATAATAATAATAATAATAATAATACTTTGTTTCGTGGCAAGTGCAAGTATTGCTCACTATTATTAGTGAACAATACTTATACTTGCTATAAATAAATTACTAAAACTTGTTACACTTAATTTATTACTGAAAACTTATAAATTATGTTTGTCAAACTTAATTCATTTAATTGTAACAAGTCAAAGTAATTTTTTTTAAGTTTTCACTTTTTACAGTGTAAGTTCAATGGACTCAAGGTTAATTTGATTCAACTTAAAATTTGAATGCAACCAGGATTTTACATTTTTTACAGTGATTAAATCGGTAAATGGAAATTGGAACCATAGCTACTGATGTAGCCAGTAATTACTGAAGTTTGATTCTAGTTAAGCAGTTTTCCTTTTTCCAATAACAGATATTATGCAGGGGAAAGCTAAAATATGAAATGCAGCAGTTCTAAACCACTTACTATATCAATTTAATTAACAACATAAACTATTTAAATGACTCAAATTCACTGTGACTGAAGACAGTTTCTGTTCCATCCAAATACGTCCGTGATTCTATTCATAAATGTGCTTTGAGTCACTTTATCTAAAAAACATAATAGTGAAATTGCTCTGTGGTGTCTTGTTGCACTCAAGATGGTGTTGTGCGAGCTCCATTGACACACTCTTCGCTCCTATTGGTTGTTGTCCACAAAATTAGCTGCTCACCTAAATAAAGTGAGACTTTTCTTAGCTGTTGTCTTGTGACTTGTCGTTTGACATGCCTATATCCAGTTGATAGTCACTTGTGTTGCCAGTAGTTATCAATGCTACTTTAGAGATCAACCAGATTGTGTTGCTTTTTTCATGGTGTAAGTGTTGTTTGAAAGGAATATTTTTGCAAAAAATAAATATTTGTTTACCATCCACTTGTTTTAAAACTGTTGGAGTTTCCTGCTTCTAATAAACCTAAAGAAATATATACTGAGGAATGTTGGGAAGCGGCAGCCGTTGACACCAGGTTAACCTCCGAGAAGTTGGCACCCCATATAAACAAAAAATCTTTAAAACCATGCCTTTTGTTTGTGCTGATTTGTGCTGCAGAAAAACAAACATTTGTGCTGGTTTGGGGTCTGAAATATTAAGCACTATTTTTTTTGATCATGTGTTGTCACTTTCCACCCCATGTTGCTCAAATCACTCCAAATCAGCACAGTTAGTTTGTGCTTGGTTTGTGTCGTTAAAACAAACACTATCTGTTTTCTTCTATTAGATACCAAAATATTTCGGGAGCCGTGTAGGTATGGGCCGGTATAAGATTCTGACGGTATGATGAACTCGGATAAAAAAAATCACGATTTCACAGTATTGTGATTACTGCTCCAAAATATACTCTTTTTCAATGTCCGGATAAAAAACAACTGTTTTCCCATTTAAACACAGTATATTTTATTTTGAGAAACATTTTAAATATTTTGTAACAGTAAACATGTCAGGCTAAACTAATTTTCTGCTGGAGATCCTGTTGTCTTTAAAAACAACAACAACAACAAAAATAAATTAAAAAATAAATCGTACACATACTATACAATCAACGGTATTGCAGAAATTGTTGACTGCTTTTAAACCTTTCCAAACCGCGGTAAACCTTAAAAATGGTTATCGTCCCATGTCTAGAGCCGTGACATCACTTTCCTCCCCATTTTTTTCCAAATCGTGCAAAACTGGTGTCATTTGTTTTTACTCTATTTGTGCAGTTAATCAAACCCTGTATCTCTTTTTATTGTTTAGATGGTTCCCAAAATATTTTGATTAGGCAATGTGATGTCACTCGCCACCCCTTTAAAAAAAAAAAAACAAACGGTGTCATTCGTTTGTGCACGATTTATGCCGTTAAAATAAACACTGTATCCATTTTCATTGTTTAGATCAGTTGTAGGGAACCGCTCGCGAGCCACATCTGGCAGGCCTTTTTTTTACATAGATCTACCAACTACCTGTGGCGTTATTTCAATGACAAATGTCGTGAGCGCAGTATTACAAGTCGAGATTGCATTTATGTAATAGCCTATGAGCATGCGAATCTTTTTGCTTGCGCGCCGATTTCCTCTGCTCGTCTTTTTGCATGCCTCCTTAAGTGTCTCCAACATTTATTAGATTTGCTAGGAATATTTATGAATGTCTCCAAAAGACCTACAGAGCTGTATTAATGCGTCCTGAAGTAAAGTGAAACCTAAACCTTGGGTTAAACCTAAAACCCTAAAGGGTTAAACAAATAATCACAGCACTACTACGGTTACAGAAAAGTTTGTGCTGTTATAATTCACTTACCTTTTAATACGTTTTGTTGTGATTATAACCCGCTATTAAAAAGACCACAACTGAATGTTTTAAATGAAAAGCTGTAATGTAGCCAAGGCAGGATCAATTTTGGAACGGCGCCCCGCCATGGAAGAATGAATGTAGCGGAAATTTATGTACGTGGCTTACCAGCTGTCTCCCTACAATAATATTTTATAACAGTTTAAAAAATAATAACCATCTCTAGAAATCAGTTTCTGATTGAAAATATAATTATAAATACTTTTTGAATTGTAATTTTTGAAAGCAAATTGAATAAGAACTCCGTTAACGACAAAAGGACGTTTCAACCAATCCGCACGTGCGGCATTATGGATAAAGAATTGGTACACCAATAAAGAGCAAACAACTCGCTTTTGTATGGTAATCTTCACATGTATGTAAATTCAAACAACATTCATGAGTGGTGATGGCGACAATAACAACTTTCTATAAATTGTCCTTTTTTTCCATTCATGGACTTGCTTTAAATGCTCATATTTGTTTATTTTTAATTTGTGCATGGACAAAGCTTTTGTTTAAACCTGTAATATTTATTGTATTAATTTATCGTCTTGACCATGTCTACTTGCCTCAATGCAGTGAGCTGCTGCCATGTGATAGGCTGATTATAAATTTGCGTTAAGGAGTTGGACAGGTGTACCTAATAAAGTGCCCGGTCGGTCTTTAAGAAAATGATTTGCTAATAAAAAATCATAAACTGCTCTTTGCTGAAAAAAGGTTCCTCACCCCTGGTTTAGATTTACCCAAAATATTTCGGGGCCTGTGACGTCACCACCTCAGTTCCTCTAAATCGCACAGAAATGGCTGTCATTCGTTTGTGCCATTGAAATGAACAACATATATTTATATTTGTGCACTGAGGAATGTTGGAAAGAGGCAGCCTTTGACACAAGGTTATGAACCTCTAATAATGAGCAGTATTAGCAGTGACGCTTGTCGTGGTGTACACCACATTGTATTGTTATTTTGCAGAACATTGTCATAAGTATTTTTCACCACAGCATTGCAGATCACCACAATTGATCTTGTCTTAAAAAAGGTACGATGAGGTTTATTATTAGAAAGCAAGAAATGTTATGTAACACACTTGTAGGTTGATGTCTTGCTATTACGTCACGCATGAAAAGCAAGTCTGTTCATTGCAACAACGTAATCTTTTCTTGATCGTGAGGTTGAAGGTGCAACTGTGTCAGAGAACTAGCACTCTTAGTACCACTTGATTTGCCATCACTCAAGGTACTTAAAGACTACAAAGTTACCCTTGGGCTGTAATAAAACTGCTAATCGCTCTCCAGTAATTTGTGCTCAGGGAATTCGTTGAGCCTCAATAGCAATCTGCTAGGATAGAATGGGAAAAACATTCAACAAGCTTTCTTTAATTAACTCTACAATGGCTACATAAAGTTGCATAGTTGACATGATATACTTTAACCATGCTAGAAGAGTTCCCTCTGGTCTTTGTCTAGACTTAGATAAGGTTGTCTAGCATGCGTCACAGTACAGGTTTGTCTGCCCGGTTATGCTCTTTTGGAAGCAGCCGGTCCAAAGTTCAAGCGTATATCAGATACTGTGGGAGGAGATTCACACTGGCTCCGCCTCTCTACTTAATAGCAGCCTGCTAGTTTCAGTTAAACATGACAGATGAATGGGTGCACGATTGAACTTTGGCTCGAAGGTCATTTGGGGTAACAGGTGAATAATGGGATTTTCCATATGTTTTGTTGTGTATGTTCATGAGTCTGGTTTTGACCTTTTCCATGTGCGTGCTTTTTCACAGGTATCCTTGTTTTGGAAAGTGGTGGTGTTAGAAGTCTACAGAGACGAAATAGAGGACGAGATCATGTTTTAGAGACCCCCATATTGGCAGCCCATTCTCTACAATGAACAATGAAGATGAGTTCTATGATGCCGTCACAGGTGAGGCATTTCTTTTTATTTGGCATAGTGATGAGTATATGTCTGTTGTTGGACTATTAAAGGGGTAGTTCACTAAAAATTACATTTACACTTTACTCCTTTAATACCTTTTTGACTTTTTCTTTGGTTAAACACAAAAGAAGATAGTTTAAAGAATGCTGGAATCCTCTAACCTTTGTTTTTTCCACTATGGAAGTCAATGGTTACAGGTTTTCAGCATTCTTCAAAATATATTTTGTGTTTAAGAGAAAATAGAAACTCTTAAAGTAGGGATTGGCGATTAAAATTGGTATCGGTGTTGACTGACTAAACACCATTGTCAATATTGATTTAAAAAAAAAAAAAGGTTTGTTATAAAGTTTCTATAAGAAGGGCTATAATTTTATTAAAGTGTGTCTGCTGAATGTGCACCTTCAAAGGAAAGTTAATAAGCGTAGGGTCTAAGTTTGTCATTTACAATGGGGGTGCGTATGGGAGTGGCACACACGTGACACGCGTGCATTTTCCAGCCGCACCTAATTGAAAATATCTCAACTTTTCTAAATGTGTCGAGTGTACTGCAATTCATGCAAGTAGAACTTGCATCATTTATCAGTGCGCAAGAGAGGCAGAGTTCGTTCTCAACGCTCCGCGCTCAACTCAAGTTTTTCTTATTCTATTCAATTCAATTCAGCTTTATTTGTATAGCGCTTTTACAATGTAGATTGTGTCAAAGCAGCTTCACATAAATGGTCATAGTAACTGGAACAGTGTGGTTCAGGTTTTAGTGTTTAAGTTCAGTTCAGTTCAGTTTAGCTCAGTTCAGTGTGATTTAATCATTACTGAGAGTTCAAACACTGAAGAGCAAATTCATCGATGCGTAGCTCTACCCATCCTGAACCATGCGAGGCAGTGGCGACAGCGGAGAGGGAAAAAAAATTTCACCTGATGGGAGTGAAGAAAAAAAACCTTGAGGGAACCAGACTCAGTTGGGCACGACCATTTTAATTTTTCCGCTGGCCAAAAGTCTTAATCAAATTTCTCCGTGTTGTGCGACATGATGAATTGATTATGAAATTCGTTGCCAATGCATTTAGTAATCGATTGTAATTAATTTAATTGTTGCAGCCCTAATGGAAAGCATCGTCAATGCACCGTGATATCGAATTGAACCGAATCGATGGCTTGATAATCGTAACCGAAGTGAATCTTAAGACTGTGAGTAGGTTTACACCCCTAATAATTATGATAAAAAAGCCACTTTCATCTACTCCTGCTGCTGTTTTCCAGCTGTATATGAAGAACTAATGAATGAAGATTTGTGCTGTTAAAACCTAAAGCAGGGCTTGAAATTTTGATCGCAAATGAGCTCGAAATTTTACCTATGCCACCTCAAAATATATTTGGGAGCATTTGTGCGAGTGCTAAAAATTGTTGTGTGCGACCAGTTTTTACTGCAAAATGTTCACCACATGCGTGGATTTGGTAGACATTCACGCAGAATGCATCTCTGCACTTGAAACGCGAAACACAGCGCTCAGGAATGGTTTAAAACGGTTGCCATGTCAACTTGCTGCAGTAAACAAAGCCAAGTCCGTAATGCTTGGCCCGCCTTCGCGCTCTTCTTATTGGCCCACTGCTCTAGCATATCAGCTGTCAATCACTTAGTCAACGCCTTCTGGCTTGGCATGACAGAGAGCTACTACCGCGAAAATTGTAAAGCGCTGAAGATGAGAATGAAGATAACACTGACAGATTTTGTTTTAGAATACCATGGCATCTAAAGTTACAAATAATGGCACATCTGTAGTGACCATGTGCTGAATGTTAATCCACCATCTACACTTTTCGAAGAGTGGATAAAAGTATTCCATTGGCTTCAAGTCCACAATGAAAAGTCTGTGGGGTGGAATTTTCAGGTAACTGTTTGCCACATTTAGCACGAGAGCTTCAGTTTAATCCTTCATAAAATCGCCAGATGCTGTCCGCCGTGTGAGTGGCAGATATATGTATAATTTAATACCACGTACATCTTCGCAAACGGGCTTGCACTGAGTAAACTAACATTGCTACTCATGAAAAGAATTGCGATTAACATGACGTATGCATATAATAAGGTACAGTATATGTCAAAAGCATCAGTGCAATATTAGACACGACCCGTGAGAACAGCACAGTTATACCGTTAACAGATTCATTCATGTCAAGCAGTGCGTGCAAGGCCGGTGAGTGGTCCGTGTACCGTTTGGTCATTCAGTTATGTTATAAAAATTTGTTTTCTTGTGATAACGGGATTTCGTGGAGACATTTTCCGCACGCTTGCATATATATTTTTTTGCTTGTTAGTTTGATTACTGTTGATTTCAAATGCAATAAATATGTTTGTATAAAACTTGTAGAAATGGTGCTTATAAGTGCGACTAAATTTTGGCTGATGCGCCTAAATTTTTAAAGTTAGGAGCACCGGTGCTAGCAAGCAAAAAGGTTAATTTCAAGCCTTGTAAAGCTTCAAATCCTCCAAGGAAGCAGGTTGAATGGCTTAATTCAGGATCAGAAGTCATTCCTAACATCACTTCTGTAACAACACAAGCCCAACTGGAGCTGTCGCATGTCATGAAAACATTGACTTTCTCTTAGCGCTGTCCGAGATCACAAACACACACACACACACACACACACACACACACACACACACACACACACACACACACACACACACACACACACACACAGCAGTATTAAACAGCTGTGTTTTCAGAGGACAGTCTCATTTGTCCCCTATTGTGTTGTGGCCACTGTTGACTTTTGGATCGAAGCCTTGTGTGTTTGTTATGACAGACATTGTGTGCTGTGCTGGTCTGGTGTCAGTTTACCTTAGTCCGTTGATTGCTTCAATTATGCAGTGCTGCTTTCAGAAGATCTGATGGCTTCTGTCATTGTGGAGATGAAATTGATGTCATGAATTAATAAGCATGGCGATGTGGACTTTGGCGGGTCTTTGTGCTGAACTCTGATATCAGCTCATGCGCTCATGTCAGGTGGTACAAAACGTGAAGGAGAAACATTTTATGTCATGTTGTTGAAGGGAAGGTTCCCCTCTCAATTTTAATTTACTCTGTTTATCATGTTTTGGTGTCTGCATCGAAATCATGAATTCATTTTCTATTTATAGAAAGCAAATTTAAAGCACTTAAGGTGTAAGTGACTAATGTTTCAAATGCCTTCTGAAAATAAAATGTTAATGTCTACTAAGGGTGTCACGATCCTCTAAATCCTCGATTCGATAACATTTTCGATTCTAAAGTCACGATTCGATTCGATTATGAATTATTAATTAATTAATGACCAATTAATTATTTGTAGCCTACCGTTTAAACTACCTGACCTGCATGGTCTTTGTTTTACCCATAAACAAATCATACAGTAAATGAATAAAGGCAAGATACACACATAATTACCACCTGTCAATCACTTTTTTCTGCGGGACTCGTGAATAGGCAGATATCTGTGTCGTTATAATGGCGTCGGTAAAAAAGACGCACAACCAACAGGAACCAGCCAACAGTATCTGAGGTGTTCGCTAAAATGACTAAGTACAAGTGAGTGAAAGATTGAAGCAGTCTACTGATCCTCTGACTGCCTGGACCTGCTGTCTCGAGCGCATGGCTGTGAGTGCGTCTGTGTCTGTGTGGTCACGTGATGTGCATTTTCAGAGGTAGAGAGGAAGGAGGGCTGCTCAGAAATGCTACACGCCACTGTGGATGTGGATCGTTGTCGTTCTAAAATGCCATTTAAAAACAAAGACAGTGTAAACAGGGCCTGACTGTGTACTTTTCGCGAGCGGATTTGCAACGGGGGCAGGCGGAGGATCGCGATGCCGGTGTTGTCTATCGGACGAACCGTACGTAATGCGTACATAGCAGAGCTTGCAAAACTGTGTTTTTTTTTGTCGACAACACAAACGTTGTCAACATAACTCACTGGAAATCCAAAATGCTTACACACCGGCGACTTCATTGAAAGAGGAGAGGGTTTAAGTTTTGTCGACGGGTCTCCTGCAGTTTAACAAGCACTTCAACAAGCCTGTTTTTTCCCGCTTGGCAAGCCAAGCTGATGTGACATGGGGGCGTGGCAGCATCGACGATTCTATTTTTTGATTCGATAATCGAAATTGTGACACCCCTAATGTCTACACTACCTAATAAAAGTCTTGTCGTTGATTTCAATTTTAAGAGCAACAACTAATAACTTGACTTCTAGTTGATCATTTGGAAAAGTGGCAGAAGGTAGATTTTTCAGATGAATCATCTGTTGATCTGCATCTTAATCATCATAAATACTGCAGGAGACCTATTAGAACCCGCATGGACCCAAGATTCTCTGAGGTATTAAGACATTTGTGCTGCCCATTACATCACAAACCACAGGAGAGGGCAAATTCTTCAGCAGGATAGCGCTTCTTCTCATTCTTCAGCCTCCACATCAAAGTTCCTGAAAGCAAAGAAGGTCAAGGTGCTCCAGGATTGGCCAGCCCAGTCATCAGACTTGAACTTTATTGATCATGTCTGGGGTAAGATGAAGGAGAAAGCATTAAAGATGAATCCAAAGAATCTTGATCAACTCTGGGAGCCCTGCATGAATGCTTTCTTTGCCATTCCAGATGACTATTAATAAGTTCTTTGAGTAATTGCAGAGATGTATAGATGCAGTCGTTCAAGCTCATGGGAGTCATACACATAATTTTTTTTTTCACTGCACCATGACTTTAAATTCTATTCTGTACATTATTTCTGTTAAGTGACAAGACTTTTGTCTGAGCAAAGTCAGAACTTACTTCCCTAATTAAATAATTAAAAATCAAGGCATGTTCATAATTTGTTTTGGTCAAATAATCATGATCTAGAGGCCTTTGTCTTTCATATTAACCACTTCTGATACCAAATGATCAACTAGAAGGCAAGCTATTATTTGTTGTTTTTAAAACTTGGATAGGAGACAAGACTTTTGTCAAGTAGTGTAGGTGAGAAAATATTCCATTTTCTCACAGTATAACATATTTTATGTGCAAAATAAACTAAATTCTGCAATTACTTTTATGACCTGTCCGGTAATATTTAATATATGTAAATGAATAAACGCCAAACATTTTATTATGTAAGATGATTAAACCTATTGCTGACAACTTGGCAAAGGGTTAGGATTTATAATGACATTTAATTATTATTTTGGGGCTGATCTGGGATTCAGAAAGTTATTTTATATATATATATATATATATATATATATATATATATATATATATATATATATATATATATATATATAATTTTATTTTTGAATTTTATGGCAAATTACAGTAAAAGAAAAGACAAAAACAATAATACTTTGAAAACTTTAGATAGCTTAAGCACATACAATGAAATAAAAAAAAGTCATACCAACAAATAAAAAGGTACATAAGAATGCGGCTTAACAAAAACTACAATTGTATCTGTATTATACAATACAGTCTTCTTTGAACTTAGGAAAGAACAAGAATCAGTTTGCTGGATCAAGGACTTGGTCTATATTTGACAATAAAACATGTTCTTGCATACGTTTCCTAATAGATCCCAAATTTTCTTAGAGAGTTCTTCAATGTCATCAAATAGTTGTTGTTCTAAATATAAAACTATTATAATCATTAGAAACTAATGTCACTGAATGAGTTTTTAGTGAGTGCCTTAATAAATCGTGAAAATGATGTGTGATGGTTTTTACAGTTTAGCTGTATTACAAATCTAAAAACCAAATAATTGAATTAAACGGTCTACAAAAAATATTTAAATGTTTTCAATATGGAATCTTATTTTTCTCCCTCAAGCAGTCTACTTTTACTATATTACATTTCAAAAATATGAAACATGCTTTTGTACCAATCATATTATGAATATAATTTAGACATGCATTTGTGTGGAGCTATAATTGTTTTTAAATTGAATTAATTCATTTTTTTCTGAGAATGTTTTTTAATATCTAAAAATGTATTTATTGTTCATGAAAATAATGATCAACTTATTAGTATTGTATTTTGATTTGGTGTATACTTAAACAGGGTGTCTTTAAGTCAGAAACAAAATTGTAGGCCTTAAAGTCTTAAATTCGCTTAAATATTGTTTAAAGAACTGTTTGTGCTCAGAGAATTAAGTGGTAGAGCAATGGTCTCAAACCTGATTCTTGGAGGGCCGCAGCTCTGCATACTTGAGCTCCAACCACATCCAACTCACACCTGTTTAATAGTCTCTAGTAGTCTTGAACACATGGATTGCTTGGATCAGCTGTGTTTGATAAGGGTTGGAGCAAAACTGTGCAGAGCTGCGGTCCTCCAGGAATTGAGATTGACACCTATGTGGTAGAGTAAGCAGGGTATTTTTTATATAGAGAGAAGAGTGTTTCTACAGGTGGTTTGTCAAGCCCACTCACCTGCGTGAAGCACACTTGATAAACGCACAATGTTTTTTTTTTTTTTTTGCTTAATGATATGGAGTGAATGCAAGAAAGTGTCAGAGAGAAGAAAGACTGTGTATTCTACAGGTAGTTTATCAAGCCCACTCACCTGTGTGAGGCACACTCAGAAGAGTTCCATCATGTTTTGAGGTTGTGCTGAATTTCATTTGTAATAATCTTAAGGTCTGTAATTTGACCTGGTGAAACCTGCAAAACCCCTGTTAAATGAACTTGAACATGTTTTTTATGCTTGTGAAACTTTCTTTTATTATTATATAAATTTGTCTATTTTACCTCCCTTTAACTGTGCATTTTGCTTTATCTAGTTTTATTGAAAAGCCTGCAGGCATGCATCTTTGTCTGTCTCTCTCTTAATAAGAGATGTATGTGCTTCCCAGGCTTGGATTCAGACGAGTCATGTGAAGGCACATCAGAAGCCAGTTTTAAAGATGCTGTAGTGTATGACGGCGCTCAGAAGAACAATGGAGCGGTTCCACAGGAGAACGGAATTAAGAAGCGCAGGTATGGCCAGATTCCAGCGCTGTGACCCGTCAATTCCTTTTGTCAAGCTTAGTGTCTCTGCTTTTAATCTTCTCACTCTCCCTGTTTCTAGATTTCTATTGTTCAGATAGAATTGTTCGTTCCAGATCATTTATAATATGTGCATTCTTCTACTGAGAGAGTATGTTTGTTTACAAGAAAACCATCTTTTTCTTTTAGGTCGTGTCTTCCTGCCCCCATGTTCTCCAGAAATGATTTTAGTGTATGGAGCATTCTCAAGAAATGCATTGGACTGGTAAGACCAAAACCCAGAATTTCTGGCATTTTATTAAGTATAAATATATTTAAGGATAGTCCGGATTACTCATTAGTGATTACCAGTAGCTAAATAATGTCTACTAGTCACATTCTTTGTAATGATTAATGGATAGTTCACCCCTAAAACAGAAATGAGAATTTACCTGAACATATTAGCTGATCTTCACGTCTAACTTATTTAGATTTATTCTGCTAACAGTTAGCATAATAAATACACAGCATACTACTAGAGTTTGCTTAAAGAACTTCAAATCATATGCTGTTGCAGTTCTAAATGTATTTGGTTTCATTTGTACTTGGTGTTTTTGTTGGTGTCGGAGTTCTTCATCGTACTTGTACATCATTTCCACATACTTTGGTTTTTGCTTATGATGCATATAATTCTAGTTTAATGTTCCCTGAACTCCGTTTTGTTGCTTCTTCTGAAAAGATAACATTTGTAGTGAGGCCAAAGAAAGCATTCAGACCTCCTCAGATTGCAGAACGTAGCGAAAAATGAACACAAATGCTCTTTCTTTTTAGGGAAATGTCAGTGAAGTAGATTCATTAGTATTTTTGGCCCTTTTTGTCATTCGTTTTCACTTAAAGTCCAAAGATTCTCTTCTGTCATGTTTGATCTGTCCTATGATGTGTAATGTTTATCACTCATTATCCCTCGCTGGTGAAATATCCTTTGGAGTTTTGTTAATGGTAGGTTTTAGTAGGCCTGCTCGATTGTGGAAAAATCATAATCACGATTATTTTATTCATAATTGTAATCATGATTATTCAAAACAATTATCAGTTGGAGTCAAAATTATTCGCCCTTCTGTGAATTTTATATATATATATAAAATATATATATAATTTCCCAAATGATGTTTAACATGAATTTTTCACAGTATTTTCTTTTTTTTCTTTTGGTTAAAGGCTTATTTGTTTTATTTTGGCTAGAATAAAAGCAGGTTTAAATATTTTGAAACCTATTTTAATAGCTCAATATTATTAGCCCCTTTAAGCAATATATAGGTTTAATTGTCTGCAGAAGAAACTACTGTTATACAATGACCTGCCTAGTTACACTAATTAAGCCTTTGAATGTCGCTTTAAGATAAATACTAGTATCTTGAAAAATATGTAGTAAAGTATAATTTACTGCCATTAAAGATAAAAGAAATCAATTAGAAATGATGTATTAAATCTGTTATGTTTAAGTTGTGCTTTAAGCATCTTCCCTGTAAGAAAAAAACTGGCTACAAAAGTCCTTCAGTCAAGAGCAGTGAGGGATTTTCTCCTTTTGTTGTTTTATTCATAATTAAAGCAGTCGGCAGCAGGAATATTGCACGCTGTCACTTTAAGAATAGTGCGGCTCTGATATGGTTTCTTTTTCACATGTCTTTTGATTCTTAACTTGTTTGTTTATTACACAATTTGTTTATTACACCGCGCTGTTACATAAATGTGCATGTATTTGACCATTAAAGTGCTCGCATTAAGATGGCATTAGATGCGTGTGCTCTGCTCGTCTCTAAGCCTGTCCGAAGCTAAGCGCAGTGCGCACGCACACACACCAACATGCGCTTTTAAAAAATATTAATGATTCGATCATAAATCAATGAAAGATGCGCATCCCATGCTGCAAACGTTACATTACGGCACATGCTTTTAGTCATTTTCACGTGAAACTGAGCTTTGCAAAGCAACGAATGTGTACAACTGGAAAGGGGGCAGTATATGATGGAATAATCGTTTATCTCGATTAATGGTTTTTCATAATCGTTAGAAGCCAAAATCGAAATCAGATTTTCGATTAAATGCACAGCCCTAGGTTTTAGTGCAGCTCTCTGAGGTAAAAAGTTTAAAGAATGTTGGTAAGCAGACAGTTAAAGATAACTTGACTTTTAATAGTAGCAACTGTACTGGGCAGAAAAATAGTACTTGGAACTGATTACAATCGACTGGTTTTTAACCAACATTCTTCAGAACATCTTCCTTTGTGTTCAATAAAAGAAAGAAACTCAAACAGGCGAGTAAATGAGGACAGAATTTTAATTTTTGTGGTTAACTATCCCTTTAATATGCCCACATAATTGTAAATAAAAAAATGGGGGGGGGGGTTAATTATTTATTTAATAACTTTTATTTTGATTGATTTGGACATTCTTTGCTTTTTGATTTATCTTTTCAAAATTTGTAGTTTTTTTTTTTCTTATTCAAAGAGCTTGAATTTCTAAGAAGTTCTGCATTTAAATTTCTTGAAAGCTCCTTCTAAGAAATCTTACCACTGAAAATGATTGACTAAACCTGTTACAGTCAAAAGAAATGCTTGTGGGGGTGCTTTATGTTCATACTGTCATATCTCACAGTAAAGACCACATGTCAAGTTGATTTCTTGGGAACATATCTTAAGACATTCATCTCATTCATTCATTAATTTTCCCCACATCCAGCTGGTTTTCTTAGGGGCCCCTTGAGAAACACGTCCAAACACAGTCTATTTTAACATGCGACTAAAGCAAGATAACTGTACTTCGTTTACTTTAAAATTGTCATTTCGCACAAAACTGTAAAACCGCAGTGGTCTTTGGTCCTGTTAAGTCTGTTTGATGTTGTCGTTTTCTAGGAGCTGTCCAAGATCACCATGCCCATTGTGTTCAACGAGCCCCTGAGCTTTCTACAGAGACTTACTGAGTATATGGAGCACACATACCTCCTCCAGAAAGCCTGCTTACAGAGTGACTCCATAGAGAGGATGCAGGTGAGACCATTTCAAGGCATTGTAAAGAAGTTTTACATCTAAAAACAACAAGGGCTCCTATTTTACGACTTTCACAAGACGTAAGATAAGTGTTTGATGTCTTCAGAATGTGTCTGTAAAATTTCAACTCAAAGTATCTATCAGATTGATTATTATACAATGCAGAAAATGCCCATTTTGGGCTCAAAAGAAAGTGTAGGTCAGGGCTATGCAATTAGTTTGTCATGGGGGCCAGTTCATGAACAGCATCCCAAATGAGGGGCCGGAGAGAAATTACATCATATGAGTGATGACAGATAACAGCATCTAACAGCTCATATGTTGCACTTTTCCAGAAGACACCACATAGTATTTTTCTACAATAAATTCTTAATATGTTGTTTTTGAGACTACATAATATCAGTGCATTGTACAATAGGCTTTTTTACTTTATTTTTTATACAAACATTCAAATATTGTTTTACAAAGCCCAACAACATCAGTGCATTGCTTAAGTAGGCTTCTTCTACATTCCAACACATTTATATGTTATGCTTTGAACTGCATAACAATTATGGATGCACCAATAGTAGATTTTGGTTGTACGATTATATAGTCTGAAGAATAATTATGGTTATCTCATGTCTAATGTAAATTGAAGCTATGAATTAGCAAAGTATTTAAATAAACGATTGTTATCATTTGCATTCATATATACAATCATTTTTAATTATTTGTAATAATTCGTCTAACATATTTTGTTTACATTGCACTGAAAACCATGCACAACTCTCACCGCTACGGCGTGAGATGTTTTCTACTCTGTCATATCGCTCCGCTTGCTCACACATATTGTCATATATTTTTACATTGGAAATAAGAACTTGTGCGAAAAAGACGCAATATGTGAATGGCCCGCTGCTATAGTTAATTCAGTGTATGTGCGTATTAGCCTTGGTGTATAAGCTCGGAACTTCAAACTAGCACACAGTTAGCATAACATTTAGTTGCAGCAGTTTTATTCTGTGCAACAGAAATGCGGTGTTGAGAAGCCTTTACGATTAAGTAACCAAAAATACACCAGCTAGACAGTGGCCTATTGGTGACGGAATTTTATTGGCTGACGCTGCTATGATGATCGCGTTAGCCCCAACTTCAGACACTCCTTCAGTCAAGCGTTGACGCTGAAGCCCCGTGTGAATGGGGTGTTAAAGTCAGGTGACTCATGCTCTGCGCAGCCTTTAACAGCACCTCGTGCTGTATTGAACAGACGCCACTTCACTGTATATGTATAGCGGCAGTTTTTCGACTGAACTAAATTTATTTTTGATGTCTTGGTCACACTATTTGTGTGTAGCTGTTTTTGTAGCTTGTGCCTTTAAATGCAAATGAGCCGGTTCTCCCCACCCACCATTCCAGCTTGCGTGTCTGCTTCTCCTGCGTTATTTCAGTCAAACAGCAGTCAGTGGCCAAGACGGACATCATTCAGTTTATGAGTGAAATATACAAAGTAAGATTATTTGATGTATTTGTTAGGGAAGTATTCTTTATTTTATTTTTTTATGAAAAATATGCTTTATGTTTTTAAAATTTTTTTAACTCGTGAAATCCATTCTTGAAAGTTGGAACAGATGTTTTAATCCCAGTTTTTTTTTTTTTTTTTTTTTTTTTTTTACAAATTCTGTTCTGTGGACATGTATACGTTTTACTACGGACTCGGTGACATGTTAATACATGCCTGTCAATTAATTCGGTGGACAGGAAAAAACGCACTCGTACATTATGTTGCGGTGGGCCTTAAAATCGCTGGGGTTTGAATTATCTTATTTTTTAATAAAAAAAACTTCAAATTAAATTAAGAGACTTTTTCTGTTTATATCACTTCAATATGACAGTGAACACTGTATACGTACTGACAGTTATTTCCAAACAGCGGTGGCCAATGGGAAGCGACAACACTGTTGGTTTTCTTTGTGACCACTTCTTTGACACGGCCTTGTTGTATCTCAAGCTTTACAATCTGCTTTATAAATTAACATCGTTTCTGTCTTGTCTTTTAGACTGTAGCGGCCTTTGCTGTGTCTGCGGTCGCTTCTCAGTGGGACAGAACTGGAAAACCTTTCAACCCGCTTTTAGGAGAAACCTATGAACTCACGCGGTAAGGACGACAGCGTTTCATAAACTACACTGATAAGATTTGAGGATGTCATTTAATGCTTGTTAGATTAAGATTTGCTCTGGAGGGACATTTGTTGTTTGACATTTATGTAACTCTACTTCTTCTTCCCTTTTAATACATCCTTCCTACTTTTGTTGGTTTCTCTTTGACTCAGAGAGGATCAGGGTTTCAGACTAATCTCAGAGCAGGTGAGTCACCATCCGCCCATCAGTGCGTTTCACACAGAGAGTCTGATGGGCGACTTTGTTTTCCACGGATCCATCTATCCCAAACTCAAGTTCTGGGGCAAAAGTGTGGAGGCAGAACCCAAAGGGACCATCACGCTAGAGCTTCACAAGTGAGTGTGCCTTGTTCATGCACACACTTGAATAGGAAATACAGTGGGGGGAAATAAATATTGAACACGTCATCTTTTTTCTCAGAAAATATATTTCTAGGTGCTGGGGACTTTAATTTTTCACTAAATGTTGGTAACAACCAAACAAATTAATATACGCAAAGAAAACAAAACTAATTAGCTTACAAATTAAGATGAAATGATACAGGGGAAAGATTATTGAACACATGAAGAAAGGGAGGTGTAGAAAAGGCAGTGAAACCCCAGACAGCAGCTGAAATCTCTTTATAGTTATTCAGGAACCCTCTGCCCATTGTCATTCAGTTTACATCTACATCATCATGATGTAAGAATAAACAACGGTGGACCTTTCAACCAGACAATAATGCAAAACACAGCCAAAGACACTTAAAATGCTATCAGCGAAAGAAACGAAGCTGTAGAATGGCCCAGCCATCACCTGACTTGAATCCAGTATAAAATACAAAATAAAGATCAGATTTAATAGACCATCAAGATTTTTACACTCTGTTGAAGTCAATGGAAAGACTCATACCTTAGCAATGCATGTGACTTTATTCTCCATATGTGAGGCTTCAAGCAGCCGTCACCAAAAAAGCCTTTTATATAAAGTAATAAATACATTTCAAAAGTACATAATTGATAAACATATAAAATAAATAAATAAACCATACTATAACCCTCATATTGTGCAACACACAGTATTCGATGTGCATAAACAATATATGATGTACATTCATTTTACAAATTGAGCATATAAACAGGTCAGTACTGAAAGTGTAGGTTGTTTGAGTTTTTACCAAAACCTGATTTGATTTCATGTCAAAAGCTCTTTTAGAAATATTATTCCCAGGAAAAACATAATGTGTGAATGAGATGAATGAGATGTATTATATATGAACAGTTCAGATGCAAAATCCACCAAGTGCTATATGAATATTTCTTCTAAAATTAGCTATTTTCTAAGGCTCCTGTGTGTAGGTTCAGTAAGTTCACTGTCATGGCAAAGAATAGGTAGTTTTTGTTGCCTTTAATGTGAGATAACTGAACATAAACATACAGTTGAAGTCAGAATTATAAAACCCCTTGAATTATTAGCTCCCCTGTTAATTTTCCCCCCAATTTCTGTTTAACGTAGATATTTTTTTCAACACATTTCTAAACATAATAGTTTTAATAACTCATATCTAATAACTGATTAATTTTATCTTTTCCATGCTGAGGGTGAGTAATATTTGATATTGTTTGATATTAGATATTGTTCAAGACACTTCTATACAGCTTAAAATGACATTTAAAGGCTTAACTAGGTTATTAGGTTAACTTGGCAGGTTAGGGTAATTGGGCAAGTTATTGTAAAACGATGGTTTGTTCTATAGACTATTGCAAAAACAGCAGCTTAAAGGGGCTAATCATTTTGACCTTAAAACTGCTTTTGTTCTAGCTTAAATAAAACAAATAAGACTTTCCCCAGAAGAAAATATATATAATCAGACATACTGTGAAAACTTTCCTTGCACTGTTAAACATCATTTGGGAAATATTAAAAAAAAAAAATAAATACTATGGCTCAAATACCGCCAGTGCCACTGTAGTTTGTAAACGGTATTATCGTCATTAATGGTCTATCTATAATAGATGATGTTGGATGTAGAAAAGTCCCTAAAATCCTTCAATTTTGTTTTAAAGCCCTTTAAGGTTGCAAGTTTTCTGATGTTTTCAGACGTTTCAAACTCACATCTGAATCGATTCATTTCTGTTCCACTCAATATGATTTAATAGCTACAACAACCATGGCAATGTCTTAAAAAGAACGACTCACAAAGTGAAATTTTGAATGTTTTTGGATTGTTACCTGATAAGACAAAAAAAAAAAAAAAAAAACTATAAATGAAAAGGCCAAAATAGCAACAGGAAAGATTAAAACAATTGTTGACCACTTTCATAGGGCCTAATTTTGTTGGAAAAAGCTCTTATTTGAATAGATTTCATTTGGTATAGTAAATATCTTTATTTTAATGTATTTTTGTTGGTCAGTTATCTACAAAATAAACAAAAAGAATGAATTTTAGGCAAAGTGAGGTGAAAATACTTTTTTCAATAATAAGGGAATTATGAAATAAATTCAAGACTAACCTAAAAATATAGTAAAATATAGTATTATTGACAATTTTCTTTATAATTTGAGTTATGAATTACAGTATCGCAATACTACTTGGTATTATGATACTTCAGCTGGTATAGTATCGTAAGATGAATAAATAATATTGCGACAACCCTACACTACAGAATGCGTTCAGCTCATCAAATTTATAAGTCTTCAATCGCTAGCAGTGTGACTGAAGTGCTGGACTGTATGTTTGCAAGGCAGAATTTATGCTGCTGTGGGGCACCATTATGAAATAAATAAATGAAGATCAATTGGTTTTGATCTTTGGTTTCATTCTATGATAATTGACTTATTTTTCTAGTAGTGTGAGGGGTTTTTAAAATTGTATAAAACAAAGCTGACTACTTTGCAGAATTCGTCTATTGCGTCTATCTCCCGGCAACAATTAGGGACCACTTTTATTAATCTATTTAATTTAATTTTGTTCGGCCTGTAGTGTTTTTTTTTTTCTTTATATTTCCTGCCATGTGTCTTGATATTAATAGTGTGAGCAAGATTTTCTTTGGATGAGTCAGTAGGATCCCGTTTTAATACTAGAGGATGTTGGGGTTGCTGATTAACAGTCTGATCATACAGTATGTGTATGTGTGTGTCCTGACAGGCATAAAGAGGCATACACATGGACGAACCCTTTCTGCTGTGTACACAATGTCATTCTGGGTAAACTGTGGATTGAACAGTACGGCACCGTAGAAATTATCAACCACAGGTAAAGCCAGACTGTTCGGTTTTTTATGACTCAGTGAATTCGGGTGGAAATGTTTGAACGATTACTGTGTTGTTTGGTTGTACAGCACTGGAGAGAAGTGTGTACTGAACTTTAAACCCTGTGGGATGTTTGGAAAGGAGCTTCACAGAGTTGAAGGTTACATCCAGGATAAGAGGTGAGATTCTGACTCTCATTATTTATTTTGAGTGGACTGTTTCTCTGACTTTGAACTGTTTCAGTTATGTAGATCATGTCTCCTTATTCAGTTCGGTTGCTAAATCTGAATGCACACCGTCACTTATAGGGATGTAAGGGTGGTATCGTAATTTTAAAATATTGTGAAAAAGATGTGACTGAATATGGCTGACGTAAATTGTATAATTTACGCTGTTAAGCTTGTTTGATCTAAGAGTTAGCTGACTGTATTTATAAGGTATAATGTACCAAAATATGTCAATTCCGTCTTTATGTACTACATTACATAAAGATGTATTTTGTTAAAGTCCACCACCCAAAGTCTACAAAATGTAGCATTTAACCATCAGTAGACCTACATATTATAATATTCTCCTTTTTATAAACCGTATGTTAGAAATGCCGAAAATAATAATACTATTAAACAAATGCTAGCTCACAATATCAAGATAATTTTGTATTGAGAATTCAGTATTGAGATGCGTACAGAATCATGACTTGTATCATTATACCCCTAGTCACATATGTATACTCTTGGGTTGCCTGGTTTACCGATACTATGGTAATATCGCGATTCTATGGCTCCAAAATACTGACGGTGCTGCTGTACTTTTGTAAATGGTAGTATCGTCATTAACGGTCTATCTAAAACATAATGTTGCATGTGGAAAAGTCACTAAAATGCTCACATGTTTGTGCAAAAATAGACTTTTTCATGTTAACTGTCTGTGAAGCCCTTTAAGGTTGCAAAACTTTAAGTTCACGCCTTTTACGGTAACCTATTGCACATTTTCTGACATTTTAGTTCAAACGCACATCTGAATCGGTTCATTTCTGTTACTGTCAATATGATTTAGTTGCTACAACACAGGCACGTGCACACATAGGGCTCAACCTGTGCAGTGCACATGCCCTTTTTAGTCTTGGATAGAAAGTGCCCTTCCAAAATGATCAAAAGTGCCCCCGCGACGCGGCACACCCTCGGTCCCGCCCTTCAGTAGGCGCGCGACAACACCGCTCTTCAGAACGCGCAACAACAACAACCAACCCCCCCCACCCCCCCCCCCCCACCCCCCCCCCGCACTTCAGAACGCGCGCAACAACAATCCACCCCCCCAACCCCCCACCCCCCCTGCTCTTCAGAACGCGCGCAACAACATCCCCCCGCCCCCCTCCCCCCCGGCCATTCAGAACTGCACATGCCCTTTGGATGGTCTCTGCACGGCCCTGCTACAACAACTGCAACAATCTCTTAAAGACTTACAAAGTAGAATTGAGTTATTTTGGATTCTTACCTGATAAGAATTAAACAACAACAAAAAAACAACTCATAGATAAAAAAACGTAAAAGAGCAGCAGGAAACATTGAAACTATTTTTGACCACTTCATATGGCCAATTTTTTGGGGGAAAATGCTCTTATTGTAACAAATTTTGTTTGGTATAATTTGTATCTTTATTTTATGGCTTGTTTCCACTGACTGGAACAGTACGGTACGGTCCGGTTTGGTCAGGGTCACCTTTATCAGGCTTGCGTTTCCACTGCTAAAAGGGTACCATTGGTATCCTTTGGTGGGCATGGTGTACAACAGAAAGTTTGTCAATGTCATTTTTCGCTCGAGAAAATGTCTAAAGTAAAGTTGTACAGGTTTCTCGCATATCATATTCTTCTCAAAATACTGAAGCTTACTGTAACAAAATACCAGACCTATTTTGTCACTAAAGAGCAAGTAGAAGTTTGTTTGAGCTTTTATTATTATTTTTTTATTCTTTTAATAAACAAACTCTAAAATAACGTCTTTTTAAAATACAATGCTGATCTTAAATTATGTCTGATTGTAATGAAGCTAAACTTTCTGGTAAAATACCTAACTTTTTAAGCTTTACTTGGTAAAAAATATATACAGTTGAAGTCAGAATTATTAGCCACCCTTTGAATTTTTTATTATTTTTTAAATATTTTCCAAATAATGTTAAACATCAGGAACCTTTCACAGTATGTCTGATAATATTTTTTTTGGGAGAAAGTCTTATTTGTTTTATTTTGGCTAGAATAAAAGCAGTTATTACTTTTTTTAACACCATTTTAAGGACAAAATTATTAGCTTCTTTAAGCTACATTTCTTTTCAATAATCTACAGAACAAACCATCGTTATACAACAACTTTCCTAATACCCCTAACCTGCCTAGTTTACCTAATTAACCTAGTTAAGCCTTTAAATGTCACTTTAAGCTGTATAGAAGTGTCTTGAAAAATATCTAGTCAAATATTATTTACTGTCATCATGGCAAAGATAAAATAAACTGGTTATTAAAAATGAGTTATTAAAACTATTATGTTTAGAAATGTGTTGAAAAAAATCAGCTCTCCGTTAAACAGAAATTGCGGGAAAAAAATAAACATGGGTCAAATAATTCAGGGGGCTAATAATTCTGACATCTACTGCATATTCTTACAACCATTATAATAATCTTGCAGAATCTAATCTTGCACAGTATTTTGTTCTTAAAATAAGTTTTTGGCTAGATTGTAACTCTTGACCATATGAGGAGATTTTGCAGCAAATGTTTTCTATTATCAGTTTAAAGATTATATACGAGTTCTCATCAGACACCTTTGATACTCGTGACATTAGAGTTAATAATTATGGTGCGATGAAACCACTGCAGGTGCCAAGTCTCTATTGGTGGTTGTAATGGATGTTTCTTTCACATTATTCTGCTTTATCAAGATTTGACTCGCATGATTGTCACCACCTGCTCTCTCATTGGCGCACACCACTTCGCATCATGTTTCATTTGCATAATGTTCTCAACAGTGAAGAATATTGTTGCTTATTTATCCATTTAGATAAAGTTAATACATTTTATAATGCAAGTTGCCACCTAACACCTAGCATACCAGTGGATTTAATGGGATAGTTCACCAAAAAAAGAACATTTACTCACCCTCAAGTGCTCCCAAACATTTAGAAGTGTCTTTATTCCATTGAACAAAAAAAAAGATATTTTGAAAAAAGCTAAAAACTTGTTTTCATTGACTTCCATAGCAGGAAAAATGTATACTATGCAAGTCAATGGCTTTCCAGCTTTCTTCAAAATATCTCCTTTTGTGTTCAACAGAAGAAAGAAACTCAAACCGCTTTAGAGAGTTTGAAATTTCAGAACCCAAACCAGGAGACTCATTACAAGCCGAATTCTTTATTGAGATGTGTTGGTTATTCTGCAGTCTAACAGCATCTTAAAGTCCACTTCATGAGTCTGCAAGAGCCTACAAGAGTCTCTTACAGTCTAACACTGGTCTGATTTAGACAGAGTCGTCCTGTCTGTTATATGTTTTAGGAGGGGCAGTATTTAGTTAGAGACATAGAAAACGGGCATCACCAGTTTTAATTGAAAATCTTGTTTCAGGGTCTTGAATAGATCCTGAGGTTTCACCTGCCCCTAGTCTGCTAGAGTTTTGAATTAAATAATATAAATAAAATCCAAAGAATATAACATTTCAATTATGACTAGATTATATAAATTAATATTTCAACAGGAGCAAGTAAAGGGCGAGTAAATGATTGACATTTTGGTTTGGGGTCAACCATTCCAGAAAGAAATGCCCCTTCTTCTCTTTTATTATGTTATTTCAACAAAGTAATTCCTCTTTTCTTTTCTCCATTATGTTTGTGGCATGCAGTAAGAAGAAGCGCTGTGTGATCTATGGCAAGTGGACCGAGTGCATGTGGAGTGTCGACCCACAGGCGTATGAGGCCCATCGAAAGCTCGAGAAGAAAGGCACGACAGACACTAAAAAACAGAAACAGGTGCGAAAGATGGTACCAAGGCATCTACATTGTAAAAAGCGCCATAGAAATAAAGATTAAAATTATACTAATGCCTGTATTAACTGAGCTCTTATCTGTCCGAAACTAAAGCAGCTCTACTTCAGTTCACATCAAAGGTAAAAGATATGGACTAGTGCCATTAGCAGGCGTAGACGTGTATAATTATGCAACTTGTCTTAGATTAAGTCATGCACATGTAGAGTAATGTTGTTTTAGGGTTGCTAAATGGTTTGTTTTGGTGTGTAGTTTCAATATGTGCTAATGTATAGAAGAACTGTGTGTAGGTGTTGAGAGGGAAGGAGTGTTAACTGCACAATATTTTGGGGGGGAAATGGACATGGCAATATTTGATTTTTATATATAGGCATATTAATACAGCTTCACCTGAATATAAGTTGTAAAGAATTAATATTTTTTTTAGATTGATCAGGGCGATTTGTAGAGGAGTGTATCTGTATGAAATATAATAAAAAACAACAAACGTTAAATACAACAGAGCAAAGACACAAATTAATTAAACAATTTATTATTTTCTGGGTAGTCAAACAGTATTCAGGAGCAGAATGTAAATCAAATGTAAAATAACTGTTGTTTTTATTGTGTAAATAATTGTATATCTTTTAAGCTACAAATGATTAACACATTATGTTCGAAAATCAAAAATCCAATTTTGGCTTCTAATGATTATGAAAAAACAATAATCGAGATAAACGATTATTACCGCCCCCTTTCCAGTTGTACACATTTGTTGCTCTGCAAAGCTCAGCTTCACGTGAAAATGACTAAAAGCATGTGCTGTAATGTAACGTTTGCAGCACGCCGTTCATGTTTTTAAAGCGCGAACTAGCAATGTCAGCATTTGCCAGACGAGCCTGCTGGGCACGCACTGCGGGGGGGCCCGCGTGATTAGGGGGCCCCACGTCGTCGCGATTTTCAATTATTGAAAATCCAGGAACCGCAATAATCAAACTCTTGGGAACAACTGTGGTCGGAACCAAAGTTCACAGGTCTGTGTTCTCTGAACTCCTCTCAAGCAAAGGACTACTTCATTCTGATTGCTTGCCGCTGAACCGCGTCATAGCCAATGAAGACGCGCCGCTGTTTCTCGCCGCCGGTTCTCGTTAAAAAATGAATGACTTCTGGCTACTTTGACGCTCTCGCCGCTTTCGGTTAGTGATCGCTCCTCAGTTTGTGAAGGATTCCCTGCGTTGTCGCTCCACCCCGCTTCCTTTTCCCGCTTCTCAATTTGTGACATAGATATATACACTAGATATCGCATAGGGACCCTGAGCATGCGTCTATAGCGCCGCCACTTTGGTACAGTGCTCCCAGGACAAGTATCATTCAACAGCACTAGACAAGACAGTATTATTACGTGAAGATGCGGGACTTTAGCGCTTTCTACGAGTGTAGTAACGAGCAAACAAAGAAAACAAAGCACAAAGGCAGAACATTTCATTGGTAAGATTAAGTTTTTTACGTTTTTGTATGTTCTGAAATTTGTGCTAATCAGGTAACGTTATTGATAATAATACAGTCACTTACTGCATTCACCATAAGGCAAAGCAGATCCAACTCGCACTAAATACTCAGCTTATGCTAGTTTTGTTGAATAAAATCAGCAAACAATGCAAAAGAAATATGACAACGAGATGCTGCGATGCCAGAAACTTCTATTATTGTGGGCTAGTGAAGGAGTCGTTCATAACGGAGATTCATTCACAAACGAATCACTCCCTCCGTCAGTATGAGAAGTGAAAGCAGGAGAGGAGGTGTGTTTCAGGACATGATTAGATCAAATTTAACAGGGAGGGTGAATAGTACATTTCTGTACACACAAACCGCTTTTTGTCAGGAATGCCCGTGCGATCGGTGATCCATCAATGTAGAAAAGTAATGTAAAATGATAGTTTTCATAACTAAAAAAAAAATTGCATACTAACATCCAGGAAAACTCCCGATCATGGATATATGTGTATATGTGTATATCTCTGGCTCTGACCGTGTGTGTGTAATAAACAAACGAATTGAAAATCAAAAGACATGTGAAAGAGAAACCATTAAAGTGACATTGCGCAATATTCCTGCTGCCGCCTATTTTTATCATTAATTAAACAACAAAAGGAGAAAATACCTCACTGCTCTTGACTGAAGGACTTTTGTAGCTAAAGTGTTTTTCTTACAGTGAAGATGCTTAAAGCACAGTTTGTTTAATATTTTATTCTATTTTATTATTTTTTTTCTTTCTTTTGCAGGGAAATAACTGTATATACAGCTAAATTCAGAATTATTAGCCCTCCTGAATTATTAGCCACCCTTTTCCCCCCAATTTCTATTTAAACAAAGATTTTTTCAACACATTTCTAAACATAATAGCTTTAATAACTCATTTCTAATAGCGTATTTCTTTTATATTTGCTATGATGACAGCACATAATATTTTACTAGATATTTTTCAAAATGCTAGCATTCAGATTCAAAGTGCAATTTGAAGGCTTAATTAGGATAATTAGGCAAGTCATTGTATAACAGTCGTTTCGGTAACACTTTATAATAACTACACATTATGAATCATTTACTAAGCATTAGCATCTAGTGAGTTCATTATCTGTAAGGCATTAACTCCGCATTAATAAATGTTAGTAAGCAGTTTATAACTACAGCTACAAATGCTCTATTCTTGACTTATTAGCACCTATATATTGTGCTTAATTATTGTAATTTCATATTTTGTTAATGATTTATATTTCATAACTAAATTAAGTATTGCAATATTTACAAACCAGTTGTATTTAAGAGTAGTTGAGGGGTTTTAGGATCATTCAGAATGAATTCGTAAATGATTAATAAACTATTGAAATCAACATTTATATATCTTATTATTCAGGCATATACTAATAGTTAACTAATATGTTAATAAATGCTTTATTAACTCAACTTCATGCAGTTTTGTGACCTAATCTAAAGTGAGGACTATTTATGCTTTATAAATCCCTTATAAACAACAAATAAAGGCTCAGAATCAAATGAACAATAATCCTTGCGATCTTATTTAAAAAGTAAAATTACTGTAAAGTTTAAACAATGCTGAATAACAGGAGTGTCAAAATATGACATAAAACTGGATAAAACAACAACAACAATATAATAATTTAACATTATAATAAGATGCAATGTTTAAACTCTATAGTGATTTTATTTTAGATCAGGTTGCAAAGATTTATTTTTATTTGAAGTACAGTTTCATGTGTGAATCTTTAAATGGATAGGAATGAATAACGTCATTTTTCCTGTTTAGAATTTAACTGAGCCTTTATTTGTTGTTTATAAGGGATTTCTAAAGCATAAATAGTCCTCACTTTAGATTAGGTCACAAAACTAGAGGAAGTTATTAACTTATTTATTAACATACATTGTAACCATTAATATATGCCTGAATAATAAGATATATAAATGTTGATTTCAATAGTTTATTAATCATTTACTAACTCATTCTGAATGATCCTAAAAACCCTCAGCTACTCTTAAATACAAATGGTTTGTAAATAATGCGATACTTAATTTAGTAATGAAAAATAAATCATTAACCAAGTATGAAAGTACAAATATTAAACACAATATATTGATGCATATAAGTCAAGAATACAGCATTTGTAGCTGCAGTTATAAACTGCTTACTAACATTTATTAATGTAGAGTTAATGCTTAACAGATAATGAATTCACTATTAGCTAATGCTTAATAAATGATTTATAGTGTGTAGTTATTATAAAGTGTTACCGTAGTTTTTTCTGCAGACAATCAAAAAATATATATTGCTTAAGGGGGCCAATAATATTGACCTAAAATGGGTTTTTAAAATATTTAAACCTGCTTTTAATTTAACCAAAATAAAACCAATAAGCCTTTCTCCAGAAGGAAAAAAAATATTATAGAAAATACTTAAAAAATTCCTTGCTCTGTTAAACATAATTTGGAAAATATTCATTTAAAAAAAGATTATCAGGAGGGCGAATAATTTTGACTTAAGTTGAAAATCGTTTTAAATAATCGTGATTACAATTATGACCAAAATAATCGTGATTATGATTTTTCCCAAAATCGAGTAGCCCTACTCAATTATCTTAAATTAAATTGAAATGCTTACACAGTCACAGGCCTTAAAAGCAAATAATAAGCTTTTACTCTAAGGTTAAATTTGAAATGTCTGATCAACTACAATCACGACTCTACATTACAGATCCTGCAATGTGATTATTGTGGAATAGCACATTGAGATATTGATGCTTAAACAACATATTATGCAGCTCTGTGAAATACTCGTCATGACTTTCATCTTTGACTCCATTGGGGCTTTTGTCAACTCATTTGTTTATTTAAACACGTGGCCTATTACATGATGGCACACCCTGTTGATGGTGAGGTCTAACAGACTCCTTGTCTCTATGTGTATGTTTGCTGTACAGATGCATACAGTGTGACTTAAAGAAATGCGTCAACTAAAAATGAAAAGGTTCCCAGTTGTCCTAATGTCATTTGCAAATAGGGGTGTGTCATATTTAAAGTCCAAGATAATATTGTCATTTATTTTTTTAACAGATTGGCAATATTTCACTTACGTTGGCTAAAACACAAAAACGTGTCCTAAGTATTCATTGTGTGGTAAAGCCTACTCAAATTACCCACTTGTTCATTTAAAAATGAAAATTTTTAAGATGTAATCAAGTTAAGTATTAAAACACAACTAAGAATATAGTAAGAACATGGTCCCAGATAAAACCGAAACAAAGGCAAAAAACAAAGAAATTTTATCAAGGTTTTGTTTTTGGGTGCATCTGCAAAGGAAAAGCAATTCTCAGCAAAACTGTTTAGTGACTAACATTCTTCAAAACGTCAGGTTTCATTTTCTGCAGAAATTTGTACAGGTTTGAAATCATCCTTTCAAGCATTTAGAGACAGGAATACGTGAAACCAAAACATTTCACCAAATAACAATCATTCTAGTCCAAGGCACATGAATATTTTTTAAAGCCTTTTATTTTTACATTTTATTACCATGGCTATTATATAGAAAAAGAGTATTATTATTATTATTTTAGTGCTGTTAAAAAAAAGGAACGTTAATAAAGGCTTTTTTAATTTTTTCCCCTTTTCAGTGCCTTGGACGTCTCTTTGAATAAGGGATTCATAGAGATCAGCAGCACATTAATAATTTCTTGTTTGTTGATTTTGGATTTTACCAAGTAGTTTTTAGGTTTACATAAAACAATGGATGCAGTGCCGCTACTAATGCATTGCAATATGTGGCTCATTTTTCAAGTTACTATTCTTTTTTTTTTTTTTTTTGTCACTGTGATTTGTTTTAAAAGTATTTGTTTGAACCAGCAGGAGGAGCCAGAGGCTGTCAACGAGGATGCAGATGAAATGCCTGAAGTACAGGAAACTGTGGCAGTGATTCCTGGTAGCACATTATTATGGAGAATATCATCTAGACCGCCTCTTTCAGCAGAGGTACACACACTTTTTTTGTGTATATGCTCCTCAGTGATGCCTTTTATTTGCTAAAAAATATAAGGAAAAAATTTTAATTTTGTGCAATTTGATTGAGTGATATTGTTTTTAATTAAAATGTACAGTGGATAGGGAAAGTATATCAACCTCCTTATATTTTTTACTCTTTGTTATATTGCAGCCATTTGCTGAAATTATTCAAGTTTATTTTTTCCCTCAATAGGGTACACACGGCACCCTATATTGATTGAAAAACACAGAATTGTTGACATTTGTATTAGACCCTTTACTCAGTATTTAGTAAAAGTACTCTTTTGATCCAAAAAAGCCATGAATCTTTTTGGCAAAGATGCAACCAGATTTTCACACCTGAATTTAGGGATCCTCTACCATTCCTCTTTGCAGATCCTCTCCAGTTCTGTCAGGTTGGATGGTAAACGTTGGTGTTGGTGTCATTTTGTAGGTCTCTTCAGAGATGCTCAATTAAGTTTCAGTCTGGGCTCTGGCTGAGCCATTGAAGAACAGTCAAGGAGTTGTTGTGAAGCAACTCCTTCGTTATTTTAGCTGTGTGCTTAGGATCATTGTTTTGTAGGAAGGTAAACCTTTGGCCCAGTCTGAGGTCCTAAACACTCTGAAGAAAGTTTTTTTCCAGGATGTCCCTGTACTTGGCCGCATTCGTCTTTCCCTCGATTGCTACCAGTTGTTTATTCATTAAGTTTATTTTAAGCATTGTAACTTCAATTTTAAATGTTATATAATATCATTCAGAAATCAACCTAATCTAATGATTTGCTGTTCATTTTTTTTTATTACTATCAATGTTAAAAATGTGATGCCTAATATTTTTGTCTGGAAGACTTAAAGCAGAGTTCATAAGAGTCATTCATTCAAAACCTAAATCTTGTAACAAGAAAAATGAAATGTCTTGACTCTTTTGTGTCCTTGCTGAATAAAAATAATATATAAAAATATTGTTATATAAAACCCAAATACTTTTGAATCATCTGTTGTCAAATTTGAATGATTACTTGATTTTCAAACGCCTCTTTTCACTTGTAGATGTATAACTTCACTAATTTTGCAATGGCACTGAATGAGCTGGAGCCTGGCATGGAAGGAGTGCTGGCACCAACAGACTGCCGCTTACGGCCTGACATCAGAGCTATGGAGAACGGCAACATGGGTAATGAAGTCATAATTCAGAACCCCAAAACAATCCTTTAGCACCGCCTGCTGTTTTTAACTTTTAAATACTTACATCCGATTCTACTGACTGTGCAGATGAAGCAAGTAGAGAAAAAGAGAGACTGGAAGAAAAGCAGAGAGCAGCTCGTAAGGAGAGGGCAAAAAATGAGGAGGAGTGGTCGACTAGGTTTGTAAATATTCTTTTTTTTTTTTTTTTAATCAAAGAAATATGGACAGTTTCAGGCTACTTAAATATTTTGACAAAAGAACCCCAATACTGCCTTTGTATTGTTTGATTGTAGCTGTGTACAAAATGACTCCTCAACTTCTATTGGTTGTAGTCCAAATTGAAGCTCTACATTAGATAATGTCATTGTGCCCTGACAATGGTTGGGGATCATTTGTGTTTGTTGTGATGCTAGTGGCAAATTGATACATTTTTAGTTAGTGATATTACCTAATGGACCATTTGTTTAATGTATTTACTAACATGAACAAACAATTAGTAATATATATTTATTACTGTATTTATTCATCTTTGTTAACATTAGTTCATGTCAACTCACCTTCACGGCCAATCACAGTTATTTCTGTTGAGCACAAGAACCCAAGGGCAAATCAGCGGTCTTTGAAAACGTGCTCAATAGCGCTCGAAAGTTAGTGAAAATGGACATTTTTAAAACTTCAATATCAATTATATTGAATTCCAGCATTGTGACAACCCTAATGCTGCGTTCACACCAGACGCGGAACGCGTGTCAAGCGCAAGTGGTTTACATGTTAAGTCAATGCAAACACGCGAATAGACATCCTGCGGCGCGAATGGCGCGGCGCAGATGACGCAGATGGCGCGGGGCGAATTGAGCGTTTTGCGCGGTTGACTCGCTTAACGAGCGTTTCGGGCGAATCTCTCGAATTCGAAAATCTGAACTTCAGCGTACATTCGCGCCACGTTAACCAATCAGAAGCTTGCTCGTGTGGCGGCGTGATTGTGACGTAGAACCTTTTGTCGGTGTTCCGAGGGAAATCCTCCAGCCTTCACCAACAACAGTTCATCAAACTCAGCTTGGCTCAGTCAGAAGCACCGCTGAAAGCCTCCGTCATCCAGGTTAAGTTTCTGGAGGAGTTTATGAGTTCACAGAGCTGGATGCACCTCTGAAAGGATGCAGTGGACTCAGACACGACCCTAAACGTATCGACGCTGTTTTTCAGTCTTCATAAAGCACATAATCACTGTTATTTTCTTCATAAAATCCATGTTAGCCATTTAGCTATGAAGCTAGAGTCTTCGGGCAGACAGAAGCCCTGCCCATCACGCAAATCCGCGTTTGTTCTGAAGTGAATTTGATGCGCGAATGAAGCGGGGTTTGACGCGCGAATGAAGCGAGTAAACCTCAAATGTTCACGCGGCTATTTACACGCGAATAGCGCGATTTATCTGCGCGTTCCGCGTCTGGTGTGAACACAGCATAATACTTTATTCACCTACTTCTGTTTTACAAGGTATTTGTAAACTGCTGTCAAGTTTAACAGTAATAAAATATATCTTAATATTTTGACATCTTTTTTTTCCATCAAATTACAGAAAATTAATTTTTTTAATTAATAACTGTATTGAAAAGCGATTTTGGACTCAATAACAATAAACTCTGAATGATACCCATCCCTAATGATACTGTACTGTACCAAACTATCACCACAACACAATCGATCTAAAACGAGGCTGATATTATAATCCAGAATTATTGTATGCTTTTGTATGTGTGTGTGTGTGTGTGTGTGTGTGTGTGTGTGTGTGTGTGTGTGTTTTGTTTTTAAGCTAACCCACCTATCAATCTGTTGTAGGTGGTTTCAGTTAGGCACAAACCCATACACCGGATCACAGGACTGGCTGTACACAGGCGGCTATTTCGATAGGAAATACAGAAACTGTCCTGATATCTACTGATGAAGAGGTACAAGTTCAAAAGGCAGAGGTTTTGCCGTTATCTTCAGCACTTATGTTTATGATTGTGTCCATTTGGAAAGCATCTTCCTTCACAACCCATCAATTTCACAATGGAGGAGAAACACCGGTAGGAGATTCGATATGCCTTTTTCTGCCTTTTAGCATCCCTTTTTCAGAGCTCCAGCAAGTTCGAAGATGCTGGGGCTCAATGTAGACATAGTTATATCACATGAGCTCACCGACACGTGAGTCATGTACAGTAGACATTTAACATATGTAAACTAATTCCGGATGTGTGCGCACTGAGCCACCTCTGATCCAGATGTATGTATGTGGTAATGCATTAATGAGACAACGACAGTAATAATGTTCAGTGAATGTTGATGATGATGAATGGTAATAATGTGTATGTGTGTGCGCTTGTGGAAATTCATGTAAAAAGCCATAGATTTTTTTTTTAATTGGCACAACATTTTGCCGTTTTCTGAATAAACCTTACAAAATATAGACTCATCATGCGTTTAATATGATGAAGCGATTAAAAAACGATAGCTCCTTTTCACTTACAGAGACTCGTGGGATGTAAAATAGGCTGATTGTACTGACATTAATGTTGTTTAATGATTACAAACAAGCTGGAGTGCAAAAAAAAAAAAACTTAAAGGGTGGCCCATTTATGTGGATACACCTTAATAAAATGGGAATAGTTGGTGATATTAACGTCCTGTTTGTGGCACGTTAGTGTTTGTAAGGGGGCAAACTTTTCAAGATGGGTGCTGACCATGGTAGCCTTTTTGAAGTCGGCCATCTTGGATCCAACTTTAGTTTTTTCAATAGGAAGAGGCTCATTTGACACATCAAACTTATTGGGAATTTCATAAGAAAAACAATGGTGTGCTTGGTTTTAATGTTGCTTTATTCTTTCATGAGTTATTTACAAGTTTCTGACCACTTATAACATGAGTTCAGTGTGCTGCCAATTGTGTTGGATTGTCAATGCAACCCTCTTCTCCCACTCTTCACACACTGATAGCAACACCGCAGAAGAAATGCCAGCACAGGCATCTAGTATCCATAGTTTCAGGTGCTGAACATCTTTTATCTTCACACCATAGACAATTTCCTTCAGATGACCCCAAAGATAAAAGTCTAAGGGGTCAGATCGGGAGACCTTGGGGGCTATTCAACTGGCCCACGACGACCAATCCACTTTCCAGGAAACTGTTTATCTAGGAATCTCGGACCTGACACTCATAATGTGGTGGTGCACCATCTTGCTGGAAAAACTCAAGGAGCGTGCCAGCTTCAGTGCATAAAGAGGGAAACACATCATCATGTAGCAATTTCAAATATCCAGTGGCCTTGAGCTTTCTATTGATGAAGAATGGCCACACTACCTTTGTTGTCTATGGTGTGAAGATACAAGATGTGCAACACCTGAAACTACAAATACTAGAAGCCTGTGCTGGCATTTCACCTGCGGTGTTGCTATCAGTGTTTGAAGTGTGGATGAAGAGGGTTGCTTGACAATCCAGCACAAAGGGCAGCACATTAAACACATTTTATAAGTGGTCAGAAACTTGTAAATAACTCATGAAAGAATAAAGTTACGTTAAAACCAAGCACACCATTGCTTTTCTTGTGGAATTCCCAATAAGTTTGATGTGTCAAATGAGCCTCTTCCTATTGAAAAAAAACAAAAGTTGGATCCAAGTTGGCCGACTTCAAAATGGTCACCATGTCTCCACCCATCTTTAAAAGTTTGCCCCCTCACGTATATTAATGTGCCACAAACAGGACGTTAAAATCACCAACCATTGCTATTTTAATAAGGTGTATTCATATAAATGGCCCACCCTGTACTACAGTTTTCAGTAATAAATTAAAAGCTCACCCAAAAATCTAAATGTACACATTTTCAAGTAGTTCCATACCAACACCAAAGCTATTTTGAGGAATGTTGGAAAAATAAATATTATTGAAGTCAGTGGTTACAAGTTTCCAACATTTTTCTAAATATCTTCTTTTATGGTTTACGGAATAACGAAATGCAAGGTTTGTGATGAATGATGGTTGAGTATATGATGGCAATTTTCATTTTTGGGTGAACTAGCCATTTAATTTGTTTAGGTTTAACAAGTTAAAGTCATTTTTAAGCTTGATCCAATGGATATTTTTTGTTTTCAGTGTGTGTAGACATTGCAAATGTTCATTTACATGTTTCACAGTTTCTATAATGTGTCGCTGTCACACTAAATTGTTCCTTAAGCGTAAAACAATGAGTTTGTTTTATGAACAGTTGGGTGTCATAGGTATATTTGTTGTTGTTGTTGTTGTTGTTGTTAATCCATCAGCGTTTGTTCTCAAATATAGACGCTTACACTGTGTATTTGAGTAAATGGACAAAATCTATGCAACTACATCTGCTTGAACCCCCTTTATTAGATAGAATGCCAGCTCATGTAAGTGTAGATATACCATGCGTCTGATTTCTAAGACTATTTTCTGCCTATTGATTCCATCACAACTATTTTAAGACCTCATTCAGACCATTTAAAGATGATCTGAATGCAAATTAATGTCTTAAGTACATAAATGTTTTTTTTCCCCACAGTGCCTGATTTTGAGTCACTAATAATACTTTCTTGAGCTGTTTGTTTCCCTCTTTAAAGATTTAAGTATGTTAAACATCCTATTTGAGTTTTCTAACCCTCTCTTTAACGTACTAAACATTAATTTGTCAGATGAACTTGACCATTCATTCATTCATTCAGTACACTACTTGTCTTGCGTCTTTTGTTGTACTTGTTCTTCATTTAATTGTACATTTGATCATTTGGATACTAGCGTTATGAAACTAATATTCCACAATTAAAGTATAGATTTTATTTTTATGCGGCTTTGTGTCAGTTCATTGAGTAAGTGGAATGATTCTCTTCACTGTATCTCATATTTGTCTTTCAATGTACAAATCTCTGAATGTTCCAAGATGTTGCACATAGATCTCTAGCAATCGCAAGCACAAAGCTCCTCGTCTTGTGCAATGATTTATTTTTATAGTATTTAATTTTTCGTTGGTTAAAAGGTGTCTAAAGGTATTTTTAATGTAAGGGGTAATACTCCATTTTTCAGCAATGCTTCAGAATTAAAGAGGGTGTCATTCTGGTCACAACAAATCCTACTAATTGACATTTTAGTTTGAATATGTTGATTTCTTTTGGAATAAAAAAGACTGATAAAAATGCTCTCTGTTTTGTTCTTTTGAAAGCAGGTAATGTGTGGACGGCCCGTAACATGGTGCTTTTTACATTTTGTTAGGGTGAGTAATAAAAGCATCTTGTCAGAAGTCGAGCTTGTTTGGAGCTTGGAAAACAATATTCACACCTATTCATATAAACCACACTAGCATTCAGTGGAGATGCAACTTACAGTTTAATTATCCAGGATGCATTTTGTCCTATTTTAAGGTAATTTAGCATAAGTAGAAGAGCAGTTTAGACATGATTCATGAGTTTTACATAATGTATATTCCAAAGCTGAGATACCCAAACTAGAGCCTGCGCTGGGTCGGATTAACCAATGGGCCTTATGTGCACGCGGAGCCCCTGCGAGGTGGAAAAAAAAGCCAATTTCGGAGTGTCTTTTTAGGCTAACTGTAAATAATGCACCTAGTTGGAATATGCTGTTCACAGTTAACGCCCATCAATGCCTGATTGACAGAGACCACCTTGGTAAAGAGTGAAGCCCATTACAGCGTGAGTGGCATACCTCGTAAAGTGTACAGCAACACCTTATGATGCAATTTATCATCAACCCGGTTCAAATCCACTATCTGAAGAACCCTGAAGAAGAGAGAGACCGGAGAGGAGAAGAGGTATAGGCTTTGTGTGTGTGATTTTTGGGTACTTTTAGGTTCATAATCAAGTTGATCTATGCTGTTTGCCTACTTTTCATCACGAGTAGAGTAGAGAAAATACAGCAGAAGGAGAGAGACGGTAAATCATTATTAAGTGTGTGTATTATAAAAGACTCAGATTCACAGAACTGGATTGGAGAGGCATTGTGTGTTATATGCTATGCCATTAATATGCTTTATACATTTGTAAAAGTTATACATTAAAAATACTCTTAAAAATAAATATATATTAGTACTATATTTTATATAGTACTGTTTCAGTGAACTTGAACAAGTATACTAAAAACATGAATTTTCGTTAGTTTTATTAGTATTTTTTTCCAATGCTTTGAAAAATAAGTTAAATCTTTGTAGACTGCAAATATATATGTACTACTATATATAATTTATTTAAATATGTTGGCAACAAATTATATATTCATTTTATGTGAAAATTACTATATTATTCTTATTTTTTTAATTCAACTACACTGAAAAAAAAAATGATTTTAAATGTTTATTAACATTTTTTCAGTGTATAGGGGTGCGGCCGGGTAGGGGGCCTTACAAGACAATGTGCCCAGGGGGGCCCTGAGTTCTTAATTCGGGCCTGGGCCTGCGGGCCAAAGTTGGTAACCTTTGATTTGGCCCGCCATCCCATCTGAGAAAAGAATGATAGGGGTATTTTAGAGATTGTCATTTCAAATCTAATGCAACCTTTTTGTTTGTTTGTTTTATTGTTAAAAGCTAAATGAAATAAAATGTTTCAATTAATGGTGTAAATTAATTAGATTGAATCTAAATGTACATATAGTCACCCAATAGATAGAGGACTAATTAAGGCGATGGTAGATTCAGCATTTGAACTCCACTGTATTATAAATGTGATTGTTTTTATTGAGATAAGTTATTATTTAAAATGTTATACTGCATTAGTTTATATGATTTAAGTAATGTTTTCCAATAAATTAGGAAATTACCCATGGCAGGTTTAATGTAAGAATTTTGGTATGTTTACCTTGGGCTCATGGATTTCAATAATATTTGGTTTTTATCCCTTCATACAAAAAAGTTTGGGTACCCCTGTTCAAAAGCATTGTGCAAAACGCTTATAGCCATGTTGCCATCTACCTATTTTTATGCACATTTTGGAATATTACATAATTTTTTTTAGAGGGGTGGTCCAGAGTGTATTTTTAAGGCTTGGTTTTGTTTTTAGGGTGCAAAGCAATGTGAGCTCATGCTTCATTTGTAGAAAATCACAATATTTTTCATATATCTTACATCAATAATGTACAGCTGCTCAGCTAACATGAAAACAACTATCATATTTCCTAGCTCCTTTAAAAGCTCGCAGAGGCTCTGATTGGTCAGCTAACATAATGTGCTGTGATAAATATAAATTTGTAGCTAAACTGTTAACGATGCCAAACAGCATTTACTTTTGTTTACATCCTTGCTACACCATTAACACTAGAAACTGTGCATGTAATAGATCAATTTTAACAAATAAAAACACTGACAGGTTGTGGCTCACAATCCACAGCTTCTGCTATTATAGTTGGAGCTGCTCCTTTGAGGAGTTTTTAGCTGAATCCAGCACTGAACTGAGAGAGATTCTAGAAACTGTCCTTTGTCAAAGGCTAGCTATATATTTTTATTATTCTCTGGAACATAATTAATATTGAATTGTAAGCTCTTCTCTCTTTGTGTCATGTCCTTTGGAATCCCAAATACAGAAACAGAAGAAGCTCTGTGGAAATGGCAGCGTTTAGATAGCATTTTAGCTTTCTAAAATGTCTCCCTTTGCATTGAACTTTGTGCATATTACAATCAGAGATGTTGTTTATGTTCACACAGCTACATTACACATCAACTAAAGTTTAAAATATGATATCGTAGTGGACCACCCCTTTAATGTAAATGCCAAGTTGCATATATATTTTGAAAATGGGCATAAACTATAATAGCAGTAGAATAAATTCTAGCATATGCATCAAAAATATGAACTTTTATTACAATATTACCTTGTGCCTCCAAAAGGCACTACTTCATTATGTTTCATCTTCTGAGGTGCAAGTCATTTTTTTATAAGTAAAAAGGCCCACAGTGTCTTCTCATAATGCAGCAAATTCCATTTTTCCTTTTGATATTTGGTATTTGGCTGCAGTTTATCAGGAAGGGGCAGGTTTGTTCTCTCCGACTCCTTGTATAGTAATGGTGCTTTATTTGCAAATGTTTTATGCAATATTCCAGTTTTGTGCATTTAATTAGCATATTTGGAGGGCTACCGAGATGTTTGAAATAACTCTGATCAGCATTAGTTAACACTTTCAGCACTGTAAAAAAGGCTGAGTTCCACTCAATCCCTTTATCTTCAAGTTAGCTTAATCAGTTTGTTAAGTCAACTTAAAATTGTAAAAGAAAACCATCATGTTATCAAAAGTCATCACTAAAAAACAACTCAAGAACTGTTGTCTAAGCTCATTTTAAATGAAATTAGTTACAAATATTTTTGAATGAGATTTCTCGCAGTAATTTGTGTTAAGCTGGCACCCAGAGGTAAATAACTTTATTATCAGCAACACTTTAGTTTAAGGACCAATTCTCACTATTAACTAGTGACTAGGTCCACACAGAGTCTGTGCTTGGCGGAAATCTGCAGATATTTGCAGATTTTTAGTCTATCAACGAGTCTATTGTGTAAATGTGTTGAAATTTATATTTATTCAGTTTTAAAGTTAATTTCAGTAATAATATTGACTAATTTGACAATATTAATATGATTTATTTACAGTACAGTTTGTAAAGTAATTTGTGCTTTCTTTCAGTATAGATATAAGAGAGACTTGCTTTGTTTACCAAATAAGTGAATCTATTTGAATTTGCATTGTAAAATGAAATAAAAAGTTAAAAAGGTATTGTTTTTAGTTTCATATATTACGTTTTTAGTTATGATACTCCCAAAAATTATTCCACATGACAAAATTCTGTGCAGAAATGGCAAAAAATGTCTGCAGATTCTGTCTGACCCTACTTATTATCTATTATTACGATAATGGCTGTTAATTTGTTTTTATGAGTTGCATAATCATCATGATCTTATTCTACATCCCTAATCTTATCCACCCAACTATTACATTAATGGCTATTGATAATTAGCAAGTTATTGTAACTTTAAATAAAGTGTGACCTAATTATCTGATTAACCATATTTAATTAATAGCCAAACTTTACCTTTTTTTCTGACTTTTCAAGATGGTGAGCCATTCTAAAGTGACTATAACCTTTAGACAGTAAGTGACCAGATGAATACTAAAGGCATGAGTTTTTCAGCTGCATCAAAAGAATGTGGTTGCTCCAAAAATAATTTGTTTAGAAAATTGTATCTTTACAATGCCACCAACTTTTTCAGGTCTCCCTAAAAGGCTGGCCGTCTACAAAAGAGAACATGATAATGTGGAGAATGGTAAACAATTCAAAAGTGTTACTGGGTTTTATCGTCGGTTCAGCTCTGAACAGGGTTAAGATCTATTTCTATACACAGGGTCTTTACATTTAGGAGAATTCAGACTAAAAGCTCTGCAGTGACTAAACCTTTATCAGTAGAAAGAGTCAAAAGACTGATTTATCATTTGCAAAGGAGCATGTTGTGTGGATGGAGAAGTGCACCAAAGTTCGCTTCATTGAGGATAGCAAGCTTCATTTGTTTTGTTCTGATGGGGAGCATAATGTTCATCTTCAAACTGGTAAAGACTGAACCCACAGTGTATGCAGACCTCAGTGAAAAGCGAAGGTGGAGATTCATGATGTGAATGTTGTTTATGTGACAACAAAGTAAATGAAGATGCAACATTTGGCTTCTTTGCTGTGTGAACAATGAACTCCTTCACAAAACAAAACGGGTAAAAACACAAACAATGAAATGGCAGCTTAATTGTCAAATTAGGGAAGTCCTGAATACTCAGAAGGACAATGTAAATATGGTTTCCATCAGTGCAGCTTGTCAGCTGTTTGAGCTGCTGCTCTTTCTGACTGCAGAAGATGGTGTTGTAAAACAAGCATACTGTTCATTCATTCATTTTCTTGTCTGCTTAGTCCCTTTATTAATCCGGGGTCGCCACAGCGGAATGAACCGCCAACTTATCCAGCAAGTTTTTACGCAGCAGATGCCCTTCCAGCTGCAACCCATCTCTGTGAAACATCCACACACACTCATTCACACACACATACACTACAGACTATTTGGCCTACCCAATTCACCTGTACCGCATGTCTTTGGACTGTGGGGGAAACCGGAGCACCCGGAGGAAACCCACGCGAACGCAGGGAGAACATGCAAACTCCAAACAGAAACTGAGTCGAGGCTCGACCCAGCGACCTTCTTGCTTTGAGGTGAACGTGCTACCCACTGCGCCACTGCATTGCCTACAAGCATAATATAACCACAAATACAGGGCGTCCGTGGGGTCTTAAAAAGTATTAAAAGTCTTAATTGCTATTTTGCAAGGTATTCGATTTTATATCATTTTTGTTTATGCAATGTATGGGTGTATGCTAAAGTTTGAATTAAACTTAAAGCCTGAATTAAATCTGCAAATATCAGGATGCTGTGTAGTTTATGAAATCCTGCTAAATTTGACATCATGCTGCTTTGTTTACCGCAGTATTCAAGGCAAGACCATTATTTCTGCAGATCTGTAGGAGCCAACCTGCTGAATTTGCAAGATTTAATAGATTTGTATTCAGTATATGAATAATGTTTTAGTTTTGGATTAATTTCTTGCCTTAATATTTAATAAATAAGTTAAAATCTCGCCAGTGTTAAAAAGTAGTTATAAGATCTTAAAAGTATAGAAAAGTCTTAAAGGGTATTGAATTTCACTCTCAGATTCCTATATATATATATATATATATATATATATATATATATATATATATATATATATATATATATATATATATATATATACATACTCTGAAATGCAATTCTTTAAAGTTTTGAATGGTAAAAATTACATTATTCATGAAAAATTATCTATAAATGTATTAATATTATATATTAATGATGTTATAAATTAATCTCTTGTTAATTTAAATAGATTTCACTGTTTTGTGGGAAGTTTTTGTCATTTGAGACTAAAGTGTCAGGGTGAGATGATTGAATATAATATAATATTAATCTTATACACTTATTCATTCATTTTTCTTTGACTTAGTATCATTATTAAGCAGGAGTCGCTACAGCGGAATGAACCACCAACTTATCCAGTACATGTTTTACGCAGCGGATACCTTTCCAGCTGCAACCCATTACTGTCAAACACTGATATACTCTTGCATTTACACACATACACTACGGCCAATTTAGCTTATTATGCACCTATAGTGCATGTCTTTGGACTGTGGGCGGGGGAAACCGGAGGAAACCCACACCAACATGGGAAGAACATGCAAACTCCACACAGAAATGCCAACTGACCCAGCAGAGGCTCGAACCAGTGACCTTCTTGCCGTGAGGCGACTGTGCTAACCACTGAGCCACCGTGTCGCCATTCTTAAATATTATAACTTTTTTTTACTGCTATGTGGGGATCTTCAAGTCTTTGGCTAAGAAAGAATACAAGCGGCACACTCACAAAATAAAGTGTTTTCATGACGATTTACATGGTGAAGATCTGTAGAGAGAAAATAAGGATCTTCATCTGCACCCAATGACACAGCAGCTGCTGAATGACATGTTCCTCAGCCAATCAGATGTTGCCCTTTGTGGAACATGGCGAGCAGGAGACCGGAAGTCGCTTAGTTTCCACTTTTCACCAGTAAGTCTATCTGCAAATCTTCAGAGAACGAACCCTCAGGATCAAAAAACAAAACCTGCTGCTGAAATCAACGAAAGGCTAAACTCATCCAGCGGTATGAATTACTTTTAACTCGCTTTGTAAATATATGAATTATAGCGGCATGTTCTGTTCAAAGACGCACCAGAAACAAAACGCGCAGTCATGGTGGAGCTGGAGATATTGAAGCGGCTGCTAATGCTAACTAGTGTAGCGTTTCACAAGCCAGACAATAAAAAATTAGATAGGTTTTTAAACTTTAATATGAAACAATGTCAAATATACTATTATATTACATGTTAATTTAACATGCGTATATTTTCGCAAAAAGCAGGTCAATTGATGTTTCCTGAAGCTAACTAGAGTGCTAATAATTCTTGCTGACTGACTGTGTTGTTTCCAAAGATAAGCTCTAAGATTTTGAACAAAAGTATGTGTGTGTATATGGCTTCAGACGTTGTCTAAATGTGCTGTCATGTTGTAAACGTGTAACAGTTTGTGTTTTGTGCCCTTTAGTGAAGATGTCATCTGGAGCTCTGTTCCCCAGTCTGGTCTCTGGATCCCGCAGCTCATCCAGCAAGTATCTGGTTGAGTTCAGGGCTGGTAAAATGACCCTGAAGGGCAGCACTGTGACCCCAGACAAGCGCAAGGGCACCGTCTACATCCAGCAGACAGATGATTCACTCATTCATTTTTGCTGGAAGGACAGGACCTCTGGAAATGTGGAGGATGTGAGGCCTGTTTACAGTGAATGGTTGGTTGATAATGCTGAATATATCAGTACCTAAGTCTTGATTTTTGTGTTTTAGGATCTGATCATATTCCCGGATGACTGTGAGTTTAAACGGGTGAACCAGTGCACTACAGGACGTGTGTATGTACTGAAGTTCAAGGCTGGCTCTAAACGGCTGTTCTTTTGGATGCAGGTGAGTAAAATGTTGTGCGATGCTTGTTAACATGTTTCAGATGTGCTGAATACAATGCCATGCTTCCACCTGGAATTAAAAGGATGGTTCACGCAATTACGAGTGCTTCCAAACCTTTGTGAGTTTCTTTGTTCTGTTGAATACTAAAGAAGATATTTTGAAGAAAGCTGAAAACTTGTAACTGCTGACTGTTTCTGCTTGTAAATAATGAAAATGTATCACAATAACAGGTGTATATCTGCAAAAAAAAAATCTTTCTTAGTTTTTACTTTGTTTTTAATCTAATTACATAAAAATCCTTAAATCAAAGACGCAATTTCTAGACAATCAAAAAATGCATTCACCAGACACTTTATTATGTACACCTTACTAGTACCAGGTTGGACTCCCTTTTGCCTTCAGAACTGCCTTAATTCTTCATGGCATAGATTCAACAATGTACTGGAAATAATCGGCAGAGATTTTGGTCCATATTGACATGATAGCATAATGAAGTTGCTGCAGATTTGTCGGCTGCACATCTATGATGCGACTCTCCCATTCCACCACATGCCAAAGCCAAAGGTGCTCTATTGGACTGAGATCTGGTGACTGTGGAGGCCGTTTGAGTACAGTGAACTCATTGTGATGTTCAAGAAATCAATCTGAAAATGATTCACGCTTTATGACATGGAGTGTTATCCTGCTGGAAGTAGCCATCACAAGATGGGTACACTGTGGTCATAAAGGGATGGACATGGTCAGCAGCAATACTCGGGTTGGCTGTGGCATTGACACAATGCTCAATTGGTTCTAATGGGCCCAAAGTGTGTCACAAAAATATCCCCCACACTATTACAACACCAGCCTGGACCGTTGATACAAGACAGGATGGATTCATGCTTTTATGTTGCTGCCAAATTCTGACCCTACCATCCGAATGTTGCAGCAGAAATCAAAACTCATCATACCAGGCAACATTTTTCCAATCTGTTGTCCAGTTTGTGAATTGTTGCCTCAGTTTCCTGTTCTTAGCTAACAGGAGTGGCACCCGGTGTGGATTTCTGCTGCTGTAGCCCGTCCGCCTCAAGGTTGAACGTGTTGTGTGTTCACAGATGTTCAGAGTTCTGCATACCTCGGTTTTACCGAGCGGTTATTTCAGTTACTGTTGCCTTTCTATCAGCTCAAACCAGTCTGGCCATTCTCCTTTGACCGTTGGTATCAACAAGGCATTTGCACCGACAAACCAGTAAGACCCTCACTGGATATTTTCTCTTTTTCGGACCATTCTCTGTAAACCCTGAAAATGGTTATGCGTGAAAATCCTAGAAGATCCGCAGTTTCTGAAATACTCAGATTGTCCTGTCTGGCACCATCAACCATGCCATGTTCAAATTCACTTAAATCAGCTTTCTTCCCAATTCTGATGCTCTGTTTGAACTGCAGCAGATCGTCTTGACCATGGCTGCATCCGAAACTGCATACTTCCATACTATATAGTGCCCCATTATGCCCCGCGAGAGAGTTTATGAATGGGACTGAAGTGACGCAACCGACGCAGGTAGGTCATGTGACCATGACAGAATGGCGGATGTCGTACGTCCGAATTCCATTCATACTTTTCACATTAATACTGTATAGATCGTACTTTTCTAACGGCCGAGCAGTACGTTTAAATTGAAATGCAGTACCTACTTAGTAGTAGGCAGTTTCGGACACAGCCATTGTCTACATGCCTAAATGCATTGAGTTGCTGCAATGTGATTGGCTGATTAGAAATTGGCTTTAATGAGCAGTTGGACAGGTGTACCTAATAAAATAGCAGGTAAGTGTATGTTATTTTCAAAATTAATAAGTCATAATTGGTCATAAAAAATAAAGTTTTTTTTAAACAAGTACATTAAATCTGCCAGTGAATAATGAAAAATAACTATTTCAAACTAAAAACAAGATTATTTTACTTACCTTGTTGGCAGATTATTTTACTTGTTTCAAGGAACAACTTGCTTAATTTTGATTTATCATTTCTGAAACCAAGACATTTTTTGCTTGTCAGTAAAAAGCTTCTTGATTTAAGATTCTTTAGATATTTAAACTTGAAACAATGTAAAAACTAATTAAGTAAAACTTTTTTGCAGTGTAAAGAGTTCTGAGATCTAAATAGTTGTCATTTACATTTGTGCTTGACTCTCTCTCATCCGTCTCGTTTGAAGGAGCCCAAAACGGATAAAGATGATGAATACTGTCGCAAAGTTAACGAGTACCTAAATAACCCACCCATGCCCGGCGCTTTGGGCAGTGGAGGAGGTGGAGGACATGAGCTGTCTGCTCTCGGTGGTGAGTGATAGACGTGTCCCAATTTTATTGCTTCTGATATTATCAGATTCGTTGTTTGAGCTGTTTGGCAGCTGACATGATGGAATAGATCATTCACTTGAAAAAAACATGTCTAGATTAAGATTAATGGAATGCTGTCAGGATGACATTAATACACGAGGTATGAAAGCAAAAAATGAAACCAATTCCATAAAGAAAAAGCAGTATTAATCAATCAACAGTGCCATTATTCCAGAATATCAGCACTTGAGATTAATCACACATGTGATATTGAATTTATACAACAGTTCAACAAATAAGAAGTTAATATTGAATGTTACATTTTGGAAGTGAAATAGTCTTAGTTTGACAAATTCAAATCAAATGCTATCATACGTGCGTTTATGAATCAATCTGTTTTTGAATGAATCCTTTGAGAAAATGGTTCAGTGGTTTATTGATAAAGATGCTTGTTTTGTTTCTAAATGTATCAGCAGCTTTGGATGAATCATTTAAGTTAATGCTTCAGTGAATCAGTCATTCAAACAGTGCCTGCTGCCATATATTGCTGGATAGCATGTTAATTGTTTTCGACATTGTTTAAAAAACACTCATCAGTTATCATTAATAAGATTTTTCATCAGCATAGCAAGCCTTACACTGGTAGAGATGTATAAACTTGAACTGAGAAAGGAGAATTAGTCCAAGTTTCCCAATGGCAATCCATCTTTCATTATGTACAGAAAATTGTCCTCAAATTTGAGAATTATTTTAAGTGAAAGTTCAATTATATTATTATATAATATAAATATAAATTTTGGCTTCATCTTCTGAGGCGCAAGTCATTTATAAGAAAAAGGCCCACAGCGGCATCTACTGCAGCACATTCCACTTTTTCTTTTGGTTTGCTGTCAGTCATTGAATGGAAATGCTGCTTTAATCACAAATGTTTTAGGTTATATTTCAGTTTTGCACACATAATTTGCTTTATTGGGTTGATAAGTGTATGCATTTTGTAAGGTTTATTTATTATATTTATGTGTAATATTTCTATGTTTAAATTGTTGTCAATTATAGTTGTCATCAAGTTTTATTTGGAAGCGCAGAGATATGAATAAAGGACGACTTGTGTGTTCAATCATGTGAAAAGGTTAATACACAACTTTGAATAGTCAAGTGGTCAGCTTTAGAGAGAGTGTGTGCGTGCATGTTGGCACAAGCCCTTTGTCTACAAGAGTGCAAAGAGAGTCTTGCTTTTTTTAATTATAACTTTGTTCAAGGAGAAGGTGGCCTGCAAAGCCTTCTGGGTAACATGAGCCACAATCAACTCATGCAGCTGATCGGACCAACAGGACTGGGTGGACTTGGTAAGTGATTTATTGAATTTTTTTTTTAAAGAAAGGTTATTTATTCAAAATAATGATGTTCAGATATTTGCAGTCAGTAAAAGGTTTTTGTTTTCTCTCTCCAGGTGCTCTGGCTGGTCCAGGATTGGCCAGTCTGTTGGGCAGTGGAGGTCCAGCCACCAGCAGCTCAACCTCCAGGTGCGACTCGTGATTTCTCCATGCAGTAACCCATTTTCTTCATGCACTGATCTGTTCACTCATCTGATTGATTCATTTCTGATTCACAGCTCTCGTAGCCAATCAGCAGCAGCCACTCCGTCCTCTGGGTCTGCTGCTCGTCTTAGCTCCACCCAGGCTCCTACTACACCCGTAACCCCTGCTGCCACCTCCAGCGGCTCGCCCACTGTCACCCCCACCACCCCTGCAGCCCAGACCCCCTCCCTGCCTGCGGGACCTGCATCCAGCACACAGCCCATCCAGCTGAGCGACCTCCAGAGCATCCTGGCCACCATGAACGTGCCTGCCATGCCCACTGAGGGATCCGGAGGTAAAAGATGGACGTCTTTCTTCATCTTCTTGTTCACAATACATGCATTAGTTCACCACCCTCTAATACCTACATTCTGCAGGCCTGTTCATGAAGCTACTGAGAAAAGCAGATTTGACTCTAGGTTCACATTGTAAGAATGATTATACAGGGTAAATGAAATCTCTGAAATTCCAACACATCTCTTCTGTTGTCCCCTCTGTAGTGGACTTGGCGAGTGTGCTGACCCCTGATGTGATGGCTCCTATTCTGGCCAACCCTGAGGTTCAGCAAAGGCTGCTGCCGTACCTGCCTTCAGGAGAGTCTCTGCCTCAGAGTGCAGAGGAGATCCAGAACACACTGACCTCACCACAGTTCCAGCAGGTCTGTCACTCTCTCTCATGCGCACACACAGGCGCAAAAAAGTTCCAAAAGTTGATTATCATCATAGGTGCCCTTTAAAAACAAGTGAAATGTCTACAGTGATGGTTTCATCATGAGTGCTGCTGGCCATGATAATCATATATTGTGACTCAGTGGAATCAGTGAAATTTCTGATTGAATCGTGTGTAAATGTTGGGCCTGATGTGAACATGTCTGTGTGTGTGCAGGCGATGAGTATGTTCAGCAGTGCTCTGGCTTCGGGTCAGCTCGGGCCGCTCATGAACCAGTTTGGTCTGCCTTCTGAAGCAGTGGACGCAGCTAATAAAGGAGGTCAGTGTGCATCAGGAAAAGCGTGTAGTTTATGTTTAGTCTGTTACTGTTTCATGTAATGCTTGCTTCAAATCCACACAGTTTTTTATGTGTTGTTAAAAGTCCCTATCAGATGATGTAAACACCATTATGTGACTACTAAATACACAAACTAATTTACCTTCCTTTAATTCAAAATTTATCCACGAGCACTGATCAGTTTTGTCCTGATGTTTAGACGTGGAGGCGTTTGCTAAAGCCATGGAGGGCAGCGACAGCAAAACAGACGACGGAGACTCCAAAGACAAGAAAGATGACGATGAGGACATGAGCTTGGATTAGAGACGCTCTCTGAACGCCATAGTCTCTCTGAAGTGTTCTAGTCTGGGATGTTTGCCTGTACTCATTCACTGACCCAAGTATGTGTTTTTGTATGTGCAAAAGTACGCTATTAAAACCCCGAGCTGTAACCGCAGTCTGCGCACGAGTCAAGTCCATCACATCAAACACAAAGGAGATCTTTATTGCCAATAAAAATACAGCTAATTGAGGGAAACGTGATAATAGCATGACAAAAATAACATTTCACGAGTGACTTTTAAATACACCAAAGGCTTAGGAAAATGCCTGTTTTAATACAATTAAATATGAAGTCATTTAAGGGTGTTTGGTCATGATTACATCAGTGAATGATTTGAATTCAGTGCTCCATTTTTCATCTGGTCCCTGCAGTTGTGAACATGTTTATCAATGGTGTCGCAGTGCTTTTATTAAAACGACACACACAAAGTGAACATAAATATCTGATTAAATTAACCTCTATGCAAACCCACCACCTGATGATCGGATAGAGTCTGTGTTTGGCTCGACACTCTATTAGGCAGGGCAGCCCTGAGTGCCCACTGATCCAGACACTGACAGAGGTTTGGAGAGCATGACGGGCCTGTGGTTCAGTACGGCTTTCCTCACACACCCCTGGAAAGACTGGACGCTGGATGATAGACCAGGCACTGTAATGGTCTCTGCACACGACGGGATAAAAGGCACATTAAGCATTATACTTCATTCACTTTTAACTGCACTATTTTGGCTGGTTGATTGATCATACCTGGCAGACCACCCAAATACACCGCCTCTTTGCCTCCGTTGGATCTGCTCTGTTTGGGAGCCACTCCGTGTTCACTGAACGAGTCCACGTGCAGCTGAATGACGTTGCTCTTCTTCACAACTAAAACACAAATATTTAATTTAAGTGTGAAAAACTGTAGACCCGACCTTAACCTTATTCAAGTCTTACATGTAGATACAGTTAAATTCTAAATTATTAGTCCTCCTGTTTTTGTTTTTCAATTATTTCCCAATCAATGTTTAACAGATTCAGGAATTTTTCACAGTATTTCCTATAATATTTTTTTCATCTAGAGAAAGTCTTATTTGTTTTATTTTGGCTAAAATACTTTTTTTAAATATAATATTAACTGCTTTCATTCTAAGGTCAATAAAATAAGCCCCCTTTAGCAATATATTTTTTTCCGATTGTTTACAGAACAAACCATCATTATACAATGAGTTTTTGACCTAGAGCAGTGGTTCTCAAACTGTTGTACCTGTACCACTAGTGCTATGTGAGCTTTCTTCTAGTGGTACGTGGAGAAATCAAATGTCATATGTACATGCTACATATAGTTCAAAAATGATTTATCTATTAATATGATGACATATAGGCTATATTTATGAGGTCCAAGCAACATCTCCAAGTTTTGATGAATAAGCTACTACTGTATATGGATACTTGTTAAGAACAGTAGCCTACCATATTTAATGAACTTTTAAAAGCACATTTCAATTTAAACGTTAATGTTTTATTTTGTTTGTTTTTTTGTTTTGTTTTTTTCATATAAGCACAGTACAGTGTTAATGTTCAAACTATTTATAATGTTAAAAATGGCTTATAATAATACAAATTCTTAATAATAGGAATTAATCTGCCTGTTTTTTGAACAGTGCAGTGCTGTAGCTTCTTAACTGAGCCTACCACACTACTGTATTTCAATACTGCTCATTATAGCGGTACTTGTACAGACAATTTGTTTCTGAGGTGGTACTTGCTGAAAAAAGTTTGAGATCCACTGACCTAGGCTACGTTCACACTGCAGGCAAATGTGGCCCGAATAAGATTTTTTTTCCCCCACATGTGACTCCGATGATGACAGTGTGAACAGCTTAAACCACATGGAATCTGATCTTTTCAGGTCAGACTTGTGCCACTTTCATATATAGTCTTAGATCAGACACAGATCTGATGTTTTGCAATGTGAGCGCAGTGTGAATGGTTATGTCGGATTTCATGTGACTTTCACATAATCTTCCAGCGACATGCGTCATCATTCTGTGCTGCAAACATTATCTTCTCCTCCTCAGAATGGCACACAGGGCGATTACTCTACCACAGAGAGTTGGTTGTTCATTATGAAAAAGATTTTGAAGGCAAAACTACTGTTTGTTGATTTTCTGGTTACAATTGAGGTACAGGTTGATCGCGAAGCCAAAGAGTGTCATGGGTGTTGCGGATAGGGGATCCGTGTGCAAAGTAGGGAGAACTTTCTCTCCAAGAGAAAAAAGCTCCCTTCTGCACGTGTCTGCTGTTTATAACAAAGTAAAATGAAATATTTCTGCAAACGGAGATCCACCAACTCCGCCTTCACAATTCAGTCTGCGGCTGCTCATTTACCCTGGATGAGTTCACCGGTGGTCAGAGTGTCACGCACCACAATTGTCATACAATCACAAGAGACTTGTTTTAGGTTTCAAATGCCGAAATACACATTATTAATAGCTGAACAACCCTTTACAGTTGATAAAATACACCACGGTTGTCTGTGAAAAGAGTAATAATCATAAGCATGATCTGACAGCGTGCTTACCTCATACAGTATACGCATGGTGTGCAGAATTAGACATTTTGTGCTGTCCATATCTGTACTTTTGCACATGCGGGTCAGTTTCGAACCATGATCTGTTCACACTGCAAGTCTGATATTGGCCACATTTATAAGAGCAGTGTGAACAGCCATGCAAAAACATCTGATCTGAGAAAAAAAAAAATCAGATTTGAGCACTAAGCCTTGCAGTGTGAACGCAGAGGACTCTTAGGGTGCTTTCACACCTGTGAATCGATTCAGTTGTTCCAAAACAGGGAATTAAATTATTACTTTGTTGCTCTTGGTGCGGTTCGCTTTCACACTGCAACGTTTCTAAACGGACCAAAAGAGCTAAAACAAGCCACGTGTGGGTAAACTCTCCACACATTGGTCAGAGTGTCAGGGTTTATTTTGCTCAGCTGTCAGGGGGGTGGTGGTGTTTGACAAGGTGCGCGCGATGTGTCTGAAGAGCGAGGAGAGATGTGGTTGGGAGGGGTGAGAAGGGTGCGTGATGTATTTGAGGACCGGGAGGGAGACGCGCGATTACCGGCAGATAATCACTCATTTGCGGGCATCCGGGAGACTCCCGAAACTTCCCGCCCTACTCATAATTCTCTCTTCATATAGCCGTATGCCCATTACAAATCCATAAAACACTGTGATATAACTGTGCTCGGATCATATCGCTTTCTCATTACAATCGATCCGCTCCAGAGTTTGTTTCAATCGAGCTGAGACCACCTCATTCAAGCGATCTAGGAGCGATTGATTTGGAGCGGATCCTAGCACGATTGCTGGTTTCACATATGCCAAACAAACCGCTCTAACGAGACAGGTTACGAAACAAAAGTTTAGGTGTGAAAGCACCCTTAAGCCTACCCAAACCACATGTGCACATTGGCCAGAGCATCATAATGTTATTAAAGGGAAAGTTCACCCAAAAATGAAAGTGCTGTCATTATTCACTCATCCTCCGTTTTCTTTTCTTGAACACAAAGGAAGATATTTTGTTTTAAATGATTTCCAAAGTCTTTTTGTTCATTTTGACACGTAAAGCCATTGATATGAGGCCATTGAATGTGAGGAAATGGCATTAAAATCAGCAAATACCACACCCCCACTAACATCACAATACTTCTAAAACACCATCATTATCTCCTGATGAGTTTGTGCCTAAATGTTGTCACTGATCAAAATAGTACGGATATATCACAAAAAAAGTACTGATATATCAGTACTTTATTTTTACATGAGCATTAAAAGTGAAATCAAGTCTAGTTAGTTTACTCAACTAAAACAAGTACTTGATCTTTTACTGGGTTCTGTTCTTCGTACCTCGCTTAAATGATCTAAGATGATTTGGCAGATCCTGGATCTGTTAATCTTGATAACTGATCTCTCGCTTATTTTTTTTTCTTCAAACAAGTTCATGAATCTGATTAAAATGTCTGGACAAACTGATCTGAGATCGCTACATGTGTTGTGAAGGACAGATCTATCGATCCTCGAAATCATGATCAGCTATGCACAATTGGCTGACGACACAGCAGCGTACTGACATCATCTGATTAATATTCAATTGTCCATGTGAGCAAAATTATCCATCAAATTAGCAGTAAACGGCTTGTTAAATATGACACGCAATAATCTTCAACATTTGTTATGAGCGGCAGGCTTTACACTTTCATGTTTCAACAGTATTCCTCATTAATTTCAATGCATATCGAGATTATAAGATTTTAAGATTTTCTTTATTATAGTAGACTTTTTTAATCGGTGTAAAGAATAACTGGATGTTAGCAAAAGCATTTTGATATTGGTAAAGGTGTCTGCAACTTTTATGAAGCATCAAATCATCGTCATATTAACTGTCAAAACATGTTTATGACTGCATAAATGTATTGTTGCTTTTAAAAAAAAATCACATACTGTGCATGTCTATTATCATACACAAATTGTACTAAAGCGATCTAAAAATTACATATCAAAGTTTTCTCTTTGCACCACCACGTGGCAGTCTTTGTACATTCATTTCGGGGGTGCAGATTGCATAGGTTTTATTAATAAATAACTTTATTTATTTTATTAATAACTATAACTTTATATAGGTTTAAAAGATTTAGTATTTTCCCATGTGTATATAACTACTACTGTAAGAAAATATCAGAATTCGGTACATACTTTCTCTATTATCTTTGCTTGTACTGAGCCGATCTAATCCTGTTTATATGAATTAAACCTGCTTCCGATCAGGTTTGAACTAGCAGAACTGTTGCTATGACAACAACTCTCAGATCAGTTTTGAAGAACGAAACGATCCTGGATCATGTCAAATTGTCAATAACCAAATCCAGCTAACTGAGTAATCCATGTACGAAGAACGGACCCCTAGTATAATTATTTATTACCGTATCTATCTTTACATCTACTCAAACCATTGCTCTGTGCTTTTCCCACCAACTGAGAAATACCTTGTATATCTATTGTTATTGTCTAAAATGCCCAAATAAAATAAGTACAAAATACTTTAATGGAGAAAAACAACAAAAGGTACACAAGCACGTTCCAGATTCAGAAATGAAGGTGGTCTCGACTTACTTGCAATAGTGTGCCATCCTCCATCACAGAGCGACTCTTTAGGTGTGAGACTGACTGAAAACTCTCCACTACCACTGTTCATCAGCACAGTGACCTACAAACAGAACACACACAGTGTCAAAGACACCCAATTAACCTGAATAAAGCATTAGAAAACATCACAGTAAGTCTCGCTTAAAGAGGTAGTTCACCCAAAAATAAACATTTACTCACCATCGTTTTTTGATTCTGTTGAACACTAAAGAAAATATTTAGAAAAAATGTTGGACATCTATAACCGTTGACTTCCATAGCAGAAAAAAAAGTACTGTTGGAGTCAGTGATTACAGATTTCCAACATTTTTCAAAGTATTTTCTTTTGTGTTTAACAAAAAGAAACTCAACTCAACAAAACATTTTTAGATGAACTATCTTTTTAAAGGTCTTGTGAAGTGGTTTGACAAAATTGCAACTGAAATATGAAGAAGGGGTGAGAGATACAGTCTCCTCTTTTGAAAAACAGCCAATTTCATTTGGTCTACATCACAATGCTGCCATTCAACACTGAGGCCCCATTTACACTAATGCCTTCGTTTTAAAACGCATAAGTTTTGCTACGGTTACGCCATCCGTCCACACTACGCCGGAGTTTTTGAGCGCCAAAAACGGAGCGTTTTGGAAACGCTAAAGAGACCGTTTTCATTGTAAAACGCTGCTGCTCCGTCTCAGTGTGGATGGGGGAAAACGGAGACATCTGAAAACGGAGGCGGGGCTGCAGACATTCACCTCTCTGATTGGGGCTTTTCCACAATATTAAGTAGCCTACTTGTCCTCTCCTTATAAGTTCAGACTTAGCAAGTTTGATATGGAAAACAGACTCCCGAGGACACGAACGAGCAGTACAAGAACAGTGTACTCTATATCCGCGTTCACATCACCCTGGCTACGTTGTTTCACTTTCTCAACAATAAAATTAAAACATGATTTAAGAAACTGCCTATTTTCATTTTTGATATTAGCAACTTAACAGACAGCAGAAATGTTGAGGCGTTGTGCTGCGTATATGACCATCATCTTCACTGTGTGCATCTTTATAACAAGACGGAGCCTATAACATTACTGCATCCTTTCATTTTCAGTGAAAATACGAAATATACCCTCTCTTTTGCTGAATATCAGTTTTAATAATCGATAATGGCCATTATAAAAGTATAACGTACAGTAAGTTTAGACTTTATAGGAAATAAAGGCAAGCGATCAGTCAATACACAGAATGTATGTGGTTACGTTACATTAATTATTAACCTGAACTTTGCGTTCAGCCAAAACACGTTACCTAAGAACAAGTAATAGATTCAAAAGACCAAAGTCGAGAATATGTTGTTAGATGAAGACAACAAGATGAATGAAATATCATGTTTAACAAATATAATGAGATTAGATCCAGCGGGAGATTGCTTGACTTGATGAGCAGTTCGACGAGCACAGCTCTCATCTGGGTAATGTGGGTAGATATGCTGCAGCGCATGCCAGAGAGTTTGCGTGTGTGTGGTTAAGTAATGTGCATTTCAGTCATTTTGGTGTGGACGGAGAGCTGTTCAGAAACGCTGGGTGAAACGCTAGTATGGACTTGGATCGTTTTCATTCTAAAATGCCCTTTTAAAACTAAAACGCACTAATGTAAACGGTACCTGAGTCTGACTCACAGTTTCTTCAGCTTTCTTTGTAATTCAAATGCTTCTGATATGTTCTGTGCTGACTAGCACATATTTTTATCCTGTCAGTAGCACTATATAGTACTTTTCACCAAATACAAGTGGACAAAAGCTTTGATATATTTCCTTTTTTTATATATGCCATGTATTTCCCCCTCTGGGCTTGCCATAGAGAGGTGCTGCACATGTTTCCCTTATAAGGAACCCTCACTGTGAATGTTCTTTGACATGAATAATGGCAAATTACAGCATTAGCAATAGCATCTTGAAGGGACAGGACATATCGAACACTAGAGAACATTTGATTGAACAGAAGATGTGATGAGAAACTGAAGTATGAGGTGACGTCAAATAACTTCCTGACTCATTTTGCTGGAAGTGTTTAGATGTTTAGATCTTCTAAATGCAAATATGGTCACAGTTTTGGAGCGCACTGGATTATAGACGAACCTAAGACTAACATAATCACTCATACAGCCCAAAAAAATGCACATTTTGATTTTATGGGGACCTTTTAGTGTGTGTGTGTGTGCGTGCGTGCGTGTGTGTGGTTGTGTCACCTGGCCTTGTTCCAGATACACACTCAGCTGGTGTGTTTTCTTGGCTCCAGTGTGCAGCAGAAGCCCTGAGCCTGAATCCAGACGGACCTCCAATTGGATCTCCAGGTCCTGTCCTAAAACCAGCGACTCGTCTAAAGAGCAGAGACACAGTGAACAAAGAGTTTGTGTATCACAAAGTTCCTGCTGAGAGTATGATAATAGGATTAAAATGGCTGACCGATGGTCATGAATCCTCCACGACTGGAGAAGTGAGCGCCGGGCTGCAAAGGCTGCTGGTAACAGGGCGTCACACCTACACTGACAGATGGGCTCTGAAGAGACACCTCGTTCAGTTTCAGGTCCCGAACACAGCCCACGAATCCAGCCTGACAGACAGACAAGTCAACAATTCAATATGTGTGTTGAATTTGTTTCTCAACCACGTTCCTGGGGCTCTGCACATTTTCCATGTCTCTTTAACCAAACACACGAGATTCAGATCATCAGCTCATTAGCAGACACTGAAACACCTGTAATGGGTGTGACAGACAAATGAGACATCCAAAACATGCAGTGCTGGTGGTCCTCCAGGAACGTGGTTGAGAAACACTGCCATACATTTCACTTAAATCACAGAAGAACGCAAAACAAAGAGAAAGAAAAAGAAAAGAAAGAAAAAGAAAGTTTTTTTAAAAGAAAAAAACTATCACTGATGCATCATGCGTGCAACTGTTAATGCATGCCTGCTGGTCTTCTAATTGATACAGCAGTTCCGCCATTGTTGTTAAATGTTTTTTTTTTCTTCTACTTCTGTTTACGTGGTACTGTGTTGTCATCGTTTACAAAAAGATTCGGCTACATGAGTAGCAAGTAGAGTTAATTCTACTCTATACCAACAATGCTAATGTTGAGTGGAAAAAAAAGGCTGAAACTACATTGAACTTTTGTGGATTGGTGTACATTTTTGACATGGCATGGTAGTAGGTAGCCCTTTACTTGAAAGGGGTGTTATGCTGTTTTGGTAATGCCAAGTTGTCATAACAAACAATGTCATCTTTGCATTTAAAATGTCAACTTAGCAAATCACACTTAAAGCTTCACGAATCCCTCGAGTACTTTTTTTGAGATTTGACATTTGATTTTTTTAACAGATTTGTGTGTGTTGAGCATCAGTTAAGACAATGTTAGCACCTGACAGCTTTAATTGTGGGGAAAACTGGATAATTTGGAGCTTTTGTCAGCAAATTTCAGCTTCCGGGTTTAAAATGATATTTGAGGCAAGATCAAAATCAGCAACATGGCGCAAAACTGCAAGTGCAAAGATGACGCGTTGCTGTGAGAAGAGCCGGCTTTTTAATTATTCATGACTGCACATGATTTCCGAAGGCAAGACACATACCTGCCAGTGCCAAGCTGTGAGACAAGGACCCACGGCACACAGTATTTAGCTGTTCATGAAGGGTTGCATGTGTTTGTTTCCATGATCCATGGGATTTGTTGCATGATTTTCCCCACGATGCTGTCAGGGTCGATACAGCAAAGCTGTTTGTGTGCAGCAGGCATTTTTGTCGGGAGAGCAGTACGAGAATCGGATAATGGCGGATCTTGTCTTTTATCAGGACTTCACATTTAGACACATCGCCGTGCTGCTGTGTTTGCATAAATCCTCCAGATTCCCAGCAGGGCTAATGGTTAAAATAGACAGGGCAAGTCTGCATTCAGACCGATGATTGAGGGAAAAGTCCTCATTTATAGTTTGTATGAACACGGTTATCTTTATTATGATATAAATTGTGGTTATCTGTATATGAAATTACAAATAACAAATGTAGCAGGGCATTAAATCACTGTTTATTTCTTTGCATTTTAACTTTGTATACTATAAAATCATGTGTCTCCTCACGGTTTGTGTCTCATTTTTTGAGCCGACTGACAACAGTTGTTCGCTCCCCTATTTCTCCCCTGCTGGCCACGCCCCCTCCTGCCCTTTGCTCGTGGAGCTCCACGCTCATTATCATGCATCTTTTGAAAAAATTCTGAGGTAGACCTGAACCGAAAGTGGGGGGTGTCATGGCCCTTTAATGACTTGTTATACGCATACATAAAAGCTCATTCCCATTCATGACGTGTCATGTCAGGGTTATAAAGGTTTAATGTCTTTGAACACCCAGTCGAGTAAAGTGTTACCCTATTAGTATTTCTCTAAACCCAAGGTAAAAAAAAAAATGCCATGGAGCAAACAAAAGCCATATAGATAAGCTCAAGAGGAAAACTAGCATCTGTTTTTACAGGCACAGTTGGCTCACAATTGACTAATATCACACCCAACTGGATAAAATTGTTCATCGAGTAAAAATATGGTGGCCAGTGTTTCACATTCACTGAAAATAGCAATAAAAATAGTTTAAATGCATTAAAAAGGGGTATTGTAATCCCATATTCATGCATGCTAATAAGAGTGCTCATTAAATCAGACTCATATAAATGATATGAGTAAATAATATCAATCAAATCATATTTATAAAAGGTCTTTGCATTTTCTTATTAAAATAATGACTATACAGTAACGAAATATATAAAAGTAAAACAGTATACTGTTCATACTTCATTCATTTTCTTCTCGGCTTAGTCTCTTTATTAATCCTGGGTTGCCACAGTGGAATGAACCACCAACTTATCCAGCAAGTTTTTACGCAGGGAAACATCCACACACACATTCACACACACACTACAGACAATTTAGCCCACCCAATTCACCTGTACCACATGTCTTTGGGGTAAACCGGAACACCCGGAGGAAATCCACACGAAGGCAGGGAGGACATGCAAACTCCACACAGAAACACCAACTGAGCCGAGGTTCAAACCAGCGACCCAGCGACCTTCTTGCTGTGAGGCGACAGCACTACCTACTGCGCCACTGCCTCAGCTATTTATACTTAGACTACTTAAATAAAACACAAACAAGGTGGAGAGACGGTTCAAATTAATTTTGCTGTTTCAAATAAATAGAAACGAGCAGTAATAAAAACACTATTTTTAAATTCAATGTTGGGTGATACGGTGGCTCAGTGGTTAGCACTGTCGCCTCACAGCAAGAAGGTCGCTGGTTCGAGACCTGGCTTGGTCAGTTGGTGTTTCTGTGCATGTTCTCTTTGTTTGTGGGTTTCCTCCGGATGCTCCGGTTTCCCCCACAGTCCAAAGACATGCACAGTAGGTGAATTGACTAAGCTAAACTGGTTGTAGTGTATGAGAGTGTATGGATGTTTCCCAGTACTGTGTTGCAACTGGAAGGGACATCTGCTGTGTAAAACATATCCTGGATAAGTTGGCGGTTCACTCCAAGTTCAGACTGCATGATTTTCAAAGTAGTCGTGTCACAGATGTTTTCACACTGCATGACTATCTGGGCTTGCGTTTCGTCGCTGCTTTGTTTACACTGCAAGATGGATCAGCGACGGGGGCTTTCACATTGCACGACTTTACAATAGGAAGAATCGCTGACAACTTTGTCCAAACTACGTCGAACACAGCCAAAAACACGTAGTATATCTTTTATTATTAATTACATAATGAGAAAGAAGCCTTTAATGGGGTAGAAAATGTACATATGTGCTCACCTGGGTTTGAAGGGAATTAGCTATTTCTCATCAACTTCTATATAAAACTTTCTGTATGAAGCGTCAAACAGACATGTGTGCTCCAGTCAAACCTCCACTAGTTTTTCCTCCATTTCTTGGGTCCAAATAAACCGAAAATGAGCGCTTTTAACTTCTCCCTTAACCTTCCGCTGGCCAGCCGACACACAAACACACACGTGCACAAGTGAATGCTGCTCTCTCACTGACTGTAGGCGATCTCTGATGTTATTTTAGGTCAAAACTCATTTTACACGGCATGATTTAAATCGCCGACAGCTCCGGATATTTAGCACGCCAAAAATCTCACAGGCATTGTCGACTCATCTACGATTCTCTCAGATCGCGCATTTGATATTTCACACTGTGTGATTGTCACTCACGTGCACAAGCACCGATTTGCCTGTGATTTCAGGCATTTGCCTGGGATTTCTCAAAACCTGTCGGAGAGCCAAAATCGGGGCTAAAATCATGCAGTCTGAACTCGATATAAGCTGATGGAAAATTAACCAATTAAATTCAATTTTCATTCATTTATTTTCTTTTCGGCTTAATCCCTTTATTAATCAGGGTTCACCACAGCGGAATGAACCGCCAACTTATCCAGCACGTTTTACGCAGCAGATGTGCATCCAGCTGCAGCCCATCTCTGGGAAATAGATGAATGAATTAAATTAAAAAAATGTATAATATGTTAGGATGAAAGTCTTAAAAAGTCTCATTTATCAATACCATAAAAAATGACTCATTACAATAATAATGACATCCCTTAATGTAATCAATAAACTAGTCTATAGGTGAAATCGGCTATTCTATATAATATGTGTGTTTGCTACTGTGATAGATAGTGAAAGATTTCCTTTGTTCAGTTGTGTATAATCAGTGTTTACCATGGCTGCGCTGTGGTCTACAGGAAGTCCTCCGATATAGAGCGGAGCAGCGAACATACTCTTCCCTCCAGCAGACACTCTCTTGTTCTGTGTGTCGATGCCGTCCACAGTCAGAGACCCCCGGTCACCCTCCACTTTCACAAACACCTGCAGCATTTCATTCACAAATCAGAGACCTGAAAAAACATCCAGCCTGTGTAAAGTCAAGCCTCCTCCGCATACGAACCGTGTGCCACAGGCCGTCGCTGTATCTCTTTTTGCTGCGTATGCTGGTCTTCCTTTTCCCGCCGTTGACCAGCAGAGTCAGATGACCATCAGACACAGAGAGCGCCATCATCCTCTGGCCTTTTCCTCCTGCCACATGGAAGATCAGGCCACTGGAGGAGTTCACGCGCACACTGATGGAGAAGTGCGGCCTGAAACAACAGGTTCACATACAGTGAATGCACGAGAAATCAGCAGGATGTGCATCATTTTAAAAAGCACTTTTAGGTTGTGATTAGTACCATTGGGGTTGGTATTGGATGGATACTACTGTATATTAAATTATTATGATGTCCCAGCCTATAGGCTGAGTGCGTATGGTATTTCCGTCTATTTGCTGTGTGTGTGTGTGTGTGGTGTCCCAGCCTATCAGCGGTGAATGTGTGTGTTTCAGTTGCAGGTCGGAGGTGACATGATTTGTACACAGGTGCCACTCATTGGGACGTTGATAAAAGCAGTTTGGTTAAGCTGCGTTGACCATCCCATTTTGGCCCTGACTCTTCATTACTTTATATTATTTATGTCATTGTTATGTTAAAATAATTGTTCTTTTGCCTGTGATGGTTGCATCTGGTCGCCCTTTTTGTTGCAGCTTAAGAGCCAACTGTAACAATTATATATATATTTTTTATTAAAAAATAACAACCAATTCTTTCTCTGGATATGGTTATGTGTTTTATATTGATTTATTCTGTAAGATACTAATAACATATTACCTGAATTTAACATAAAAATGTTGTCTATTAGAGCATTTTCTTAACATATGTTCTGAAAAATTAGGGAATAAATATAAGGTCAAATAACCCCTTACCATTATCATTACCTAGAAAAAAAAGTGTCATATATTTATTAGACATTTTGAAGACAAATTATCATACCTTTATACAATTAAAAATACTAATATTTATATCAAATCCATTTCTAATAAATATAGAAAAACTGATTAATTATTCTATTATATATATATATATATATATATATATATATATATATATATATATATATATATATATATATATATATATATATATATATATATATATATACACACATAGTGTTGAAGTCAGAATTATTAACCCCTCTAAATTATTAGAGCTCAATTTCTGTTTAACAGAGAGAAGATTTTTTTTCAACACATTTTTAATAACAATAGTTTTAATAACTCATTTCTAATAACTGATGTATCTTTGCCATGATGACAGTAAATAATATTTGATTAGATATTTTTCAAGACACTTCTATACAGCTTAAAGTGACATTAAAAGGCTTAACTAGGTTAATTAGGTGAACTAGGCAAGTTCGAGTAATTAGGCAAGTTATTGTATGACGATGGTTTGTTCTGTAAACTATCGAACATCGAACATAATATGTAGCTTTAAAATTTGTTTAAAAATTTTAAAACTGTTTTTATTCTACCCGAAATAAAACAAATAAGAATATTATCATAAAAAAATATTATCAGACATACAGTGAAAATTTCCTTGCTCTGTTAAACATCATTTGGGAAATATTAAAAAAAGAAAAAAAAATCAAAGGGGGCTAATAATTCTGACTTCAACTGTGTGTGTGTCTGTGTGTGTTTATGTATATATATATATATGTATATATATATATATATATAAACAGAGTTGGGTGTAACGTGTTCCATGGTAACGTGACTGTATTTTAATTACATTTTTGGGCATGATTACATTATTACAGTTACTAAAGTCAATGTAATTTTTTAGACCAAAAAAAAATGCTTTTAAAAATTGCTTGAGAATTGCTGGAGAACATAATGCTGCTTCTTCAAGTGGAAATACAGACATTACTTTGATTTCATTGAGTATAAAAACCAAAATATTGCTGTGAAATGCAGTCTATGTCCAGTTTGCTGCTTTTAACTTGACCAGCAAATTGTTTCAGCACTTGAATAGAAAGCATTCTACGGCCGTTTACATATCTACATATATATTACGCATCCTTTGTGCGTGCATATTGTATTTTCCCATGTGCGCCCAGATGAAAACCGCAGGTCACGTGACAAGAACTGACTGATCAGCTCCATACTTTGTCTGAGGTAATTAGTCTACACAAATGTGTATAATCCATACAAACACAGAATACCCAAACACTGCAGTGCTTTTGATGAGAGAATGTTAAGTTTTGCGTGTACTCTTTAAGCCTTTTGAATATGTCAAGCTGCTGTGATCAACTTATTGTAATGTTTTTCAGTAAATATTAAATTAATGACGGAGGGGCAGTTTATTTTGTATTTTTATAGGTATATTGTATATGTTTTAAAACTGCAAAGTAAAGATAATAGTAATCTGATACATTTTTACATGAAGTACTTAGTAATGTAATCAGATTACAATTTTCGAGTAGTCAATAACTGTAGACTGTTAAAAACAAACAAAAAATCGAATCAAAATTTTTTGATGATGCATTTAACACTGAACAGTTTTTTGTCACTGTTTGTTTCATTAATACAGAATATTAATATCAGTCATAATGTAAATAAGTATTAGTATTGTTTGTTAAAACACTCACGCTTTGCTAAAAGCTTGAGGCAGCGAATCAAATCTCATGTGGCTGTGGGTGGAGCCACTGAAATGGTGGGCGTCAACCTCCTGAACAGACGTGTCACCCTGACAGGAGTCACGAGCCATTCGACTTCTCGAATTTCCAGGAGCATTCTGCAGTATTTACACAAATACACAGATTTCATGTGTGATTACTAAAAAACATTATCATGCAACACTAAGAATTAAAATACATAAATAAATAATAATGCAACATAAAAGTAAAAATAAAAATAAAAACAGTGAGGCAATAATATACTGTAATATTAATAAACAATAAAATAATATGATAATCCTTTTATTTTAAATCTTTTATTGTAAATTTTAACACTAATAAAGTAAAACAAAAGAAAAAAATTAAAATAAAACATTAATATAAATGAATATTCATTAAAGCAATACGATAATGCTTTTTATTAAAAAGAATTCTATTAAATGAAGTAAATAAATAATAGTAACAAAACACTAGCAAATTGAAATCCAATTCTAATGAAAAACGTGATTAAACTAATGATAAACATTAAGATAGATAGATAGATAGATAGATAGATAGATAGATAGATAGATAGATAGATAGATAGATAGATAGATAGATAGATAGATAGATAGATAGATAGATAGATAGATACAATGATATACTGTAATAGAAATCATTAAAATAATATGATAATGCATTTAATGAAAAATGTTCTATTTAAAATAAACAAAATAAAATAAATTAATACACTAAAATAAATAAATGAAATAAATGTGAAAAATATTTAAAATAAATAAACAAATAAAAATATATGAACAAATAAATAAATAAAAATATAATATAATATAATATAATATAATATAATATAATATAATATAATATAATATAATAATAAAATAAGTTAAATCTTTTCAGCAGCACCTTCTTTGGCCGTGGAGAATTTAACATCTGCAGTGGGGCTGAAGCATCAGGGCAGGTGAATGTGTATTTGCGTCCCTCTAGAGCTGTTTTCAGATCTTCTACAATCTGTGGTTCGTTCGCTCTAAAAACACACAAGTAGAAATGCTGACAGCAGATCTAAAGACAACCTTTCATTTAATTTGTATAAGATGTAGCGTTCACTAGCGCTAGCTCCATCAGTCTAATTCTTAAAGTCTTCTCGGCAGTACAAACCTCTTGATGAAGAAGTTGCTGATGCAGCCGGTGAGGTTGGTCGGACCGTTTGACTCCGGTGTCCCGCCAACATAGGTAAAGCCTTCCTGCAGTGCGTTTCTTCTAGTGGTTACATTACCAGTTTCTCCAGAACTCTCGAGCACATCGTCTATATAAATGCTCAACCTAAACAAAGACAAAACTGTTTAGAAACTCAAAGACAAACACAATTATAGTATACAGTTGAAGACAAAAGCTGCTTTTCCACTATCGTGCCGAACTGTTCTAGACAACCGTGCTGAACTGTGCCGACAGATTCTGTGTGTTGACGTCGCGGCTCTGTTGCCAAATGACCACAGCTGGCTCAGTGGAAGTGTGCTAGTCATCAGACATCCACAAGTAAAGAACACTACATTTAATATACTATATTAATATAGTATATTATAGTATACTATAGTAATATATAATATATATTTAATGACTTGAATACAATTAACCATGTATAATATAATTACTAACAAAGACTCAGAACACCCTAGCACAGGGGTGTCCAAATTCGGTCCTGGAGGGCTGGTGTCTTGCATAGTTTAGCTCCAACTTCCTTCAACACACCTCCCTGGATGTTTTTTAGTATACCTAGCAAGAGCTTGATTAGCTGGTTCAGGTGTGTTTAATTGGGGTTGGAACTAAAATATGCAGGAGTGTCCAGCATCCCACCAGGACTGAGTTTGGACACCCCTGCCCAAGCAAGACCTTAGCAAGCACTCAGAACACCCTATCAGCCACTTTGCAACCACTCAGAACCACCTGTTGCACAGCAAAAAACATACTAACCTAAATGTACTTAACTGTCTATGCCAGCTGTTTCACACTTCTGAAAACTACTTCAATTATTTAAACTTAAACCTAGTTAAGCCTTTAAAATGCACTTTAAGCTGAATACCAGTGTCTTGCAAAATAACTAGTTAAATATTATGTACTGTCGATATGGCAAAAACAAAAAAAAAGTTTGTTTTTTTTAATTATAAAATAATTATTAAAACTATTACACTCAAAAACGTGTTTAAACAAATCTTCTCTCAGCACTTGGGAAATATTAAAAGAATAATAAAGGTTTAACAGGAAGGCTAATAATTTTGCCTTCAACTGTGTAATGAACAATACAGTGTCTATATGAATAATGAACATATGGAGACGTACACATTTTGGTCGCGGTAAACCGCAACATAGTGATTGTTGTCATCGTTGTACGTCTTCTGAGACTTGACTTCCTTTCTGTCAGTGCTGACCAGCACATGACCGTTGTCTAACATCACCTTACACACATTATCCTGAGGAGACAAATCACAGCCATCACCAAAACACATCCCTCATCATTTTTTCTTCTGTTGAACACAAGAGAAGATATTTTGAAGAATGCTGGGGAAAATAAGCAGCCGTTGGCATCCATAGCAGGAAAGGAAATTACTAAAGAAGTTAACGGGGTGCCAGCATTTTTCAAATGATCTACTTTTGTGTTTCTACAGAAGAAAGAGTCTCAAATAGGTATCGCGTGGGGTGGTTAAATGTTTTTCAAAATAGTTTTTGCGTGAACTATCCCTTTAAGCATTAATCATACCTTGTTTTGATGGTAAAACATAAGACCGTTTTGCTGATCTGTTCTGAAGCCAATGCCGCCGTAGAAGCTGTTTGCCAGATCCACATAATCCATCTTCAAGCCCAGGTAGCCTTCACCAGTGAAATGAGCCTCACGAGTAAACTGGTAAACACAAACGCACACACAAGCACAAGTCTGAATACAGCAGAGCTCACATGTAGAGGGAAAAATACAGTCAGGAATTTATAAGATCTAGCTCTGAATCTGAATTATTATGCATCCCAATTAAATTTGATGTTTCACAAAAGAAATAATGTTCCTTTTGTACAATTTGGTAACACTTTAAAATAATAATCCATTATTTAATGTTAGTTTATGTGTTTACTAACATGAACAAACTATTACTTTCATCTCTGTTGCTGTTTAAGATAAAATACATTAGTTCAATGTTAACTCACTGTGGATTAACTAATGTTACAACTTGTTGGAAGTTAAAAGTTAAACTTTTGGATCATAACAATGCATTAGTTAATGCTGAATTATGATTAATAAATGTTTTACAAGATTATTTATAGTTATTGTTAGTCAATACATTGGATCATTATTCTAATGTGTTACCATTTATTTTTATATACATGTAGGAGGTCATTGATTAAATAGTGGGGGAAATAAGTATTGAACACGTCACCATTTTTTTCAGAATCCATTTCTAAAGCTGCTGTTGACTTGAAATTTTCACAAGAATCAAAGAAATTCATATACGCAAAACAAATCTAATTAGTTTACAAATTAAGTGTAATAAAAAAAGATGGGAAAAATGTACTGAACACATGAAGAAAGGGAGGTGTAGAAAGACATGGAAAGCTCAGACAGCAGCTGAAATCTTTCAGTAGTTCTTCAGTAACCCTCTGCCCTTTGTCGTTGTAAATTAATATCAGCTGCTTCAGTCTGACATATACATTAGCAGGATGATGAAGATGAAACCAGGGTGGACATTTCAGCAAGACAATGATCCAAAACACAGCCAAGGAAGCTCTCAAATGCTTTCAGAGAAAGAAAATCAAGCTATGAAATGGAACAGCCAAAATATAAATATAAAATATAAATTTAAGATCAGGGGTCATTTTCAGAAAGGAGGTTAAGTGAAAACTCAGAGTATTTTAACCCTGAAATGAGAGAAACTCTGAGTTTTCCGTTTCAAAATGGCAGGTTTGTTAAACTCGAGAAAGCAGGTAAGTCAAGCCTGTTTCTGAAAGAGAAGTAACTTTAACTCAGAGTCAGTTACAGTTAACTTACTCTGTGAACCTAACCTGGTCAGGAGCAGGTTTTATTCTCTAATCTAAGAGTTTCTGTCTGTCTCCTCCCCTTTTTTAAAGACAAAGCAGTATTTCTCTCTTTAGCCTTGCGTTTTCAGCCACCCATTTTAATGCTCATTTTGGAGTAGCGCATAAAAAACGATTGATGGAAACTACATGATGCACATAACTTTTGAAAATTTGCATAAAAAACGTGCATAACTAAGTAGGAAAAAATTTTATTCAATAAGAAAATATGTGCATAAACTACCATGGAAACACTTTTACTAAACAAATTACAGAAGCCTATACATTAAAAAAAACGTTTGTTATAAGAGATGATGATGAAAATGTGTGTGAATGGACAAACCAGCAGACTGAGCACACTCTAACACATAATAAATGTTGCTTTGGTCTTTCATTAAAAAACGCCTTAAACGTTTCAGTATTAATGTTATTATATTATTAATGACCTCCAGAGTGTCTGGAGCATGTCAAGAGCGTCTGTTCTCCGCGTCTCATGGCTTCAAATGCCCCGATACGTGGTCGTTGTGTCAGCATTGTCTTCTGAGCTGCAAGTACATTTATTAAATATAGAAAAGATTGACGCAGCTTCTTCTACCGCAGTAAATTCTGTTTTTAATGTTGATATTTGGCACCCGTTTAATCAGGAAGTGACGAGTTTGTTCTCTTTGATGCGTTGGATGGAAAAGCTGCTTTATTCGCACATCTTTTATGCGTTATTCCAGTTTTTCACATACATTTAATTAAAATATTTGGATGGAAACAGCTATTAACTACATTTCAGTCACAAAAAGAACAAAGTCACGTTTGAGAATGGCTTGTCCTTTTTTAAATAAATAATTAGCTTAAATTCACTGACCTTCAACAGGGACATTTACAGTTACTAGATTAATGATATTATTATTCTTTCTAAAAACTATTGTTTAGTTCTGTTTACATTCTAAATACCATATCAACCTTTATAACTTGATCAATAAAAAAGGCAGACACAAGTGCACTTTTAAATCTATTAACACTGATCAACGTGTATAAAGTAGGAACGTGTGTAAAAATTTAATAAATGTCACACATAACATTACTTATTAGATTGTACAGAAATATTTAAATACTTTAAATGTAAAAATGCGCATTAACTTGAGCTGTTGTTCCACGCTAACTCTGTTTCACTGATGCAGTTGTGTTGCTTTTAAAATATATGGTCATATTTGCTAGAACTTTGGATGAAAAGAAATGCTGATCTCTTTTTCAGATGTTGCCATGGTCACTCGTAATATCTGCACTCTATTGATAATGCTTTTTTATAGTTACGGTGTGCGCGCTTGACTGAGTTGGTCTACTTAAAGTTGATTGACCTAACTCAAATACGCTATTCTGAAACCAAAACCGGGTTTTTAATCTCTCGATTAATCAACTCAGAGTTCAAGTTTAAACTCCGAGTTGGTTGAACCTCTTTACTGAAACAGGCCTCAGATTTGATAGACGAGACCAACATAAGCATCAAGATTATTACACTCTGTTGAAGTCACTGTATAAAGAAACAGCAGAACGACTTATGCTGATATAAATTAATTTAATAAATTATTATGTTTAAAATCTGTTCTAAAATACATTGGTTATGTTTATTGAAGTTACTCGCTGCTTGTTCAAACTACTCATTTAAAAGTTGAAACGACAGAATTTTTAAGGTTTTTGTTGGGACAATTAAATTGTTATAGATTCTATCCCCCTAAATGTATAAAAAAGTATTAGGTTAACTTGATCGATTTGTGTTGGGACAACATGAAGAAATGGTGTGGAACCCAGCATTTTATTTACAATGAATGACAAACCAGTCCATTTGTTTAGGAGTTTAGTCAGTGCACTATTCGGTGCTTCTTAATGTCTGTGGTATTTAAATGCTTCTGTTAGAAAGCATTTGCTATGAACACCTAAATTACTAGTGTCTGTAATCTCATCTTGTCATGACAGGACACTTGTAACTAAGCAAACACTAGTATGTTCCCCTCATCCCAGAAGAATGTGAATGTTCCTGAAGCATCAGCACAAGTGAATAAAGTGTAATCTCTCACCAGCAGGTCATCTGGACAGCCAAAGCTGATGCCTGAACTCTTCATGGTCTTTATCTGAACAAAGCTCCCCATGGACTTAATGATCCTGAAGCAGCCCCTGATGGAGCCATGCTTGAGATAGATGCTCTTCAAACTGCAATGCCACAAACAGATGGTTAATTACACAACCTGTTGACAACTGCACACGCACACACACTGTAAAAAGCGATGAGTTAAAAAAAGTTAGTAAACTCATTGGATTAAAAGCAACAAGGTGATTTTAATTTTAAAAAGTAAGTATTATCATAGATTTATCTATCCAGAAACCTTTTTACACACAGTGCATATGGAAGTATTTAATGTTACAGCCTTATTCCAAAATGGATTAATTTCCTTTATTTCCTTTAAATTCTACACACAATACCCCATAATGACAATGTGAAAAAAAGAGTTTTTGAAATTGTTGCAAATTTATTAATTTATTTATTAATTAATTTATTATTATCTTTGCTCAATACTTTATTGATGCACCTGTGGCAGCAATTACAGCCTTACGTCTTTTTTAATAAGATGCCACAAGCTTGGCACACCTGTCTTTGGGAATTTTTGCCCATTCCTCTTTGCAGTACCTCTCAAGGTCTATCGGGTTGGATGGGAAGCGATAGTGTACAGCCATTTTCAGATCTCTCCAGAGATCTTCACTAGGATTTAGATCTGGGCTCTGGCTGGGCCACCCGATGACATTCACTGGGTTGTTGTGAAGCCACTCCATTGATATTTTGGCGGTGTTCTTTGGGTCATTGTCCTGATGTAAGATGAACCATCGCCCCAGTCTGAGGTCAAGAGCACTCTGAAGCAGGTTTTCATTCAGGATGCCTCTGTACATTGCTGCATTCATCTTTCCCTCTGTCCTGACTAGTCTTCCAGTTCCTGCTGCTAAAAAACATCCCCACAGCATGATGCTGCCACCACCATGCTTCACTGTAGGGATGGTATTAGCCTGTTGATGAGCGGTGCCTGGTTTTCTCTAAACGTAACGTCTGGCATTCACTCCAAAGAGTCTCATCAGACCAGAGAATTTTGTTTCTTATGGTCTGAGAGTCCTTCAGATGCCTTTTGACAAATTCCAGACAGGGAGTGGCTTCTGTCTGGCCCCTCTACTATACAGGCCTGATTGGTGGATTGCTGCACAGATGGTTGTTATTCTGTAAGATTCTCCTCTCTCCCCAGAAGAACGCTGGAGCTCAGACAGAGTGACCATCACGTTATTGATCACCTCCCTGACTAAGGCCCATCTCTCCCGATTACTCCGCTTAGATGGCCGGCCAGCTCTAGGAAGAGTCCTGGAGGTTCCAGACATCTTCCACTTGTGGATGATGGAGGCCACTGTGGTCATTGGTACTTTCAGAGCAGCAGAAATTTTTCTGTAACCTTCCCCAGCCTTCTGCCTCGAGACAATCCTGTCTCGGAGGTCTACAGACAATTCCTTTGTCTTCATGCTTGGTTTGTGCTTTGGCATGCACTGTCAACCCTGGGGCCTTATATAGACAGGTGTATGCCTTTTCAAATCATGTCCAATCAACTGAGTTTACCACAGGTGAACTCCAATTAAGCTGCTGAAACATCTTAAGAATGATCAGTGAAAACAGAATGTAGCTGTGTTCAATTTAGAGCTTTACGGCAAAGGCTGCATGAACATGTGATTTTTCCGGTTTCATTCATTCATTCATTGTCTTGTCAGCTTAGTCCCTTTATTAATCCGGGGTCGCCACAGCGGAATGAACCGCCAACTTATCCAGTTTTTACGCAGCGGATGCCCTTCCAGCCGCAACCCATCTCTGGGTCATTATGGGGTATTGTGTGTAGAATTTTGAGGAAATAAATGAATTTAATCCATTTTGGAATAAGGCTGTAACATTAAAAAATTATGGATGCACTGTATGATTTCGAAATGTTCAGAGGTGCTTGACAATTTATTTATAGTTACAAAATTTTTCTTCCCTAAAGATCCTGTATTGTTATTGTTAAATGATAACTCTCAATTTCCCAATGCAAAGGTCCGTAAATTGTGGTCCATAAACAAGTGCTACAAAGTAAATGCTGGTACAAAGGTGATCTATCTGTTCTTTAAACATTCAACACGTCATCAGAACAGATTAAACATACTAAACTGGACTTTTTGGCACTGCGAAAAATCTATAAATGCGAAATCAAGGAAATCTGCGACACTTAACCCTCATCTGACACTGTGAATGTCAAACTTAATGTAATTTCTTTTAATCCTTGGTCTAAACTACAGTTATCATGTGATCCCTGATGTGCATATGATGGGATGGGGTAAATATATGAGGTAGTAGCTGTTAAAGGTACTTTTCAGTCTGATTGCAAAATGTTATGTTCATTTTGGAAATAAAAACTGAATTACAAAACCCATTGACTTAACTTTTATAACTATGCACAGTTTGTTTATTTAATAATATAATACAAGGCCACAAGTGTACTCTCTTTTTTAAGTAAAGTCAACTAATCGCCTTTTACAGTGCCGCTATTGAATGTAAATATCTGCACGCTCACTCATTAGGCATCTCAGCTTCTGGCACTCCCCCTAAGAAGTATCTTCCTGTGAAATTGAGTTCTTCGCTGTAAAGTGTATATAACGTCTCACGATCCAGCCTCACAAGCATTTTCATGTTGTTAAGTTGAAGGATGACTTGCAACTGAAAAAAAAAAACACAATGAATAATTCCATAAAATCAATTGAACTTAAAAAGATGGTGCTGATGCTGGCAAGAATATATTGAATAAATAGTATGTATCACTTACAGTTTTTTTGTCAGCATTGCTGATTTTTGTTGGGTTGCCTGGTCCAGGCATCAAACTTCCCTCAACGTTATAAAAGACCCTCAGAAAGCCATCAAGAACAGCGATGGTCACGTATTTATCCTAAGAGACAGAGAAAAAAATGACATTAATAAACGATAACGTGTATCTACATTTCACAAAAAATTCTCTATTTTAATCTGGAAAATTCTAGCAGCCTGGATGTATTATTTACAGGGCGTGTTGCCTTCATGATTAAATTAAGATTTTGAGCTGTCTTGTTTTTTCAACTAATCTTTTTTGTCATTATGTTTAGGAATCATTATTATTAAATTAAAGTGTGTATGCTTGTTTTTTGTTCGGTAACCTGTTTGGATATTAATAAGATAATTTTTTATAGTATCTGTGAGACAAATTGCTATATATATATGTGTGTGTTTTATGATACATCAAAGCCTCTTGCTGATATTACTGATTTAAATCAACCTCGATGTCTCTGACAGTCAAAAAATGGACTTGGACTTTATGTAAAAATGCCTTGCCATATTGATAAAAAATATAATGCTTAAGCGTGAAACTGAACATGCAAAAATGGCTTGCTATATCAGTAAAAAAAAAATTACGTTTTTGTAAAAATGGCTTGCCATATCAGTAGGGTTGAGTATTGTTTGAAGTTATTTCAATACCGGTGCTAAATTGATACTTTTAAAACAGTACCGGTGCCAAAATAGTGCCTGAACCAATACTTTTAAACCACAAAATTATGGATGACTCTAGAAAAATATTTTTTTTGACAAAATCTTTTAAAAAAAAATTTGGTCCCACTTTATATTAAGTGTCCCTAACTACTATGTACTTACATAAAAAAAATAAATACAATGTACTTACTGAGTTTATAATGTATTTGAGAACACCTGTGGTGCTTTTGAGTTGAAATAGAGGTTGGGTTATGGACAGGTTTGGTGGCATGGGTAGGATGAAGGGTAGGTTAAGGTGTAAGGGATGGTCAACAGTGTATTTACAAATGCAATTACAAAAGTTAATTACAGATGTAAATACATACATGTATTTAATCAAGCATAAGTACACAGTAAATACATTTACACAACAAGTACATTGTAACAAACTATTAATTCCTATGTAAGTACATATTAGTTAAGGCCACTTAATATAAAGTGGGACCAAAAATTTTAATAGAACAATATAATTAAAGTTTAAAGTAAACATCAATTCATGTTTTATATATTTGAATTACATTCATATATTTCCTTTGATCATTTGTTGGTTAGCATGAACCTAAATTTTGCATTATGAAATTACATTAGCTTACTACTAACCTGTGGAGAGGCTGTTATCAAAATACTGAACTCCTTTTTTCTAGAGTTTGGGCTTGTGACTATGTTTACATGGTTATCAGTAATCTAATGATGTGCCTTAATCTGAATAAGACAATAATAAGATCAAGATGTTTACATGAGTTGCTTTTTGCTTTTTGATCCCGTCTTGCAAGTATAGTACATAGATCTATTAATGTCATTGTGTCACCACGCTATCCATGTTTCAAGTGCCATTTCAGCCGCTTGTATCCGAGATCTTGTCCTTTCGATCATGAACCAAAGCACATGACCATAGGTGAGAGTAGAAACGTAGATTGACCGGTTAATCGAGAGCTTTGCCTTTTGGCTCAGCTCCTTCTTCACCACAACAGACCGGTACATCGACCGCATTACTGCTGCCGCTGCATCAATCCGCCTGTCGATCCCACGTTCCATCCTTCCCTCACTTGTGAACAAAACCCCAAGATACCTAAACTCCTCCACCTGGGGTAAGAACTTTCCTCCAAATAAAAAGCTGAATCTCACCTCTCTCTGGAAGGACAGCAGAATGCCGTTTTGCGAGATGAGTCTGATGGTCTGGTCAAAGGTGCGGTCGCCCTTCTGAGTTTCGAACAAAACCTCAACATAGCCAGTACCGTCAAAATACACTCCGTCAACCACCCATTCAGGCGTGTTTGCTGGCCTCTTCCTGTTTTAACACATGAGGTTACACAAAAGTTTAAACACAGGTAATGCTATGTGATCTATAATAAATGAAAGCCCTCTGACCGTGAACATGGTGCATCAGTTGTGGTGTTCATGTCGAAAGTTTGCTCAAAGTTATAGAGGCTGATTAGCTCTTCATTTATACTGAGCAGCTCCACGTAGCCCTTGAAGAAGTCTAAAGGCGACGACAGGTTCAGAGTCCCTGGAGGCTGTGTGTGTTTGAGAGAAAGAGAGAGAAGAAAGATTGAGATTGAGGGATGTTTTTTAAAAAGATAATTCTAGAAAGAGACAAAAATGTTCTATTCTCTATTTAAAAATATGACATATACAGAGATACATACAATGCACAGCATATATGAGTACACACCTCACAGATCTATTTTTTTTAATTTAGATTTTCTATAAGACGCTGTACAATACTAAATTTTTGCATAAACATAAGATTAGTCAGTATTGAAACCAAATGTAGTACATCCAAATGTACATGTTTTTCCAAAAAATGAAATAGAAATGTGAAGAAAAATAGGTAAAATCAAGAAAAACAAAAATATCTAAATTTAGTTTACAGTTTGTAGTCTGTAGGGTTTTTGCTCAAAATTTTGCTTGAATTTAAATGTATTTTCTTTTTTTATTTATAAAGATGTTTGGTGACTTAAATATTATTTTAATAAATATATACGTTCAATAAATCTGCTATGTTCAAATGCACCAAAATATATTACCTATATTTACTGAGAAATGGATAAATGGATAATGTATTTATGCTGAGCACTGTAAATCATGTATCTGTAAATCTGTAAATGCTGTATTGTATGGAATAAAATCACTGTCATAAATATTTAGTGCGTAAAAAAATCCACGCATCCGTTATTATAAAATCGTAAAGGAAAACGGAATGTAGTCGTAATTTTACGAGGGTACAATTTCAAAATCTGAGATTAGAACAGACTCAGATACGACATTTCCTTTGTCTGTTTGAATATAATTGATAAATTTACAATGGGTGTACTTTACAAACACGAAACAGTTTCACCACGGACACGAAGTCCTGATTACGAGTACGAATCAAAAAGCGACATTCCACTGTCAAAATTACATCACCGCTGTCACAGACATCAATAAACAAGCAAGAGTCATCGATCACAACGGCGCACCTGCTGGGTACTCAGAGCCCCCACACACCGTAGCAGGTAAGAGTTTTGTTATTCCTTCTTTGAGAAATGAGAATCCGTCATGAGCTGTAATAAAGGTTGAGACTTAATGAGGTCCATTTTCACTGTGGTTCTTGGACATTTTATAGAATCAAAATTAAGAATGGGCCGAGGATAGTGAGCTAGCATAATGTAAGTTAACATTACAGGCAGCGAGCGCAGTATGAGTGAAACCATAACATGACATCTGTTGATTAAGTCACTGTTGTGATCGATGACTCTCGCTTGTTTATTAATGCCTTTGACAGTGGTGACGTAATTTTGACAGTGGAGTGTCGCTGTTTGATTCGTACTCGTAATAAGGACTTCAGGTCTGTGGTAAAACTGTGTTTCGTGTTTGTAAAGTACACCCATCGTAAATGTATCCGTCATATACAAACAAACAAAGAAAATGTCGTATCTTGTGTCTGTTCTATTTGCAGATTTTGGAATTGTACCCTCGTAAAATTACAAGTACGTTCCGTTTTCCTTTACGATTTTATAATTACGGATGCGTGAATTTTATTTATGCACAAAACATTATGACAGTGATTTTATTCTATATATTGCAGGGCTATTTAATTGGTTTGCCATGAAAAGTTCATGAAAAGCAGAGAGAGATATGACTTTCAATGTAAGTGATAACACAACAGCATAAAAGAGCTTATATGCTGTATTTGTGCTCATAAAGACACCCACGTTGACTTTTTCTACATTAAAACATTAATATGTTGCATTTCGAAACTACATAACATCAGTGCAATGTACAATGGGCTTTTTTTTTACAAGCATACTCAAATGTTGAATTTCGAGGCACAAAATCAGTGTATTGCTTGGTTAACAAATATTCAGTAACACTTTATTTTAAGTTTTCTTTGTTACACAAGTTCTATGTAATTACTATAGTAATTAAAACTGATAATTACAAGTAACTTACCAAGTACTAGTTACTAACAAGTAACTAATAATTACTAGTAATTATAACCCTAAAGCATACAGTAAGTACATATAACTGTTCATTTAAGTGCATGTAACTATCCAATATTTATTATTATCACCAATGCTGAAAACATTAGTGCTGATTTGTATATTTGTGCAAACTGTATTTTGCATTTCTTAAGTCTTGATGAATATTAGCATTTGAATATGTAATACAAAACTTTGTTAACTTTGCGTCTTTGCTTTCACTTTTAATTAAATTATAATGTCTTGCTAAACAAACAAAATGATTCATTTAAAGCAATTACTGACCCCATAAAAATGATGATCATGTGGTTGTCAGGGTATTATACCTAGTTATTTCTTAATGATTAATTATTGGCACAGATCAAATGTGGCGATTCCCAATATACAGTGTGACATTCTGCTCTACAGATGCAGGTTTGCTGTTACTCACACTGAAGGTGCTGGGAAAACCTCCGACATAAAACACGGTCTCCTCAGCTGGAAGGTTAAGCAGGCCTTTTTGCCCTTTTGCCTCCATGATACGTTTAATTATATTGTTCTCATCTTGATCCGTAGTCATAGACATCTGACCGTACTGCAGAGTCCTAAACACACACACACAAAACATAAAGTAAACAGAGCTAAACAAATAGCATCACATGCATGTAAGTAGTTATGTAAGTAGTAATGTTTTGCACCTCTCCAGGATGAGTTTGTTGAAGAAATCATTCTTCACGTCCTCATCCATTAGCACATCCACTGAACTTCCTCCCACATTAAAGTGCCAGCGCAGCTTTTTTCCGTTTAGAGTCACTGCCATGTACTCCTTACTGGACTACAGCACACAGAGCACAGACGCAAGTGTTCAAAGTTACATAAATCATTTATTATGAGGAACTTAAAAAAAAAACGTATAAATAAAACATAATTATTAGGGCTTCCCTGTAATAGTCAATAGTCGACTGACCGTTAATCAGCAAGAGGCTTTGTCTACCCATATTTTATCAGCTGCACAGCAAAAAATGCTATTCCTACTTAGAGTTTTTGTCTTGTTTCTAGCCCAAATTTGTAAATATTCTTAAATCAAGAAGCATTTTCTAGATATTGTAATGTTTTCAGCCAAAATTAAGTGAGTTTTTACTTAAAACAAGCAAAAAATCTGTCAATGGAGTAATCTCATTTCAAAAGGAAAAACTTGATTAATTGTCTTACCCTTCAGACTGATTTGTTTTGCTTGTTTTAAGTCTCTTAATTTTGGCATATCATTTTCATTCATTTTTATTTACAAAAAGTCCAGGCGTTTCTTATAAAATGCCAACTGAAGAGTTCCCACTTAGATATGCCTAGCATTTATAGCAGGTTTGGCATGCTGTCCTGGGAGAGAAACCAGAGCTCGGAGATACTTGAGGCCAAGGCACCCGCCCTGTCAATAAGCATATAAGGGGATCCGAGATTAAGTAGGTCTCGAGAGCTCCCCCTTAGAAAAGGGAGGAAACGGAGGAGTTGGGGTGGAGGGGGGGATTCTTGATCCATTTGGGCCTTGATCCATTTATAGTAAGCTTGGATCAATCTAATTGGATTATTACTGATTACAGATGATAAGGCAGTCATGCTCAATCAGATCACATGCTCCTCTCGAAATTAGTTTGTTAAAACTTCACTTAAAAATGACTCCATATGGACACCAAATAAGAAAATACCACAAATGTTGATCTCAAACACTTTTTTTCTTGTGTGGTTTTGTAGGCAGAACAGTTTTGAATTGATATGCATATACGCTGCAAAAAAGGCTTTACTTCATTCGATTTTTTGTCTCGTTTCTAGTCCAAATATCTAAAAATTTTCTACACTATGTAGCATTTTCTACACAAGCAAAACATAATGTCTTGTTTTCAGAAATAATAGGACAATATTAAGTTAGTTTTTCACTAAAACAAGCTTAATAATCTGCCAATGGGATAAGCAAAATAATCTTCTGTTGAATGGGAAAAACAAGATTATTTTGCTTACCCCATTGGCAGATTATTTTGCTACCCAATTCACCTGTACCGGATGTCTTTGGATTGTGGGGGAAACCGGAGAAAACCCGCGCAAACGCAGGGAGAACATGCAAACTCCACACGGAAATGCCAACTGACCCAGCCGAGGCTCAAACCAGCGACCTTCTTGCTGTGAGGTGACAGCACTACCTACTGCGTCATTGTGTCACCCCAAAAACTAGTCAAATAAATAATAAAATGTTAATGCAACCTCCATATGAGCTTTCCATTACAAAGTCACAAACACTAATTCTGACAAGTAGCACTTTATCACTTATTAAGCTGAGCATTATAAAAGTCTTTTAATTGCATTACTATGATTTAAATGGTTTATTAATAAATGGCTAGTTAGATCACTTACGATTAAAATGAATAACTAGTGTTGAGAAAAAGGAACATACTTTAAACATAACTTTGTCTAGTTTTCTTTTCATTAAACAATTGTCGTTGTATTGCTTAAAGGTGATATAATAACTGGACTTCTGTTGAGTGTGATATGCTTTGCATACTAAAGAAGCATTTTTGCAGAAATAGATAAAGCTGATAAAAATGAAAAGGCCTGATTGTCTAAAATGAACTTGAGCTCTGCAGCTAAACGTCCTGTTAGATGTGCAGTTGAGAAAGTCTTATGCTTTTAATGTTGTGCAGAGAATTAGTAGAAAAAGAGGATGTATGTATGGGTGCGGCCAATGGAGTACTGGAGAATGATTGAAAAGTGAACTCCACCTGTTAATATCAGCTACGTATTAAAGCGTGAATCAGGATGGCATCTCCTAAATGTAACTCTTGCATTGCATTGTGGATAACAGAATTTTGTAAATCGAATTATTCAATTGTATCCAATAAATTACTAATAAAAACCCTCTCTTGACCTTTTTGGTTGAAAACACATGAAATTGATTAGTTATTCCACTTGTTGACCAGGGAAACCTTTAGTCGAGGGTAACCCTAATAACTATACATGCAATAAATCATTTAACAAATTGCTTGTTTAACTGATGTTTGCTTACGTCTCGGTTTCCAAGATAGAGGACAAACTGGGGGTTGGTGGCTTCAGTTTGTCGTTTCTTTTTAATGGTAGGACTGGGAAGCTTGATGTACATTTGGAGTGATGAATAGGCTGCCAGGTCTGCCACATTACTGGGTGTCCTCACTTGTACTCCCGATTTACCATTAAACTGCATTGACACGCTGACCTGAAAGAAAGACAGTATCAGTCATTGAATGCAAACTTTGAACGCTTTGGCCTCTTGAAGCATAGTTTCATCAACTTAAGACAGCTTAAAATGAAAGTTATAAGATAAGCTTTTCTTTCCTCTTGAGACACACTCATAAAACAGAAACGTATAACTTTGAATCCAAATCCTCTTAATGAATGTTAGGCAGTGTTAATCAGGGCAAAATCAGTTTTCCATAAAAACACTGCAATTTGAATGGCATCTATGCTCGTGTTAGTCTATCCATTTCTCCTTATCTCAAGGTTCACATATATGTCAATCCGGCCCATATCCAGAGCAGATTGTTGTTATGGTCATCAATAAAAGACTTATTCCTGAAAATACATCAGTGACGAGACAATTGTCTTGGTCCAAGTTGATATTGTTGACTGAACACTATTCTTAACATTACTATTCTCTTTTTCTTCTTCTCTGTTAAGCTGCCTTGACATACTCTTAAAAAAAACTGTAAATTAGCAATTTTCTGTATTCTGTGATTTCTGTTTTCCTCATTTATTTATGCTTTTTAATTACATTATGGGACCTTAATCTTTCTCACAGCAACTTTTAACCTTGAAAAGTTTTAAAAAGTGACTATTATTAATATTTTTAATAGTTTGAAGTTGGTGTTGTCCATTATGGTACAATAACCTTGTAATGAACTTCCGGTAAATTCTGTTATTTTATAGATTTATTCCTCTATATATTGTTTCTTATAGATAAGGGTTGGGCGATGTCGACCAATTTGGTATCGTACGATGTCTAATGTGAAACACCGGGATGGAAGATGGCATCCCTGTCATAGGCTGAAGTGAATTAATTATTTATGAATAATTAATTCGTTCATAACGAATTAATTATTTGTAGCCTACCGTTTCAACTACCTGACCTGCATGGGCTTTGTTTTACCCATAAATAAATCATAAACGAATAAAGATAAGTTACACACAAATTACCACCCGTCAATCACTTTTTCTGCGGGACTCTCGCATGAATGAGCAGAGCAAACTGTGTCGGTATAATGGCGTCCACAAACTTGGTTGGTAAAAAAGGTGCACAACCATAGTATCTGAGGTTGTCACTAAAATTACTAAGTACAAGTGTGAAAGTGAAAGATGGAACCAGTGTACTGATGATGTGACTTGTTATCTGAAAGATTCAAAAGACCGAAGAGTTGTTAGATAGACACAAGCTTAATTAAATATCATGTTTAACAACTATACTGAAACACGATCCAGCGTTACATCCCTGATAAACCAACACAGGCTCGTTCTGAAAACATAGTCCCATGGACGTTTCTGGAGACAAAAAATTATTTAGCCGGAGGTACTTATGGCTGCATTTCATTTTTTATGCGAACGCTATATGACGCCATTCCTTTCAAGCTAACCAGCTGACCGCTTACCTCCGTGTGGAGGGTTTTCCCACTGCAACCAGTCAGTCAATTGACCGGTCGCCCAGTCGCCCATTCAGTCTGTCAGACAAATGGTCAGTCGAGAGCAGCCTTTGGTGGATTTACGTGAAAACAGCGCGGGTGCAAACGGCACTCACAAGAGAAATTTGAGATAGGAAAAAGCACACACAGCAGCCTCTCGCGGATTAGCGAAAACATAATCTGCAAAAAATACGCACCCTCCGGGACATATTTCGCGGTCTCCAGAAGTGTCCATGTGACTACGTTTTTAAAATGAGCCTGGGTTATGATGAACTGTCTGACGTGCACTGCTCTCTGAAGCTCAGACAAGCGCTTGATAGTATGTGGCTTTGTGTGTGTGTGTGTGTGTGTGTGTCACGTGATGTGTGTTTTCAGCCGGACAGAGGGCTGTTCAGAATTGCTAGATGAAACGCCAGTGTGGATGCGGATCATTTTCATTCTAAAACTAAACTAAGACATATTAGTGTAAATTGGGCCTAAGTGTGTATTTGTTTGCAAGCGGGTTTGCGATGGGGGCAGGGCGGAAGATCGGCGATGCAGGCTCAGCATCGTGTTGTTCATCGACCATTAGCGATAGGATTAAAGATGAATTGAATTTAATGGCATTTAATTAAGTGCCTCTGTTCATCTGCACATTAACCCAAATATCTAATCAACAAATCAGAGGACCGCAGCTCAATGCAATTAGGAGTAAAGACATGGTAAAGATGATCGACTGAAGCTCAAACTGAGTTTCAGAATGAGGAAGAAGGGTTATTTACTGTAAGTTCAGTGTTTCTCAACCCAGTTTGATTAGACACAACAACAGTAAACATTTTGGATGTCTCTCTTTTATGACCCATTCATTTGAGGTCCATCTGAGTAGGAAAAGATTAAAGGTGTAGGATTGGTGTACCTTCATGAATAAGATTTGGAAAATCTCACTAAAATATTAGAGTATTGTCAGCTGATCTGCTGGGATTTTCATGCAAAATCTTCTCTAGCCATGACAATGTCTTGTTGATGCCAGAGGTAAAAGAAGAATGACCAGACACAATAGAAGAATGAAAGAAGGTTTGATGGTCTGGATTTCTGCTGTGACAATCAAATTTTAGAGTTACAATTTGATGTTAGCAACATAAAAGCATGGAGTCATCCTGCCTTGCATTAACACTTCAGGCTAGTGTCTAATGTAAATAATTTCCTCTTGTTAGCACATGACATATGCAGGTAATTTCAATGCACTTTTAAAGACTTTCTCAGAATATTTTAATCAATGATTTTAATTTGACCTAATCGCAATATCAAGTTCTAATCAGTATCAAACCTTTAAATTAATAAACAGTTGTTAATAAACTGTTGTATTTAATTAAATCAATAGAGCACAGCCATGCAACAGAACTCAGATAAGCTCAGAAGACACAAAGTCTGAAAGAATAAATTACGCAGTTTTTTTTCAGCGACAAGTTTCAGCCACTGTTTAAACTTGTCTTTCTCCAACCAGGAATACGCAAACTTACATTTTCCCATTTTACCTTCTTTTTTACTCTATGGTTTTGCTACATGTAGAGATCGTCACATCACCTTCCCGCGTTTGTCGCAAATTACCCAGATGGATGAGCTTGGCCGGACACACCCCAGCCGGAACCAAACGTGTAGATCAAGCACGCCAATATTAGAAAGAAAATAAATATATTTATGCCTTTTGGAGATAAACATTTTGGATTATGCTTGAACAATTTTAAAAAAGGCAATTAAGACTTTTAAATTCCTGTTAAGGGGCTTCATTTTCTCATATATGATTTATCAACTTTTATCAATACTTTTTAAGACCCCGCCGACACACTGTAGCAAATGAGCACCCTTTAAATGCCATGTGAATATTGTGGCTGACATAGTCCATTCCTTTATGATGAATTGCAAAACAATTCAGAAAACAACTTGAGTATCGTAGAGGATTAGGTCACTCAAAAATAAAATAAAAATCTGTTATTAGGTAATTCAAAAAACACTTTTTGTGTGGGAAAAAAATCTGAAAGATTGGTTTTGTTCACCTATATCTTACATGTCAGATCATGTTTTGACAATGTTTTTGTTCCTTTTCTGGACTTTGAACATCTTGGAACCACTGCTGTATATGGAGGATGAGGGAGCTCTCAAATTTAATCTAAAATATCTTCATTTGTGATTTGAAGATAAACAATAATAACAGAATGCTCATTTTATCGTGAACTAACTCTATAACAGATTAGACGGGAAAACGCTTAGTTGGCACCTTGTTGGCAGCATTGCGTGCTTGCTCAATGAGTTGACGAATCCTCTGGATGCTGTCGGAGATGTTGGACGGCTGAAACGTGGTGTTGTGCAGGCGATCCAACTTCTTTATCAGCTTAGGAAGAGTGTCGCTCAGTGCAGCCACTGCCAACACAAACACATTGGAATCAGTGTGAAAACAAGATCAAGCATGTTCATGCGTAAGGGCTCACTGCACGCACCTGATGTGTTGGCGTCATTGAGGGCTTTGTTGATATCCTCACTAGTGGCGTTGGAGTCTCCGTACTGCTTCTGCCATTCCTCCAGCTGCTTCTGAATTGGAGCCAGCACACCGCTAACGTTAGCCACCGTGTTGTTAGCCTGCTCCACCGCACTCTTAGCTGCTGAGATGCTGTTCACTATGTCGTCTGTATCAAAGTAAACAGATAATGTTTAGAATCTTTACATTTAGGTAACATAATTTAGATAGATTAATAAAGACAAGAAACTGTTTTTTATTCTTCTGGCAGCTAGTAAAAAAGTAATTACAAAAAAAAAAGGTTAAAATTAGAGTCACCTACAGTTGAGGAATGGATTGATACAGTGCAGAGATAATAGATTGAGTTTATTTCACCAATATGCCCGAATTTTTCTTCAATTGTATTTTTTAGATGTAATATTATGCGTCTAAACATCTATATATTCTTCTTTAAAGAAATCTTCTAAAGGTTTTGTAGCTCCCCATGTTATACGGATTATACTTGTTGTTAAAGAGAAGAAAATACAAAGCATATGCAAGATCTGTACGTATCTTTCTGTATGAGAGATTATGTAAGTTCTATATGTGTTTTCTTTTGAAATCTCAAAATATTTGTTTTACAAATATTATATTAAAAATATGCTTTAAAATATTTTTTTAATAATGAAAATACAACAAAAATAGCAAAATAACTAGTAAAATATATACAGTCATCATTTGAAAGACAAAATAATTAAGCCATTAGAAATTAGTTATTAAACTATTATGTTAAAAAACGTTTTTGAATAAAACTTCTCTCCTTTAAGCTGCATTTGGGAAATATTTGAAAAATAATAAAAATTTCACAGATAGGATAACAATTTTTTTTTAACTTTCACTCGCATTCAAAGGTTTGGGTTCAGTGAGCTCTTTTTAAAGGGAAAATACTTTTTATTCATTGAAATGAAAATTTTTAAACCAATTGTATGCATTTTTTCTAGGGTTCTTTAAAACCCCAAACATCTAAAAAACAGATTTATTTACAAGTTATTTTACTATTAGTTAAGGGTGTACTCACACTATGCTATCCGATCCATGCCCAGGCCTGTTTCCCGAAACGTGTGAGAAGTGTGACTTGGCCGGCCCTGTGACATGTCACTTGGCCGGCCCTGGCCCGGTTGGAAGAGGTGTGCCAGAGCGCGATCACTTTGCTTGTAGTGTGAGTGCAAAGCGCGCCTGAACCCGAAACGGAAGACGAGGCGGATATATTGGATATATTATTTTTTATTTTATGATGGATATATTAATCATTCTTACTATTCAATGAACGTAAACTGTCATAGATTATTAAAGATGCAAACCCCTCACTGCGCGACAGCTGCACCTTCAGCAAACCTTCTAATTCCTGCAGCACGAGGACTTTATGATTGTTTATAAGCGTCAAAATGGCTGATCTCTATCCGGCGAAATATTTGACTGTGTGTCACTGCATCCTAAACGACTGAACGATATAACTAAAGATATCTCCACTGTGCTGAGCAAGAGCGCTTCTCTACTGAACAGTGCATCACTGATGGCCATCAGGGGAGATGGGAGGGGGGACAAACGTGCTTCGGCCCAGTTCAAGGCAACTGTACATAGTGTGAGTACGCCCTTAGTCACAAACGACTGAAAAAATTAAGGCTCCTCAAACCTCGGCTGACGTTGAGTTTATTCTGAATATCCTTCAGGTCTTGAAGCATCTTTTCTTTCTTCTTTTCAGCATCAAGTAAACTCATCTTTATGGTGTCCACACGTGGCTTTAGACCTGGCAAAGATATAATAGTGGCCAACATTAGAAGGAGGTTAAGAAAAGCAGAAAGACAGTTTTTAATTTATTGCCATAACAGTTTCAAGGCTATTTCATGGCAAACCCAGATCAAATTTACAACATTTTATACATGTATTTTTTATATAATAATACAAAAACGATAACAATAAAAATACATTAACATAATGAATAAATAACGCATAAGACAAAATACATAAATAATACTATATAAGATAAAAACCTAACACAGTTTAAGGTTTACTTTTGACAACAATTGTACAATTTTGGATGGATTCACATTTTTTTAAATATTATATTTAAAGTCTCTTTAGAAAAAAAATAGCCATAAAAATAGCATTTTTTGCATGATAGCATTCAAAATAAGGCAGTCAGATCCAGAGTTGGCTCTTCTTACTCTGACTGCTGTTGTTGAGTTCTTCCGCTGACTTCAAAAGCTCAGTGCTCTGATTCTTCAGCGCAGCCGCTTGTGCTGGCAGGTCTTTGTCCCGTATGTTCTAATGAAGAAAAAACATAGACATGTATTAATAAATGTGCATTAATAAGCATGTTAAAATGACTGATTTTTATGTGTTTGACTGTACCTCAAGGGCCATAGAAGCGGTTTCATTGGCTTTCAGAGCTGTAGTCTCAGCTTCCAGCACACTGTTGATAATGTTAGTGTATGCGCGGGACGCGTTCAGAGCACGCTGTATAAAATTGTCCTGGTTGGAGCCAGATATCAGACTGTCCGACAAACACAAAGGCATATTAAAAGTAGTCATCATATCAGAGGAGGGTAATATGTGGGTAATATATAGAGAAAGTATAGAAACAATATATAGTGAGGTATTTTGACAAATTAAGAGTTCAGATGCAAAAACCTCTAAATCCACCAGACCTCTTTTCTTGTAAATGAGCATTTTCTATCAGGCTCCTCTGATAAAGTTCAGAAGTTTCATTTTATATGTAATGATAAGGTTATTAGCTAGCAAATAAACTACCCTTCAAAAATGTCGCTTTAGACAATAGTTTGTTTTTTAACAAGGTAAATTTTCTTTTGTGTCAAAACCAGCTAAATTCACTTCTGGTTTTTAGGCAAAACCCTCTAAATCCATCTATTGGAACAAGACAGTGTAATTAGTTGAAAATGAAGATGAAATTAGAATTTATTTTACCAAACATAATACACATTACACAAACCACCTGAAATTTTAAATATATAAATCTGTCAAGTAAATGGCGGTTCATTCCGCTGTGATAAACCAGCAAAAAAGCAGAAGGAAAATGAATGAAGTAAATGCAGTAATCAATAACATTAAAACGGACATTAATTAAATCTGAACAATCTGTTGTCATTTCTGATATTTGGGATTTATGTTTAATGTAAGTAGAACAATGTAAACATTGTAAACATTGTCAACTTAGCTTGGTAGATTCAAATAACACAGTGTAAAACACTGTGAAATATCAATATCTGTATATTGTCTATTAATATAAAAAGCTTATGAGATCTATAGGCTAGGTATTATGAAGTATTACAAATAATGTATAGTTTAATACATTATATTTATCTTTTAAAAAATAGCTTAAATTAGAAAATAAAACACAAGGTAGGCCTACTGGGCAAAAAGGGGATGCCTCTTAGACAATTTTTGAAGCTGTCATTCATTCATTCATTCTCACCATACTTAAAACCTTGGTCCTATGTTGATCCACATAGCATCTACGTGGGATAAAAGAACAGCATCTGAACTCTGTGTTTTGTAAAATGGAGTTGCCGTTTATTGTACAGTACATCATACTCAATCAAAGTAGCGTCACTGAGCAAAAACACGTTATAATGCATGTTACAGTTCTGACTGTACATTGTGTTTTCTTTTTCTTATAATGCACAGAGTTTTAAGGTAAGGAACATTTTCTTTTGCCATTCACTGACAGTTGGAAAGGTCCAGTCCAGGTCATCCAGTTCATCAAACTCCATCTTTTAAAAATCGAAATTGAAAGTGGAATATGTCTCCTCATAAAAGCCAGCGTATCAGCACGCTGCTACATTGTAAACATATGATTCGATTCACGCTTCTGATTTGTCCACGGGATATAGCAGCTTTTGCTGTCAAAGGCAAGTGGCGTTAAGCGGTTTTTGCATCTGAACTCTTCAAATATTACCTTTTCTTGGCTGATAGCTGTTTTTACTTTTTTTTATTAAAAGTCATGATTTTACTTAAATTTAGCTGGAAATCAATTATGAATGTTTGTATTTAATTTTTTTAATTAACATTTGAATGATTTGGTATGTTGATTCTTTCAGGATTTATTCATTCATTCATTAAATCATTTTTCTCCGGCTTAGTCCCTTTATTCATCAGGGGTCGCCACAGCGGAATGAACTGCCAACTTATCCAGCATATGCTTTACATAGTGGATGCCCTTCCAGCTGCAACCCAGTGCTGGGAAACATCTATACACACTCATTCACATACATTCACATTTAATTTATTCGACTCACCTTTTGACCATTTTTAGGAATATAAACAAAAACAATGGACCCAACGTATTTTCTGATTTACATTTAAAATTTTAAAAACTTCTGTAAAATAGAATAATACCCAATAATTGCAATAATACCCTACTCATTAACTCATGTTTTAATCGTTTTTTGACATTTTTACACAAATTTAATAGTATTATATGGTCTTTTTTTCATTTTACTTGGTCTGTGTAGCATTTCTTTAAATTTCAGTGTCTGACAAAATCTAAACAAATAAATAAGCTAAAATAAGCATAAATGCGCTTGCTTTGCTAATTAAGCACAGGTAATTGTATAAAATAACTATATAAACTGAGCAAAATAACAGCTCAACTCTTATTTTTTTCTACTAGCCATCAACAAAAACTGTTTATTAAAACCCAATATAAGCTGTCCACTACAACACAGACACACACACCATACCTGTCAACATTGTGATATGAAAATAAGGGATATGCCCACCATCATAAGGGATTCCCCCGACCGCCATTTAAGAAATACCCAAATTACTAAATATGTTAATTTGAAGCTGTTTCGTTGTAAATAAACAGTTAAATGGTCAGTAATGTTTTATTATTATTTACAAATGGAAAAATAAATAGTATACATTAGCACCAAATAAATTTGCAAATTAACAGTTCAGCTTATTAAAATAAATAGCTATTGTAATGAAATAGAATCAAGTTATCAAATCTCATTAGCCGTTTCTTCACTGTATAACCGACTCATTCCGAATAAAGAGTAACGAATGAATGATTTATTTAGATTTTTGTCGTTTGATTACATTAAATAACAGGTGTCACTTTAACAATGCACATGTCTAATGTTATAATAAAAGCATTTGATTGCTTTCCTAACTTTTTATGCTCATTTAGGACAAAATTAAACAAAAAAACACCAAGATCGACATCTTTGGATATTATTATTATTATTAGTTATGTGCATATCTGTTTAAACACGCACCTAAAGCATCAAATCACGAGTACAGAATCTGTTTAGGAAGCAGCGTCTATTTATCACTATGGAGCGCGTCAGCTGAAAGTCATGTACTGCAATATGACTGTTTGAGGATTGCATACGAAAGGGAGACGGCACCTGTAATGAAAAGGAAGGGAATCCATTTTTATGTTTATTTCAGTGTTTTCATGCCTAAACAAAGCGAAAGCACAGAACAGACTCGCATTTAAGAGCAAGCGGCGGCCCCTGGAGGTTCGGCGGTATGGGTTGCGTATACAAAGGCTCAGCTCTATAATGTTTGTTTGCCACCCTTCAGAGAAAGACTAAAAATACGGGAGAAACATGAAAAAATACCTTTACGGGATGATAACGGGATAGAACTGTGAAATACAGGAGAATCCCGGAAAAAACGGGAGGGTTGACAGGTATGACACACACCTGGACAGATTGTTGGCGAGCTGCTCCAGCATTTCTGCGTGTTTCTCTGCAGCCTCCACCAGGGGTATTTTATTAGCAGCAGGGGCGTACTTCTGCACCTTTTCAGCTAGGGGCTGTCTCGCTCCGTCCAGCTGAGCGGCCAGATGCTCATAATCCTGACAGAGACGAGAGCATGCACGAGTCTGAGTGTGAGCTCAGTGGAGTTCATTTATAGCACACAAGCATGTTATTTTTGATTCTGCATGCATGTCAGCGTGTACCTCTTTGGAGTCCTGGAGCATGGAGAGCAGGTCGTTGACTTGAGTCACATCATCCTCCGCCATCTGCAGCTGGGACACCACCTCTTTGTATTTCTCATGTAGACTATTAACCTTTTTCTAGAAAAACACAAGAATGCAATTTTGTATTTCTTGCTATGATTCTAGTTCAATCAAGTAAACAAACAAAATATATATATGTTGGTCCAAAAACCTTTTCGCTAACTGAAATAAAATGAAATATTCACAACTTTACATTATATTTACATTTAGTCATAGAGCAGACGCTTTTGTCAAGAGTGACTAACAGTGACGATAACAACTTTAATGGAGTCAGATTAATTACAATGTAGTCAGATAAATAATTGATTTAAACACAACATCCTTCAACTGCGTTCTGTTTCCGATTATTGGTTCAGAATAGCAGCGTAAGCTTGAACAGATTCTGTGGAGGAAAATCTAACCTGCGAAACATCTATAGATTCAATTTTAACCGATGAACACATCAGACCAGTATCAAACATCTTAAACAAAACATATGTTTAATTTTTTTTATTTCATTTGCCAAAAACATGCATGTTTACATACTTAAATTATCTTTAATATGATATCTATATGATAATTGTCATGTTTGTTCATTGCATTTCTGTGGTTTTGGCTTCAATGTTGATGTTGGTGATTTTATTGGCATTACAAAGAGAATTACTAAAACTAAAAACTGAATCTAAATGCATAAAAAAAAAATAAAAAAAATTAAAGAAAAATTTAGAAAGATAAAAACTAAACTAAAACTAACACAACTATTAATGAAATGAACTAAACTAAATAGAAATTTGTATTAAATGTAAAAAAAGTATTGAAAAAAATTCAAAAATTCCAAGCTATAATAACCTTGATGTGTAGCAAAGACAATAAAATACCCAAGACATGTCACTCTAACAGTTTTAAATGGGGAAAATTGTAATGGTCCATTTGGTGAATGAAGCCCTGCCTACTAGTACAGGAGCCAATCATCGATCGATATAGACTGACATTTCTCCAGGGACCAGACGTGTGGAGTTTACGACAGTTTTTGTGGTCAACAAACGCACTGAAATCTTAGCGAATACTTGCTTCACAGACAAAAGAAATGTATCGAAATAAAGCTTGTATCCACATAAATCTCTACTTTAAATAAAGCAACTACACTTGAAAACAAAAGGTTTTTGGTTTTGTATTGAGTATAAAAAGAACGCGAGGTACAGTCATAGCACATCACATGACAGCAATTACTCAAATGCCTACAAACTTTAGACCAGCGCAAACAGATGAAGCATTAACCAGAGGATGATGATATGGAAACCGGCCATAAATGAGGTGTCATGATCTCGTTCTTTTTGAGTGACTTGCCATAAATGGACTTTGTATGTAGCCAATTTGTGATTAAAAGCCATGGTAATTCTTTTTTAAGTCACAATTTATGCTATTAACTACTGGCTTTTACCCGCCTGTTATTGCAATACTAATAGTTTTTAGTAGTTTTAAAGTATGATTTCATTCTACATACCTAATCCCACCCAAAACCTAAACCCAACTTGAACCTTACTAAGTATTGGGCTAATAGTCTTAGTTAACGGTTTGTTAACAGCATGAATTATGACTTAAAATAATGTGCAGAACAATGATTGTTTCCAAACTTGCATGTGTGTGTGAAAGAATACCTGAAGATCCTCCAGGTGTTTCTGGTTAATGTTGTTGGCCTCTACAGTTTGTGCCGTGTTGTTGACGGCTTCATTCATGGCGTCTCTCAGGTCCATCAGCTGCTCATTGAACTGCTTCAGTTTGTTTCTGATGTTCTCTGCCACAGCCTCATTATTCCACGTCCGGTTTGCAATCTCATTAATCACACGATCCACCACTACACAGAGACAATAACAGCAAAGAACAAGTTCAAATACCCTAAACAGGAAAAAAAGCATGTACTGTAGCACACTTGTAAATAGAAATACACAGCATATGTTTTTCCGCAGCGGATGCCTTTACAGCAGCAACCCATCACGGGGAAACACCTATACACACACACAGACAATTTAGCCTACCCAATTAACCTGTATCGCATGTCTTTGGACTGTGGGGGAAAAAGGAGCACCCGGGGGAAACCAACGCAAACATGGGGAGAACATGCAAACTCCACACAGAAACACCAATTGACCCAACTGAGGCTCGAACCAGCAAGCTTCTTGCTGTGAGGCAAACATGCTACCCACTGCGCCACAGTGAATACCAAAGTAAATACTAGAAATCTATATTTCTAAAATTATTTAGAAATCTAGATACATTTACAAGAATAATTGACTCAAAAAAGTACTCCTTGTAAGAAATTCATAATGTACAGATATTTCATAATATCTTTTTTTCTTTAAAGTCAAACCAGTTTTAATTTGACCTTAAAGGGATAGTTTACCCTAAAAACTTTAATTCATTCATCATTTACTTACCCTTTATTTATTTCCTTCTTCTGTTAAACGCAACAGAAGATAGTTTGAAAAATGTTGGGAACCTCTAACCATTGACTTCCATAGTGTTTGTCTTTCCTACGATGTAAGTCTATGGTTACAAGTTGTCAGCTTTCTTCAAAACATCTTCTTTAAGGCTGATTTATATTTCTGCGTCAAGTGCACGCGTATGCTTCAGCGCAGCCTATGTGTGGTCGCATAGCCCTCGCCATGGCCGTCAGCGACACCGAAAATGTAACTGCTCTGTGATTGGTTGGCTTGGTAGTGCTGATGAGTGTGGGCGGGGATGAGAGCCGCATGAGCCCGATGGAGCAAGTGTTTACAAGTGTGGTCAAAGTTGTTGCACGACCCCCAGTTACCACCTCAAAATGAGGAGTTTGAGCCACTTTTACATTAAAGGTGCAGTAGGTAATTGTCTTCAGAAACATGTTTTGTTGTGCTGGTTTAACGTCTCTTCACAGTCCAATAGTAATGATTAACGTAAATGATCTAAATGTGTTTATATGTATTTTTATATTCTGGGTAAAGCATAAAACTAAAAAACGTTCATCCACTCAAATTTTATCAGGCTGTGGGAATATAAATTTCCAGGGTGTGACAGACCTTAACATGTCTTAATCTCCGGAGCCCTAAAGGTCTCCAAAGTAATGCAAATTATCAGTTTCACGTCACAGCTGTGTAACTTGTTTTCTCCTTTCGGTCAACTGGTTAGGCGGTTTCTGTCTCTATAACATGATGAGACCAGGCCTGAAAAAGCAGTTTAGCCTGCTGACCACAACACTTCATTTGCATCTGACCCCACCTACATGCTGTAAAATGTATAAATCTATAGTGTTTTGCTTTGCAGCTTAGAGTTTGCTTTCGATAACGCCACAGCCACGCTGAGTTCTTCTTAGACAACCGAAAGATTCTCCCTGGTTTTTTGGGCTCTTAGAAGTTTACAACAGGGCCAACATCTCCCATAATTCCGATAAGTAGCTCAAACTGTCAGCAAATGTAGATTCGGACTTCTGCGCATCTGTTCACGCAGATCACCCATTTGCGCGTGCCCTCCTGCATAAGTGCCGCGCGTTCACGAGACATTCACAGACACGGTGAAATCAATTACTAAATTGAAACTATTGAAAATCCTGAATCAGTATTGATTGACAGCGTTATGAATGACTTATATGCACAGATGTGTTGTTCAGCCACGAAATCTCCCAGCAAAAGATTGATGCGACTATTTTCAGTTTCATAAGGTCCTTTAACAGCATCGGTAATGTAGATTAATATTTACTTTAACAACAAAACATCTAAATAGCACTATTCCGCCTAACCTGTTTTATTAAGCATTAAGTTGCTTTTATATTCACATTGGTTAATTTTTGAACAATGGCAGCCTTCCTATACTGTTTACCATGCTACTCTGGATATTCGCTCTGAAATAGCATGCAAGTGTGGCTTAGTAATAAATGTAATGCCTGCACGACGCCAGCCAAACACTATGGCAAATGACATGAACTAGTGGGTTGTATGCTGTGGTGACACGGTGCGCGCGTTCTCGATTTCAGGAGGCGAGGCTTTGAATCACAGTCCCTCCCCGCCGTCCAAAAATAATATGCTAAGCGGTTAGCATTTTGGCAGATCACCTACTGCACCTTTAAGGTGACCTTTAAAAAAAACAAAACACCCATGAAGAAACTCGACACAGAGGAACATAAACACCTTCTGCCAGCTACTGTTTCAGAAGTGTTATTGCAGAGCAACAAAAACAGCGCACAGAAGTATGACTGCAGGGCAACGTGCAAGGCATGCGCCGTGGTTCACATCGATCACTCGACGCAGAAGTATAAACCAGCCTTTAGTGTTCAACAGAATAAAGATTCTCAATAAGGTGTATAACCAAGGGTGAGTAAGCTCATTTTTGGATTTAAAATCTTTAAATTTGATTGTTTGTAATCTTCACTACATCATTATCTTTTCTGAAGGTTAATCAGTATGTTTTAAAATGCATTACAAGACATAATAAGTATGCATTAAAAAATAATTGTGTAATGTTTTATGTTATATATATAGTATAAATATAGTTCTTATTAAGGTTTTCTAAACTTTATAAAATGAAAGTTGATGAAATTACTAGTTAAACGGGAACTATTATGCCCCTATTAGGTGTGTATGTGAAGTTTCAGCTCAAAATACCACAAAATAAGTCATTTTGTTGTAACTCTTTCAAATGGCCCCTTTAAGGCTTTGATCCAAACTGTGCTGTTTTGGTGGCTGTTGCTTTAAATTTAAATGAGATTGTGCTCCACACCCTCTTTTTAATTGGGGGTGGAGCTGCAAGTGCCTATGTGTCAGCATAGTGGCAGAATGCAAACACTAATGGCTGATGGCTGCTTCTCATTCAAGGTGGTTTATGCTAATCAGATAGAGATGGGCGTGACTAATGGGCGGAGCTTTCCCCTGATGACATGTATAAAAGGGAGAATGTCAATCAAAGTGTTTCTGCAGACTTTGTTTTTTATCAAGTGTGATTTTAAATAGCACTTAACTAATTTTCACCATTTGACACACAATTGTGAATAATATGTCGCTTTTAAATTCATGATTGTTCTCTGCCGTTACATTTCTAGTAGATGTGTTCTGGTCACTTACAGTTATTGGCCTGGTCCAGCTCATTTTTTGCTTTGTTCTTCTGGTAGTCAAAGCCCCTGAAGCGCATGTCTCTGAGCATGGACTCCACTTCTGCTATCTTTCTGGCCAGGTCCTTCTCATCCATCACCTGCGTCTCATTCTGCGCTGTCCGGTTCACCTGCTGTATAATGTCTGAGCAGATGCACAAATGCCATCACTTGACTTTGTCTGTGACATTTCAAATACAGTAAGAGTAGTAGTACAACTGTACTGTCAAATTCCCACCCTTCACATCTCTCATGATGCCTTTGATGAATCCAAACAGCTCTTGTGCTCTAGTGTGTGTCGAGTTAATGTTGTCCTCTAAAGCATCTTTTTTCTTTTGTGTGACTGAGGCCTAATAAAGACATGCAATACAAATAATTATTAATATAGTAATTTATTAAATAGTAATTTGTTAATAATATAGATATAGTTGGTGTGGTCAAAATAAGTAAGTATTTTAGAAAAAACTATAAACTGATATTTTTAACCAGAATATGATCATCTGATATGTTCTCGTACCTTCTTTTCTAAATCTTTAATATCTGAGTCGATGATTTCCAGCTCTCCCTCCAACACACTGGCCCGATTCCTGCTCTTGTCCAGAGTGCTGTTGTAGTTTGTTATCGCATTCTGAGACATGAAATTAGAGACAGTTTACATACATTTAAAGTCAGGATTATTTGCCCCCGTTTATTTATTTCCTCAATTTCTGTTTAACGGAGAGAATATTTTTTTTAACACATTTCTAATCATAATAGTTTTAATAATTAATTTCTAATAACTGATTTATTTTATCTTTGCCATGAAGACAGTACATATTATTTTACTAGATATTTTTGGAGACACTTCTTTACAGCTTAAAGTGACATTTAAAGGCTTAATTAGGTTAATTAGGTTAGCTAGGCAGGATAGGGTAGTTAGGCAAGTTACTGTGTACTGCTGGTTTGTTCTGAAAGACAGTCGAAAAGATAATCTTAAAGAGGCTAATCATTTTGACCATAAAATGATTAATAAAAAATTAAGAACTGCTTTTATTCCAGCCGAAATAAAACAACAAAATAAGACTTTCTCCAAAAGAAAAAATATTATCAGACATACTGTGAAAATTTCCTTGCTCTGTTAAACATAATTTGGGAAATATTCAAAAAAGAAAGAAAATTTAAAAGGGGGGATAGTAATTCTGACTTCAACTATATATATTAATGCACATGACTGAAAGTTAACGGCAAAAGTCTGATAGTGTTTATGTTAGAAAGAGACTCACAGCAATGTCCGCAATGGAGGCATTAAGGCGGTTTAGTTGAGTCCAGGCGAAGGTGCTGGCATTGAGGCTGGTCAGCTGATTGGCAACGGACTCATAAAAATGACTGATCCTGTCCAGATCTTCCAGCAGCACCATCACACAGCTGTCACAGGCTGAAAACATAATGCACCGCAATCACCATCTGATGTGTGAATGCTGATGTCTGTGAGTTAGTGATTGAATCGGGGAGTTAGCAAATGAGTGAATAAGTAACTGAATGCATGAGTTAGGGAGTGAATGAAAGAGTGAGTGTGTGAATGACTGAATGAATAGGTGAGTTAATGAATGAGTGAGTTGGCCAGTGAGTGAATGAGTAAGCGCATAAGTAAGTGAGTGATTGAATGACTGAGCGAGTGAATGGGTTAGTTAGTGAATGAGTGAGTAAGTGAGTGAGTGGGTGAGTTAATGAACGTGAGTGAGTGAATGAATGGGTGAGTAAGAGTACGAATGAATGAGTGACTGAATGGATGAGTTAGTGAGTGAGTGAGTGAGTTAGTGAGTGAGAGGGTGAGTTAGAGAGTTGGTGAGATAGTGATTAAACATATGTGAGTGAGTGAACGAATGAGTCAGTGAGTGAGTGAGTGAGTGAATTGGTATGGTAGCATATGAGTGATTGAGTGACTGAATGGGTGAGTTAGCAAATAAGTGACTGAATGAGTCAGTGAGTGAGTGAGTGGGTGGGTGGGTGAGTTAATGAATGTATGTGAGTGAGTGAGTGAGTGAATAGGTTAGTTTGCAAATGAGTTACTGATTGAGTGAGTGAGTGAATGGGTCAGTTAGCGAGTGAGTAAATGAGTGAGTTAGAGAGTGAATGAGTGAGTTAGTAAGTAAGTGTGTGAGATAGTGAGTTAATATGTGTGCGTGATTAAGTGAACGAGTGAATTGGTAAGTTAGCGATTGAGTGACTGAGTGAGTCAGTGAGTGAGTGAATGGATTAGGTATAGTATGAATGAGTGACTGAATGGGTGAGTTAGCAAATTATACTGAATGAGTCAGTGAGTAAGTGGGTAGGTGGGTGAGTTAATGAATTTGAGTGAGTAAATGTTTGTGAGTGAATGAATAAGTTATTAAGTGAGTGAGTGAGTGAGTAAATCAGTGAGTTAGCGAGTAAGTGAATGACTGAATGAGCGAGTGAATGGGTGAGTTAGCGAATTAGTGTATGAACGAGTCCGTTAGTGAGAGAGTGAGTGAGTGAGTGAATTGGTGAGCTAGCGTAAGAGTAATTAAGTGACTGAATGAGTCAGTGTGTGAGCGAGCGAATGGGTGAGTTAGTGTATGAGTGAATGAGTCAGTTCACGAGTTAGTGGGTGAGATAGTGAGTGAATACATGTGAGTGAGTGAGTGAGTGAGTGAGTGAGCAAGTGAATGGGTGAGTTAGCAAATTAGTGACTGTAGGAGTTAGTGAGTGAGTGAGTGTGTGGGTGAGTCAATGAATGTGAGTGAGTGAGTGAGTGAGTGAGTGAACTGGTGAGTTAGCCTATGATTGAGTAACTGAATGGGCGAGTTTTTGAATGAATGAATTAATGAGTCAGCCAGAGAGTGGGTGAGTGAGTAAATGAGTGAATGACTGAGTGAGCAAGAGAATGGGTGAGTTAGAGAATTAGTGACTGAATGAGTCAGTGAGTGAGTGAGTGAGTTAATGAATGTGGGTGAGTGAATGAGTGAGTGAGTGAGTGAGTGAGTGAGTGAGTGAGTGAGTGAGTGAATCGGTAAGTTAGTGCATGAGTGATTGAGTGACTGAATGGATGAGTTAGCAAATGGGTAACCTAATGTGTCAGTGAGTGAGCAGGTGAGTTAGGGAGTGAGCAAATGGGTGAGTTAGCGAATAAGTTAGTAAATGAGTGCCATAATGAGTCAGTTAGTGAGCGAGCAAATGGGTGAGTTAGTGAATAAGTTAGTGAATGAGTGAATGAATGGGTGAGTTAGAGTATGAGTGAATGAGTGACTGAATGGGTGAGTGTGTGAGTGAGTGAGTGAGTGAGTGAGTGAGTGAATATATGTGAGTAAGTGAGTTGACAATATTAACTGAGTAAATTAGTGAATGAGTGAGTAAATTAAAGTGCAGGTGAGTTAGTTACTGAACGAGTAAGATTTATCGAGTTGACTAAATGACTGTGTGAATGAGTGATTAAATAACATTTGAGTGAGTTAGTGAGCGAGTGAAAGAACCTGAGAGAGTGAGTAAAAGGGATTTGATTAAATAAGTAACTGGCTGAGGGGGTAAATGAGTGAATTAGTGAGTAAATAAAAAGCAAGTGAATGAATGAATGAATGAATGAATGAATGAAGAAATCCATGAGCAAGTGCATGTATTCACAAATAAGCAAGTGAGTGAATGAAGCATGTGCAGTGCAGTGACACAGTACTTACGCTGACAGTGCATATCTGCTCCATTCTGCACAGGGACGCTGTGCTGACTGAGACACGTGTCACACTGCTTCCCTGTCAGACCTGTTGTACATCTACACTCTCCTGTGCGAGGGTCGCAGCGACCACCCTTACACTCACACTCTACACACACAAACACACAAATAAATGTAACTCATAATTCAACATATGCCCTTGAGCTTAATGTATTTGTGCTATGTTGACTCACTCCTGCAACCATTAGAACTGTAGTTCCAGTGACCAGGTGCACACTGGTGGCAGTTCGGTCCATTGACCCCAGGCTGACAGGCACATGCGCCGTTAACAGGGTCACATGCCTGAACCAACGCAGCTGACGCATCACAGTCACACTTTCTGCAACCAGTGCAGGAATCAAAGCCAAATGTCCCATGCTAAACACACAACAGCAACAAAAAACGCTATTACCACTGAACCAAACCAATACATAGACAGAACATCCAAGCACACACACCTCACAGCGATCACACTGGGCTCCCACCACACCCGGCTTGCAGTGGCACTGGCCAGTGTGAGAGTCGCAATGTGCAGTGCCACAAGGAGAACAGTTGCATCCTGGGTAATGCACAAGGGAAATAACATAATTATAAGAACTCTTTAAATACAGGACAGTATGGCTGATGTTTATACAAGTTGACCTACTGGTGCAGTTCTTTGCAGTGATGGCATCACCGTAGAAACCAGGGGCGCAGATTTCGCAGTGCGGTCCAGCAGTGTTGTGCATGCAGCTCTGACACTCCCCCGTCAAAGGATGGCAGTCGCTGAACAACATGTTGGGGTCTGAGTTTCCATTGCAGTTGCACGGCTGGCATGTACTGCCAATCACAACTGGGTTGCCATAGTAACCTGGTGCACACCTGCATTCAGTACAAAAAATAACTATTTAATAATTACTAATGTGGCTATAAAAATAGTAATAATACTAATTTAGTAATAATAATGATACAAAAATATTAATGGTAATGATATCATAGAATATTTATAATCTAAAAAATGTAGTAAGTGATAAATGAAACATTTATACTGCAACTCCCAGAATAAATTATGTTATAAAAATGTCCTTATGTCATTTTATTTTCATTTTAATTCATGTTTATGACAGACAATAATAACATTCATAAAATAATGAGAAAAAGTATTACTAATTCTTAAAAAATCTTTGCTTTATTGCCACAGCCCTATCACCCTGTAGTCCGAGACCAGTTACTTACTGAAGCTGAGCAGGGCTGAGCCAGGTCAGTACCCGGATGGGAGACCACATGGTAAAAACTACAGTAAATTGCTGTTGGATATGGTGTTAATAGGGTCAGTAGGGGGGCGCTCAACCTGCAGTCTGTGTGGATCCTAATGCCCCAGTATAGTTAAGGGGACACTGTACTGTCAGTGAGCGCCATCTTATAGATGAGACGTTAAACCGAGGTCCTGACTCTGTGTGGTCATCTGTGTGTAACCCCGGTGTGATGGGTTCCCCCCCATCAGCCCTTACCGGCCTCCTAGTCATCCCCATCCAATGAATTGGACCTATAGTTGGTGTGTGGTGAGCGCATTGGCGCTGTTGTCCTGTGGCTGCCGTTGCATCATGCAATTGGATGCTGCACACTGGGGGTGGAGTGGAGAGACCCTCCGACTGTTAATGATTGTGAAGCACTTTGGGTGCATGGCCACATTACATTACATTGCTGCAATTATTTTTTATGGCATCTCCATGTAGCTCGATGCCAAGTGGTCCAGAATGTTGAAGCCAAACTCCTTAAAAATAGTGGCACAAATGTCCATGTTGCCCCATTCTACATTCCAATTTTAGTATTACATTCTAGTATTTTTATTTTATGAAAATACTTTTATTGTTTACAGAATCGTGAAATCTGATATTCTGCATCCCTATAACTCTACTAGATGTTTAAAATCTTGTCATTTTAGGTTGAATGTGCTTTTTAAACTAAATTAACTAAACTAAACTAATAATAAAATAAAATATTTGTAAATAAATAACCATATAATAATTGGATGTTTCACATCAGGGAGAGGCCAAGCCCGTCTTTTTCTGGTCTCCGAGGCTCTGTATTGATTGTGGAATTTCAAAATTAAACCAAAACAAACAATTACAATTGGTTGAGTTTGGCCATGAAAATTCAGAATTGTGTCTTAACCAGATGAGCCTTTAACGAAAAAAAGGAAACTTAAACGAAAAAAAATGGATGTGTGTGTATATATATATATATATATATATATATATATATATATATATATATATATATATATATATATATATATCACCAGGCTCTCCAGAATTTCGGGTGTTTCATTTTTAGATTTTGACTTTTGTTTTAATCAAATTTGATACGGCATGGCAAACGGAAAGAAAAACCTTTTGTATTCCGTGACTTGGTGGTCCTTTAAGGTAATCAAAAATCGCTGCTTACATGGTAGACTCTTAATAAGAGTATTAACTTAATCATATTAAAATCGGAGATTTGGTGTCCATGTAAATGTACTCGGAAAGTGTCAGGTGAAGTCGCGAGCTGTCAAAGACAGCGCATTCCTCTGCCTTTCAGCATGCGCTCTCAAATGTGTGTTGAAGTGTTTGATGTGTTTTCTTCAAACGCAACAAAAGTGTCTGCTTTGCGTTGTTGTGTCAGAATCCTTGTGAAATACAGCCATTCTTTCGAACACTTAGTTTAAGTAAATTTGATGAACGTGATCATACGTGTTGAATCTGAAGACAGTCGCTCCGGCTGCACTGTCCTGTGTGTGTGTGTGTGTGTCAGGCCCATGCACAGAGCACAGACCGTTACAGGGGCCGGTGCAAAGTGAAGAGCAATTGCCTCCTGAGAGGGGCACCTCAGCCAATGAGGGCAGAGGGGCAGTGGCTCTTGCCACCAGGCCACCCTCCTGTGCACGGCCCTGGTCTGTGTGCCTGTGTGTATGTGTGCGTGCGCGCGTGCATTTCTTGCAACAAACCTGCCTAAATGTCATTGTCCGTAGCAACTAAATCAAAAAGTTACAAATTGCCGTGAGATTGCGTTGCACTCTCAGCTCATTCAACATCATTCAAAAGAAAAGGTCCACATTGTCCCTCGATAATGTCAACAGACTGGACTGTCTTAGAAACTGGCTGAAGCAAAATTGTTTCTACTTTATAATTAATGTTCTCAACTTACAGCAATACAACTTTACAATTAGTGCAATTGTCTGTATTCAATACTTTAATATTATTATTATAATTTTCCAATTTCCATATTTGCAATGCCTGTATTTCGTTTTTTGCAGTCCACTTAGAATCCAACTTGGAAATTAATGTTTTCTTTATTGGCATTGTTTATATATATATATATATATATATATATATATATATATATAAATATAATAAAAATATTTGTTCTCCCTGCGTTCATGTGGGTTTCCTCCGGGTGCTCCCCCACAGTCCAAAGACATGCAGTACAGGTGAATTGGGTAGGCTAAATTGTCTGTAGTGGATGAGTGAGTGTGTGTGGATGTTTCCCAGAGATGGGTTGTGGCTGGAAGGGCATCCGCTGCGTAAAAACATGCTGGATAACTTGGTGGTTTATTCCGCTGTGGTGACCCTGGATTAATAAAGGGACTAATCTGACAAGAAAATGAATGATCGAATGAATGTTTCACATGTGTACCTTTCACACTTAGATCCAGCATAGCCAGGCATGCACAGGCACCGCATATTATTGGGCTTCTCCACACAGCGAATAGCAAAACTGTGAACAAGACCAAACAAATAACATCTTTTACTCTATGACAGAGGCATGTTGAGATATCCAGCACTGAAATGAATTTATTTTAAGGGAGTATTATCAGAATTTCAAAAAATCAGTCAGCCAATAAATTGACTTTGGTTTCTTTACAATTAAAGATGTTTACTGAATTCTTAAGCGTCATAACTATTAGCTCCGGTTAAAAAAAAATAAAAATGTGCTGCTCTGTCTTTTTCTTTCACTTTCCAGTTTCGTAATATAACTTGAATCAGTCCAATAAAAGCGGAGCAAACCATTACAAACAAAAGAGTAGGGGTGAAATAGCGAATGTACACAACTGAACATATGAACATATATAAACTGTATATGAATTTGAGCACTATTATATTCAATCAAATTATGGCTCTTACAGGGGGTAAAAGCCTAATAAATCAGAAAGAAAACAAAAGTCTGACTAAATTTCAATTCCACACAGATCATCAGAAGAAAAAGAATGTTTGAGATGAATGTGAAATAGGGGTTCAGATGATGAAATGAGACCACTGACTTGTTTGAAGCCACTTGCAGAGGGCAGGGGCAGCTTGAACAGGACACAGAGTGGCCATCGACAGTGTTGTTATGATGAAAACCGCCCAGGCACTTCTCACAGTGATTTCCGGCAGTATTATGGCGGCAGTTCTGCGTTTGAAAAGTTCAACACTCTGATTAAGCATTTATTCTTAAACTTCTCTTTCCCAGGATCTTAAATCTAAATCAGATTTACGACTTTGTTTATGACGAGTTTTACTGTACCCACTGGAATGTGCTATAACAGTATATTGCCTATGTCTACGCCTGGTATGTGATTTATGTATGACTTGAGATGTTTGACTCACCACACATATGCCAGAACCATCCAGACACTGATCCGAGTGCCCGTTGCAGTTGCAGGGGACACACTTCCCAAGGAAAAGACCTTTGTTGTCTCTGTAGTACCCTGGCGCACATTGCTGAGAGCAGAAAATGAAACATGTATGAACATTATAGCACAGTTTGAACAACTTTATCCAGGATTTATCAGTATTTCTTGGTTGCTCATAGTGATGGCTTTATCTTGTTGTTTCTTTAGCTCCAAAATAGCTCCATATAGCTTTTATTTTAGGATGTTGATGTTCATTCAACTGAAGCTGAAGGAGCTTTTTGTGGATCATTCTTTCATAGCAAACTAAAGGTAAGAGGGGTGTGGTCAAGTATATTGTGGTGAATTGTCTGTGAACTGACGTCGACAGAGAACAAGTGGCTGATTTAAGCATGGACAATATGGCCGATATGCACCCCCCTTCCCCCAACCTCCCGCTCCGTCGTTTGCCTAGAGCGCCAATTGAGCTTTCGATGGTCTTGCCAGTGAAGGATTGTCACTCCAAAAGCAGAAGCAAATAGTCAGACTTTGAAAATAAAAGTTTGTACTGTAATCTTCAATCAGTGGCCTAACTTGAACAGATAAATTGTTCAATTGATTAATTACAATCTGCGCTAGGAAAATAATGTTGTAAATTTCTGTATGTTCTGATTTGGCAAAATTATTAAGCAATAATTAATCCAGCCATTAACCAAATTTACTTTATGCAAATATATGAGTTGATGAAGACTAGTTAATTCATTTTATATGCACCTGACATAAAGTATGTCATTAATGGGGACTTTGTAAGAAGTCCAGATGTTTACTGACTGCAATGCTTAATTGGCCAATTTTACAGCTGATAAAAACATGTTTTACAGCCTGGTACAAAAGATGGTTTTGGTGCATATAGCTAATATAACCCTTTGTGCCAACTTTGAGGGGGGTGATTTTTTTTTTATAACTTATGCATTTAGTTTTTATTCAGTTATATTAAGTTTGCATAATTAAGGGTGTGGCCACTTGAGTGACAGCTAGATTTCGCTGGTCACCATCATTTCACCTCATCTGATTCCGGCTGATTAGCTGCTGAACTCGGCATGTACATCATATATACATATATTTTTTTTAGTTTAATGTGGCTTTACACAGGCAATTGCCGTTTGGAATTATTTCTTACAATTATCAGATGACATGGCATGCTGTGTGCACTTAATTGTGCTCACAAACCATTCAAGTGGCCTCCATTTCCCAGGTGAGTGAAATTAAATACGTGTAAACCACATCTATATATATATATATATATATATATATATATATATATATATATATATATATATATATATATATATATATATTTATTTTATTTAAGATAATTTATTATTTATATTTTTCTTTAGAACTTGAATGCACTCCAGAACCAGACAGAAGGATTAGCTGTAGGCTATAAAACATCTGAAATGTTGTCATACAGTGTTATGCCTGGATTTTATAAATAGCCTTGCATTTCCTAACACAGACTATATTTGAAGTGTTTGGGAGAAATTTCTTCCTGTAGAAAAACGTCATAAGAACAGTGCTTAGTGGCTCAATTTGCTACAACGGTGTTTTTTTAAAGACTAAACACTTCATTGATATAGTGTTGCAGGTAATGAAATATTAAGCATTTCTCCCAAAGAAAACACTGTCTAAGCAAAATGCTAGGAGGAATCTGTAGCTCCACTGACGCTCCGCCAATGACATGCAAACAAAATGTCGATGGTTGGCCATGCCTACTTGTAGCTTCTTTTGCGCTCTTCAGAAACCTATGGGTGATGTCAAGGATACTACGTCCATATCTTTTACAGTGGTTTTTAGTGACCACCATGAACAATATTCAAGACCTATATCATGATGGTGGTCTTGTTTGTAGTCGTAATATAGTGAATTACATTTGGACTAGGGGAAAAAAAGGTCTACAGCAGCACAGGATGTTACAAAATGCATTATTAAGCATTAAAGGGGACTTTCAGTTTAGATAATTTTTAAGTTTTAGACAGAACAATTAAATAGACATGAAAATTAAGTCCAGTTTAACATTAAAAAAATCTGTTTAACATTTCTTTCTTTGGTTAAACACAGAAGAAGATATTTAAAAAAAAGCTAAAAACAGGTAACCATTGACTTCTTTGGTATTTGTTTGTCCTATTATGGAAGTCAATAGTTACAGGTTTTTAGTTTTCTTAAAAATATCTTCAAAAAAGAAAGCTTTGGAACTATTTGAGGATGAGTAAATAAGGAGTAGCTCTTTGGATAAACTGTCCCTTTAAGAGAATTTGAGGATTTTTAATGTAAAAAAAAAAAAATTGTTCCTGTCAGAAACCCTGAACTTTTCACTTTATAAGACCTCATTATAGTCAGTAGCACTTCACAATTTGCTACCTTGTTTTTGTCAAAGCACACTACCTGACAGGAGTCTCCTAGATAGTTTCCTGGGCAAAGACAGATTTCAACATTGTTGGCATGGCGACCAGAGGGCATGTTTTCAGCCACCTCCAGCACAGCGGCCCGCAGAGACACAGACTGAGCCGACTGAGAGTGAAGCGCTCTGATCTGAAGAGACTCCAGGGCCACCAAAACCATCATCAGCTCCTCACGGGACACTGAATTCCCAGTCTGAGCATGCCTGAAACTCTCCTGCAATGACAGAGAACATGCATGCATTGAATTAACTTTGAGGACATTTCACATCATGTACAGAGAAGAACAAATAATTATCTTTGACTAAAATCGTGATTTATTTGAATTTCCTCACCTCTACCAGGTGGACAATGCCTTCATGGGGGTCTTCAGGAGAGGGATATTCTCTTTCCATGTACACAAGAGTCATCTGATTGCCCTGCACACACACACACACACACACACACACACACACACACACACACACACACACACACACAAACATCAAGTCGAGCTTTATTGTTATTCCGCTAAATGTGTGGGCATACAGAGGAACGAAATGTCTTGTCTCGCAGGACAACGGTGCTACATAATTTAATCATAAATACAAACACAACACTGGGTATAAGAGCTATTATAAAAACCTATGCATAACTAACATGTACAAATTTTATAAAATAAAATACTATATTATTTACTATTATATTTTAATTACTAATATTATACTTTAAATACTATACACATAAGACAGGCTATTCAAGTACTTTTGCATTAGCGGGCTGCGAGACGAATCGAGTTGAATCGAATACAAAAATATTTTCAATCAGGCTGAAGTTCAGCCTCAAGTAAAGATTTTACAGAAAGTCTACAGCACAGTTCATCAATCAGCAACCCACAGCCTTGCTCCAGGCTAGTTTTAGTAAAGCAGTGTGTCAAAACAATGGGGCTGTTTTTTTGTTTTATTACAGTTTAGTGTTTTTTATTTGATGTATTTTACAATATGTATTACAGTTGAGTGTTTTCCAGTTATTTATTTGTTTTAGTGGTTAAAGTAAGGTTTAGTATTCATAAACTATGTCTAATTAATTAAAATCATGAAATGTATTAAATTTAACATCAGTTATTTAAGAGCTTAAAGCTACAATCTTTGGGACATCTGTATTATTTTATTTATCATTTTTGTTTAGTTTTAATCAAACTACTACGATAGGTATGAATGTATTAGTGTATATACGTCTATATACACATATCTGTATCTATATCAATATATCTATATCTCTATCTATCTATCTATCTATCTATCTATCTATCTATCTATCTATCTATCCATCTATCCATCTATCTATCTATCTATCTATCTATCTATCTATCTATCTATCTATCTATCTATCTATCTATCTATCTATATATATAATATTTTTTTTGTTTTGTTACCACTGGTTATAATTTACTTATAAAACTAAGTATAAAAAATACTAAACTACTACTACTACTACTACTACTACTAATAATAATAATAATAATAATTATAATAATAATAAAGTAATGTACTAAATATAAAAATAATTATAATAATTTTACCTTACGGAAGCATGTATAGTACCTAAAAAATCAGGCTCATAAATCGCTCTAGGGATAAAGTTCATGTGTGGAAAATTAAAATATTTTGTGTGATTTTTTACAATTAATAATATGTTTTGTGCTTACATCTTGTCTGACTTAGGCTTCTTATGGATAAATAAATATGACAGCAAAAAAAAAAAAAAGAAAAAAAAAGAAAAAAAAAACAGCAATAGCAAGCAAGAGCTTGTCTGATTTGTTGGATTATATTTTCAAAGGATTCCTTCAAAATGACCGATTCATTTAAAAGTGAGGCAAGTCATTGTCTTTATAAAAGAATCAAAAAGTCTGTCTTACGCTGCAGACAGGATCATTAATATTTGATTGGTCACGGGCTTTCCTAGAATGATTGTTTCCCCCCTTATTTTCAAGTCTGTCTAAGCTTATATTAAACTTACTATGGATGTGAGACTTTTATTTTGAAAAGGAGACTCAGATAAAAAGATCTCTCAGATAATGCCACCAGGCATGGATCTCAACTCATCAAAGCTTGTTGTCAGAAAGACAGATTCTAAATTTATTCAAATTATTTTAAACTAAATTAATTTAAAATGATTATTTATTCATTATTTATTCAAATTATTTATTCAAAATGACTGATTCATTTAAAAGTTTGGCAAGTCATTGTCATTATAAAAGAATCAACAAGTATTTGCTTAAAAAACTGATTCTGAGATGAACAAATTTTTTGTTTGGACGTTTTGTTGAAAACAGAAACAATTGTGTCTCTCAAAATGAATGTAATATTTGTTTAAATAATTAATTTTAAATTTAGTAAATTATTTTTATTCAGAATAAACTCAATTTTCAAAATTGTTAAACTGATACCTTGAGTATAACGTCTGGCCGAATGGTTTCGACCATCAGGAAAGCATCACCTCGCATCGTCTGTGTATGTAAACGGTAGCGCAGATAACCTCCGTATGAAGACACCTACATATGAGAAAGACAGCACAAATTCAGGTCAAGACAAGCATGTCTAAAGCACTGAAAGCCTAGTCAAAAGTCAGCTCAGCCTGTGTTTAATCTGACATTCGGCATCAACATTTAGCACCAGTCCAAACAAGGTGTGTGCAAGTTATCAGATAGAACCATTTATCTGACCCTTTTGTTTCCTGTAGCTTTAATGTGAGCTATCTGATGGAGATTCAGCTCAGCTGTCTGTCTGGCCCCGTACTGTCTAACCACAGCTAACCCATAAGCTTGGCTGAAACATATGTCCCAGCAGCTGCCATGACATCATAATAAGACAAGTCTAGGTGTACAGTAGATAAGCTGAGAGCAGGAACATGTGAATGTGGACTCACTTTATCGCCGAGGTAAGCCTGAGGAGCATGCCAATGGAGGTCCTGTGAGACATCAGGCACATCGCTCAGATCGGCCTCCACCAGATCCTGATCCAGATATGTGGACACAGGCACTTCCTGTCTGTCACTTCTCAGCAGCACCCAGCCTGCCATGTCCATAATCTGTGCAGATCAAAGCAAAATATGAGTACATTTGTATAGCAGTCAGCGATTACACTTATTTTTACACGCATTCAACAAAAAAAAACTCAGTGAAGGGAATGATTTTCAAGTTTAAGGGTCATATTATAAATGCTTTGCTTGAATCAGTAAAAGATTCAGAACATGCGAGTCTTTTTAAATGGTGTCATTGAAGGAACAAGCTCACTAAGGTCATCTGAATGCTATTATGACTATGCATGTTTGTATTTGTGTGTAACCTGTGATGACAACTCACAAGAAGATCATTAGATATCAGGCACGTGCACACATTAGGCTCAACCTGTGCAGTGCACATGCCCTTTGTAGTCTAGGATATAAAGTGCCCTTTCAAAATGATCAAAAGTGCCCCTGCGAAGCGACACACCCTCCGTCCCGCCCTTCAGAAGGCGCGCGACAACACCGCTCTTGAGTACGCGCGCTCAACCCACCCCCATCCGCCCCGCTTTACAGTACGCGCGCGACAACACATCTGATCAGAACGTGCGCGACAACAACAACACCATTCCCCCCCCACCACCCCCCCACACCCCACTCTTAAAAAAATGTATCCTGCACATGCTCTTTGGAGGGTCTCTGCACGGGCCTGTTAGATATGATTACTATGATATTGTACTTTGGCTTGAGACCCAGTTCTTGGGAAACATTTGCAGTACTATGACAAAAGCATCACAAATATCAGTGAACACAGTGACTCAATCTTTTTTCCAGACGACCTTTAATTGTGCATTCAAAATTATTAGTGAACCTTCAAAAACCCCGAGCAGACAATTTAAACAAGTTTAAAGGGGTGGTCCAGAATGTAATTTTAAGGCTTGGTTGTGTTTATAAGATGAAAAGCAATCTGTGCTCATGTTTCACTTGAAGTAAATCATGTTATTTTTTCATATATCTCACTTTGATTATACACAGCTACTTAGCTAACATGAAAACGACTGATATATTTCCTAGTTCCTCTGAAAGGCCTGCCTTTATGACTCTGATTGGTCATCGTCATAATGTGCTGCGATTAGCGGATCGGCTCCATGTCACGCCCGTATAAGCACGCGCTTTTCTGCTGTGTAAACCTCAGTCAACCTTCTGCCTGCTCACTAAAATAAAATATGACAAGTGTCTGTAACGAGTGAAAATGTGGTGCGGCTCCTTTAAGAGACCTCGTCTTTGTGTGTGTGTGTGTGTGTGTGTGTGTGTGTCTTATGTGTGTGTGTGTGTGTGTGTGTGTGTGTGTCTTATGTGTGTGTGTGTGTGTGTCTTATGTGTGTGTGTGTGTGTGTGTGTGTGTGTGTGTGTGTGTTTGTGAATGTGTGAACTTTCTGTAACAAGCGCATGTGCATAGGAGTTTTTTTTTCTTTTTCTCTGAGGCTCAAATTAAGTTATTTTCTGTAATATATTGTGACAGACGAATAAAATAGTGTGACCAAGACATCAAAAATAAATTTAGTACAGTTGAAAAACGTCCGCTATAGTTATGAAGTGACGTGCATCTGTTCAATACAGCGCGAGCTGCAGAAGTTGCGCAGAGTGTGAGTCACCATAAGCGAGTGGTGCAGACAGTCGAAAACATTTGGAAATGTTTTGTAGAAAATGCCTTTTGTACAATGCACTGTTATCGTTAATAGGGGTGCAACGATTAGCTGATTTCACTATTAACTGCGCTTTAATTTGTCACAGTAAATAAATCGTAAAAGCTTCTCTGAGCCGCATTTCTGTTCGGAACGAAACAAATTAAACAAAGTTATGACAAGTTGCCACCTATGCGTTAGTTTAAAATTCCAAGCTTGTACACCGGATTAACTATAGCAGCGGCCGTTACCATATCACATCTTTTTCACTTGCAAGTTTGTTATTTCTAATGTAATGACAATATGTGCGCACAAGCGGAGTAATGCGCTTGCGTCTTTCTGGGCGCACGCAGTAGAAAACATCTCAAGGTGAGAGTTATAATGTTGTATAATGTAATCTATAATGTTGCATCACTAATTGTTATGCAGTTTAAAAAAATAACATATGGATGTGTCTGAATGTAGAAGAAGCCTACTTAAGCAATACACTTATTTTGTTGTGCTCTGAAATACAACATTTGAATGTTAGTAAAAAAAAAAAAAAGTCTATTGTACAATGCACTGATATTACGTAGTTTTAAAATACAATATATTAACATGTAGCCAACGTGAGTGTCTTTGAGCACAAATACAGCATATAGGCTCTTATATGCAGTTTTGTCATTACTCATTTAGCAAGTTATATCTCTCTGGCTCTTCGTTTGAGATGCTTTTCATGAACCGGGCCATATGACAAACTAATTGAATAGCCCTGGTTTAAATTAATGGTCCTTTGTAAGTTAATGTATTTACTAACATTAACTATGTATAAATAATCTAGTAAAGTATTTATTAATCATAGTTCAACATTAACTAATGCATTATTAAGGGACAGACGAGTCTTCGCTGAGGTCCAGCTTTCCAGCCTCCGGCGCCTAGACTGCAGCTCTGCACAAGACATTTGGCAGGAGAAGAAATACTCGTGCCCAACTGAGCTTGGTTTCTCTTAAGGTTTTTAAATTCTTCACTTTCCCTAATTAAATTTTTTTCCTCGCCGCTGTTGCCACTGGCTTGCATGGTTCGGGATCTGTGGAGCTGCTCAACGATGGATTTGCTCTTCTGTCTACGGACTCTCGGTAGTGATTATTAAATCACGGTGAACTGTGCTTAACTGTGCTTAACTGAACTGTACTTAAACTCTGAAAACTGAACTACACTGTTTCAATTCACTATGGTCTTCTATGTGAAGCTGATTTGACACAATCTACATTGTAAAATCGATAAAAATAAAGGTGAATTAAATTTAATGGAATTGAATATCCAAAACTGTGCTTGTTAACATTAGTTTATGCACAGTGAGTTAACATGAACATTATACATAACATTAACTAACATTAACAAAATTAAATAAATACTGCAATAGATGTATTACTAATTCTTTGTTCATTTTAGTAAACCCATAAACTGATGGACCATTATCTTAAAGTGTTACCAAATAGCAACAACTGTGTAAAGATTAAAATAATACAATTAACAATGAAGGCCAGATTATGAATTAACAAATGTTGGTTTGAATGTGCACTAAAGATACAGTTAAACAGACCTGATGGCTCTTCAGTGGGGCGCTGAATACATTTAGAATCTGTTTTTCTGGCGATGAGTACTGAGATATTTAATTAGTTTTTTGTTTTGTTTTGTTTCATATTTGCAACAGAGCTTAAAAGCTGTGTGTGAACAAAAAAAAAAAAAAAACCAAAAACTGTAAACAGCCTGAATGAAAATGTAAATCCACATTTTGACAGAACGTAGTGAAGAAATTCTGGAAGAAATATGCCTCGTGCTGGAAGGTAATTACCTAAGGTATTTCAAGTAGATGTGATTTAATATACTTTTAATGATAATAATAAAATGGTCAAACAAACTATCAACAATAAATTTTATTATCAAAATTGTGTCTATTTGATTTTTAATTTTAGTGCCCTCTCTTTAAGCTTTGTTGACCCTAGAGCTGGGATTAATCGAATCACAATCACAATTAGTGATTAGATAAAATCGCAAGAGGCTGCATTATGAAATATGTATGTATTATGTAATGTATCCAACTCAGAGCAAATGAGTGACTGCCGTCTGTGTGTGACAATCTTACTAGCCAATTAAGTGAGCACATTTTCGTTCAGCCTAATCAGAATTCCACAACCGGACTATGCGGGACACACACAAACAGGAAAACGTGGACAGTTGGGATAATGGCATCTGCCACTTTAGAAGCATTAATAGACTAATTAATATCAAAGAAAAACAGCATTGAAAATATGAAAATATTTTGGTTTTAAAGTCACAGACACCAAACAGGTCATTTTTAAGAGCTGCCGCAGAATCGTTGCCACAGCTTACAGATTATTGAGCTGAAACTTGACTACAAAATTAAATCACAAATCAAATCGCCATCGCAATATCTGTCAAAACAATTGCATTAGATGTTTTCCCTAAATCGCACTGCCCTAGTTGAGCCCTAATGGGGGTCGTGTCCTCCAGATTGGAACCAAGATTGTTAGCATATCAGTTACATCAACAGATACATTAGTTACTTATCAATGAAGTTGAGGATCAAGCTGCATCTAATTATGCATAATTTTGTGTTGCTGCTACAGTAAGCAAATGAAACATTTGTGTACTAAAAGATTGTAAAGCACAATGGTATAACAATGACTGATTTCCTTGACATATCATTTTTAAGTGTACCTCACTTCGGCGTTTGTCAGAGCTGTGGCAGCGATCAGTGGCTCCAAAGCAAAAGCACTTGGTGCAGCCTTTAGCATTAGTGGGGTCCAGATGAAACGTTCCCAGTTTGCACTGGTCACAGCGAGGGCCTTCCACATTTTCCTGAAAGAGACCAAACATCAATATATAACAAAGATGATCAATTGTCTGAGTGAAAACAGACATAAAAAATAATGGGGCAGAAGGAGAGGAAAAGACACCTTGCACAGACAGCGTCCAGTGAAGGAGTCGCAAACATTCATCTCAGTTCCCGCCTCATTGCAGTTACATGGCCTGCAGTTGGGGTAACCATAGAAACCTGGAGAACACCTGTCACACTGACGGCCAACAATGTTGTTCCTGCACCTGAGGGGAGAGTGATGTAATTTGGTATGATGCAGATTAAATAAAGTACATACAGATCAACTGACACTCTATGATGATTGGATGCCTGTAGCTCGTGCTGGCTATTTTATCATAAGTGAAATATAACAATGTTTTGATGAATTGTTCAAACTTACTGCACATAAAGACCCAATAGACATTAGGTACTTAAGTTGTTGGCTTTGCCCTTACTTTTGGTTTACAAATTATATCTAAAAAAAACTGCCCTAGTTATTTACCATTTATCCAGTTATAGTTGAAATGAAAGTGACGTCAATAGATGACGCATGAACAGTTATAATGTATGACATTTCCTCACAGTCAGTAGAGCTCAAATCCACCTCCCTGTGGATTTGAAACGCTGCCTAATGAGGGGATGGTGTGTCAGCCAGTGGGCCGAAATAAAGAGTCCTAAAAATAAATACCTCTGGAATTCCTGCAGTTAATCCTTATATAGACAGTATTGTTATAACCAGACACAGTGGTTAATAATATCAGTCCATCAGGCAGCGCTTCACAGAAGAAAGGTTTGGCTCAGGCGTAAAAGCTCAGTTGTAAACAGTCCATTGACTCCATTTCAATCCAAACGACCTGACTTCAAACACTCAAGACACGTTTAGTCTCACAAACTCCAAGAATTTCTTCTCTAAACTAAAGAACTAAGTAACAAATTACAACGGATCTATTTTCACTGGCCTGTATATTGGTAATATGTTGTTTTGTTATGTTATTTTTTTATTTTAAACAAAAATTAAGCACAATCTTCATTTCACTTAATCATCTAGGAAAAAACTATTCCCATGTTGTTTGATTAGTTCACCTTGAGTTCTTGCTGAAAGTAATTTACCACTAAAATCAGACATTGCACGCAGGATCATTAATAATAGATTGGCCACATGCTTGCCTGGTGTAATGACAACAATGATTATTTTCCCCCTTATTTTAAGTCTATCTAGGCTTATATTTGTCACGGTCACCAGTAGGGGTGTAACGATTTATCGCGATACAAAAATGTCACAATATGCATCGTGGCGTTATGACGATTTTATTACGATATGACGTCCGTGTTCTCTTATTAGTTGAGCTGTTTGCACGTGAGCTACGTTCCACCTGCTGTCACACGTGAGTTCAGATTGCAGCAGCAGTAATGTTAGCAGACCAAGATGAGTGGAGTTGAAATAGAGGATGGCCCATCCTCTCAAAATCAGACGTCTGGCAACATTTCGGTTGTACAGTCATTGCTTTAGACTCGTCCGCTTTTTGACACGCATACTGGGTCAAACATCCTAAATTTTAAAGTCTTCACAGTGATTTACATACTTTGCACAGCGACAGGGATACCTCCTAATGGTGTTGAAAGAGTCACATACTGTATTTATAAGGTACAATTCACCCTAAAATATCATTCTGTCTTCATATAATGTTCCCGCCGCAAAATCACACATGACCTGAGCTGACCGAGAGCTGTTACTACAGAGGGCGGACTATGATAGACGGGCGCGTATGGCAACCCGTTTTAGCATTTAAACCTTTGTTCTGACTATCCATAAATATATTTAGAGATATCTCTAATTATATTTTGACTAGTCATAATTATAATTCGACTAGTCAGAATGACAATTAGAGATATCTGCAATTACAATTGTACTAGTACGAAATCAGATTGGAGATATCTGCAAATATATTATGACTAGTCATATTCCTCCAATGACTTCCATTGAAAAATATTTGCAGATATCTCTAAATGAGTTTTGACTAGTCACAATTGTAATTAGAGATATCTCTAAATGAATTTAATTAAATATGAATTAAATACCTGGAAATGTGGATTTTTTTTTTGCACACACAAAAAACGCAAGTGACCAAGCAAAGCCTTAAGCTCTTACTGTTAAATTCAATTGAATAGAAAGCTTATTTTTTTGCACCTTTACTTAAATTGTTCCTTAATTTTGTCTCTGTCATTTCAATAATATTTTTAAGAAGTTTTTAAATGGTTTTATTTTCCAGAGACAGGCCTGTTAATTTATTTTCTTAAAGGAGGTTCAGTTTAACAAGTTGAAACAAAAGAAATACATAAAAAAATTGTTTACTTGGTAAAATTTGCATTTCAGTTTAATTAAAAATTTTTATTCCAAATATCGTGATACATATCGAATCATGAACATTACATCGTGATACACATCGTATCGTGAGCTGAGTGTATCGTTACACCCCTAGTCACCAGTGATCTAACCACTATAGATCGCTGGAAAATCCACATGAACTACAAATCTGCCATGTTATGGACTACAGATCCAGTCATGCAACACACACACTTACCTGCTCCAAGTCACCATTGATTAAACACTCACAGCTGAAGCTGCTTTTTTACTGATTACTTGGACTACACAAACACACACAGTGTTCTGTAATGGGGATGTGACACTGACAACGGAGGTGAGGATCCAGATGCAGGTTTGTTAGATTGGTCAGGAAAGCAATGGTCAACATGCAGGCAATCCAGAAACATAGTCAAAGTAACAGGTGAGTGGTCAGAATGCTTGCGGCAGACAGGGCTAAATAGATACACAAGGCGAGGATCAAAATAAGGCAAACAAGACAAAGGAAATGCGTTGTAATGTCACTTTAACAGATAACAAGACTTTGCAACAACTGTGTGTTAGTGTGCTGTATTTACAGTGCAGTAATCAGTCCAAAAGCAGCTTCAGCTGTGAGTGAGTGTGTGTGTTGGATCTGTAGTCCATACCATGGCAGATTTGTAGTTCATGTGGATGTGAATGTTTTCCAGCTATCTATGGTGGTTAGACCACTGGTGACCGTGACAATATTAAACTTACCATGGATATGGCTGAAAACAGCTTTCAGATAATACAACCAGTCATGGATCTCAACTCAAAGCTCATCGCCAGAAAAACAGATTCTAAATGCATTCAGCGCCCCACTGAAGAGCCATCAGGTCTGTTTAACTGTATCTTTAGTTTAATGTGTATATTGTCGCATATTATACAAATCAAATTTGTTGCATATGTTTGTAATGAGGCAACAAACACACGTAGACTGCTAAATGTAAGTGTTTAATGCATGTTTATGCATTATGTCATATCACTCAGCTCTCACTGCCACTAAAGTGAAAGAGCAGCAATACACTTTCTTAAACATCTGTTTATGCAGAGATTAATATTAAATTTCTGCCTGTGTTTTCATATACGTTAAAGCTTCAAAAATACAACTCTAAAAACATCTGTCAGTTCGATTTGTAATTATAATTTTAATTCAGTCCACGTTTCCTCCACAACAAACTGGGTTACACTGTAGGCATAAAGATAGCTCACTCACTCTTAGCTAAAATAAACCATTTCTGGAGATTTTTTTAACTTACCTAAGCCTCATACCGTCTATGTAGATGTTAAAAAAACAAATTAACACACTGAATCAATCCAATCCTTTAAAGTCCGCATGAATCGGCCATTTTGTTTGTCATATTGTGACGCAGCACTTTGAAAAATGGAATACTAAATGAGAAAACAGTGGGCGTGGCTTGTTCTTTTCTACTGCAAGCTGATTGGATGTAGAAAAGTAGGCATTTCATTCTGAAAGATTGGGAAAGGGTTTCGGAAGTGTTATTACAACCTAATAGACACCTCATTCTTGCCCTTTCTGTTTGTCGTTAAAACGGACAGTTGGAGGATGTGGTTAAGTATGTTAACCACGTCCAACAACTCAAACAAACCAAATCTGAAGAATTTAGCTCAAAGAAAATGCATTTTCATATTTTAACGAAAGATTACAAGGGCAAACAATGTCAGCTAACAACATCAATATGTTGTGAGCTGTCAATATAGTAAATGACAGCTAACAACATCAATGTGTCAGTTTTGATTTCATGTGTAATTTAAAAGGAAGTCAACTCCATGAGTACGCTTCTATACCGTACCTGCATTGCCCGTTGTTTGTGTCACAACTGATGTCCATCGACGTAACTCCAGGCCTGGAGCAGTTACACATCTCACAGCCCACCAGAGGATGGCAGCCAAACGTCTGGGGCTCGCAGGTTACACAGTCTGGCTGAAGGGTCCGTGGTGGACAAATGCATTCGCCCGTCACAGGCTCACACAGACGCGAACCACAGTTACATGCTGGAGAGAGAATGAGACAACAATTTCAGTCATCGGTTCATCAATCCCTCATATCAAAGTGTGTTTGGAGACACTCACGTCTGCAGTTGGGGAAGCCGTAGTATCCCGTGGCACACTGGGAACAGTCTCGGCCGATCACATTGGGTCTGCATCTGCACTGTCCACCGAAAGACTCGCAGGTGTCACTCTCGGCACCCACTTCATGACAGCCGCAGGGTACAGCGCCGTTATTGAAGAAGGAAGACAGAGATACGGCAGAGCTCAGGCAGAACGCAGACGCTGAGGAAGGGCTGACAAGAGAAAGACGTGATGTTAAGTATTATTATGTATTATATTACACATGTGAATGGTATTTGCAAACTATATTTGATACAAGATTCTTTTTTTTCTCCCCATGTATTGGTATCATTTGTTTTTCCATATTATTTGTTTTTTTCCCTGTATGTTCACATTTTAATAAATTAATCAAACTGAAAAAAATATATATGAGAAAACTGTTATAAGAAAGGCATTTGTAGCATTTTTAGTTTAATTACAATTTTGGTAAAAATTTGGTTCAAAATAAATATTTATTTTTCATAGTGTACATTATGATACCAAATGATTGGTTAATGATGACCTAAAGACAACATTTCGAAAACTAAATTAACTTGTTATTGTATTATTTAAAATGTAATTTATGTTAATTTATATTAAACACATTTAATAGTATTTTTTTAATGAATCTAGATTAAAATGGCTCATTTGAATTCGGCTGAAGGCATTCAGAATATGTATGCTACCTAAATAATGACTAAAAGTAATTCTTTGAGAACGGGTTTCTCAAGCCAGGTGGCGCATTAGATCAGGGGCTCATCTCCTGTTTCCAAAATGCAACTGCTTGAGAAGCTGTTCTACTATGATAATTGTTGATGAAAATAAATGTTCAATAAGATGTATTTGCGTTTACTAACTGTTTATTCAGTTAAACATGAATTTTGAACTGTAGGCCTACATAAGCTTGAAACAGTGATTTTTGATCACCTTAATCTGACTAAAGTCATAACTGAACTAAACAGAAATGGAATTAATACATGCATTAGTTTGCATATATTAGTGGCATTATTGAAATAAACACAGCAATCAAACTATTACAGTCATGTAGGTCTTTTAAGCAATATTTTCCGACAAGATCCACACACGCGACTTGTCAGTAAAGGACCGCACACACACACTTACACACACTGGAAAATGCGGAAGTTTTTTCTTTCCGTTTGGCATGCGTTATTAAATTCCATAACAGTCTCACCAGTTCTTACTCCTTATTTGTTTTAATACCCCAGTTTGTCACGGGGATATGAATGAAATGTTCACGAGTTAAAGTGAAACTGCAGTTAAAGTCACCCAAAATTACAGGACATTACAGGACGCAGCACATTAATGCCGATAACGGCCCACCACTAGTATTTACTAGCATGAACTAATTATGAGCAATACTTCAACAGCATTTATTAATACCACCATATTGACATCTAAATTAATGCTTGTTAACATTAGTTAATGCACTGCAAGTTAACGAACTAACAATAAATGACTTTATTTTCATTACCTAACATAAACTATCATAAAGGTATACTGTAATGAATGTTTTGTTCATTGTTTGTTCATGTTACTAAACACATTAACTAACACAACCTTACCCTGCTGAAAAATCCAGCTTAATCCAGCCAAGGCTGGTTGGCTGGTTTAAGTTGGTAGACCAGCCTGGTTTTAGTGGGGGTTTGGCCAATTCCAGGCTGGTTTCCAGCTATTTCCAGCCTGGTCTTAGATCGTCAGGCTGGAAAATGACCAGCTAAATCCAGCTAAAATATGCTTGACCAGCCTGGTTTAAGGTGGACATAGCTGGTTTTGGCTGGGCTCCCAGCCTGGCTAGGCTGGTCAAGCTGGTTTTAGCTGGTCATCTCCCAACCTGACCAGCTAAGACCAGGGTGGAAATGGCTGGAAACCAGCCTGGAAATGGCTGTAACCCCTATAAAACCAGCCTGGTCAACCAGCTAAAACCAGCCAACCAGCATATGCTGGTTTAAGCTGTTTTTTTTTCAGTAATGTATTGTTAAGTTTTACCAGAATTTGAATATCCACAATTCAGCTTACTTTATACTATATAAATTTACAACCATTTCAAATATTTATGGTGCATTTCCCACACTGAATAACATACTTGATGTAAAAGCTGTTTTGTCCACAGTTACTGATGAAATCGTAAGATTTATCCAGCAGCTCCTCGGACAGAAAGCTGGAGCTGTAACTGCCCTCTGGCACCACCAGCACATAGTCCTAAAACATAAGCGCAAAGCAAGTTAATTTCAATGCTGAACAAAGAATTCATATCACCAAAACCAGGGGTGTCCACACTTAGTCCTGAAGGGCCAGTATCCTGGAGAGTTTAACTCCAAGCCTAATCAAACACACCTGAATCATCTAATCAAGCTCCTGCTGGATATACTAGAAACTTCCTGGCAGATGTGTTGAAGCAAGTTTGAGCTAAACTCAGCAGGACACCGGCCCTCCAGCATCGAGTTTGGACACCCCTGGCCGAAATAAACTACACAAACTCGCTCACCAGCCACAGTGTCTTCCTGTCAGGCACACGCAGCGTCAAGATCACCTCATGATCCGTCACATCCAGGATGATCTGATTCTCTGACATTACAACACTGCGGCAGCCATAACCATGAGGACAAAAGGATGCGTTGACATTTCCTGAAATAAAAAGCGACTTTAAACACTAGAACTGGCTGTTTTTCAAACGAGAGCCTGATTGATATCTTGACTACGTGCTTCATTCTGGGTTAACTCAGCATAATCTGACTCCCGTAACTACTTTGTAAAGACATTAGCATAATACAGTGACTTAATCAATTTTTTTAATCATATCCAAACAGTAGTTGTGTGCATAGGTAATATTTTTTAGGTTTACAACCACAGCAGGTGGTTTAAGTGTTAATAAATAAAGCATTTACAGAGCTAAAACAGAAGATGTTTATGTGTGTTTGTTTACCCTGCCATATGCGACCTCCGTTGATGAAGACCTGGACGTTGTACGTTGGATGCAGGGGCTGATGGTAATGCAGGATGAACACGTAACGTCCCAGAGCATGAACACGCGTCGAATACACCACAGCGTTCTGGGAAATAAAGCAGATATGAGGACTTGCAGACCTGCTTTTTTATTAGCATTCAAATACACTTTATTAGGTACACCTGTCCAACTGCTCGTTAGCGCACATTTCTAATCAGCCAATCATATGGAAGCAACTCAATGCATTTAGACATGTAGACATGGTCAAGACGATTTGCTGTAGTTCAAACCGAGCATCAGAATGGGGAAGAAAGCTGAATTAAGAGGCTTTGATCATGGTATGGTTGTTGGTGCCGACCGGGGTGGTCTGATCTGCTAATGAACTAAGATTTTCACACACTCTAGGGTTTACAGAGAATGGACCGAAAAAGAGAAAATATCCAGTGAGCGGCAGTTCTGTGGGCGCAAATGCCTTGTTGATGCCAGAGGTCAGAGGAGAATGGCCAGGTTCTAACTGATAGACAGGCAACAGAGACTCAAACAACCACTTATTACAACTGAGGTATGCAGAAGAGCATCTCCGAATGCACATCACAACGAATCCTAAGGCGGATGGGCAGAATTTGGCATTAAAAACATGAAAGCATGGATACATCCTGCCTTGTATTAATGGTTCAGGCGGCACACTTTGGGCCTATTAGAACACATTGGGCATTGTGTCAACACCACAGTCTTCCTGAGTATTGTTGCTAACCATGTCCATCCCTTTATGACAGTGTATCCATATTCTGGTGGCTACTTCCAACAGGATAACGCTCCATGTCATAAAGTGCGAATCATCTCAGACTGGTTTCAATCCAACAGAGCACCTTTGGGATGTGGTGGAACGGGAGAATCGCATTATGGATGTGCAGCTGACAAATCTGCAGCAACTGTGTGATGCTATCCTGTTAATATGGACCAAAATCTCCAAGGAAAAAACTTCCAGTACCTTGTTGAATCTATGTCAGGAAGGATTAGGGCAGTTCTGAAGGCAAAAGGGAGTCCAACCCAGTACAAGTAAAGTGTACCTAATAAAGTGGCCGGTGAGTGTATAGTTGAAGGACAAACTACAACACATGACTAATTAGATGTGGGAAATAGTTCATTTGACAGAAGTAAAACACTGACTTTTAGAAAAAGCAAGTATTAATGCATGAAAAGGTTTAAGTGCAAAAACAGATAACATATCTGCAATAATAATAATAATAACAACAATATATTTTGTAGATAGTTTTGTATCTGTCATTAATTTTATTATTATTATTATTATTATTATTATTAATTGTATTATTATGATTATTATTGTTTTTTTATTTTATTTATTTAATTTTTTTTTCATTTTGTAATCAAAATGAGTCCCAGTGTTTACCTGACTAGTGTCCAGAAGCACGTGTTCAGTATTATCCGTTGCGGTCGGCGGTGTGGAGGTCATGGGTCGGTCGGCATACAGAGATGGGTCAGGGGCTGAAGCCAGAATCGGCTCTGCGACAGAAGAAGCCTGACCCTCTTTCAGGACCAGAGACTGAGGAGGATTCTGGAAACGGGACGGGATGCAGGAGCCACTGGACACAATATGAAATATGTTGATATGTGATAGTAACAGTAAATAAGCAGCATAGGCATAAAAACTGCAGCAATATAGCTAAATGTAGTTGTCAGAAAGGTCAAAGCTTGCAAAGCAATAAATTAAAACAAAGCAAATAAAAATTTAAAAATAAATAAATAAATAAATGAATTACAAAAAGTGCAAAGTTTCAACTGTTTACACACAGAAAACACAATAAAATTTATTTATATTTAAAAATAATCAAATAAAACAGAAACAAAATGAAGTGATCTACAAAACGTGTTCTAGTTAAAAAAAATTAAAAAATTAAAAATTAAAAGTTAAAAATTACAAATTAAAAAATAAAAAATCAAATCAAATAAAATAAAATAAAATAAAATAATTATAAGTAGTGCTAGGCAAAAATTCATTACAATTAATCACATCCAAAATAGAAGTTTGTTTTGACATAATTTAAGTGTGTGTACTGTATATATTTATTATGTACTGTAGTATATATAAATACACACATGCATGCATATATCTGAGAAAATGTTTATTTATATTTAGATATTAAATACATACTGTATGTAGACAGTGCTTCCCACAGGTTTAAAACATACTTGCAGTGGTAGCCGGATTGAAACACATCCTTTACATACGGCACATAGATGTGATACAAAATAATGTGATTTTTAACAATATTTTTAATCTATTATGACACTGTTATACACCGTTTCATTTCAATGGGTTAAAGTTTATAAAAATGTTGTTGAAATAAAAGATAATTAACATAAGATCCACAAAATAAGAGATCCACCATTTCTCTTATTTTCATGCTATTTAGGCGCAATCTGCACACAGCTGCACTCTCCCCCCTCTCTCAAGTTCAGGCTGCATTTTTGGTTTTGTATAAAATATGTAACATATTAATATCCTCGAATTAATAACATATGCAGCAAATGAGAAATAAATGACAAGAAAATTCAATCAAAACAGTTGATTTATTAATAATTTATTAATAATTAGAATGAACCGTGTAGATTATTTAAATAAAGTGTAGCGAGTCAAGTAATACCACGTCGCCCTGGGCACAAATCCACACCAGCTGGATCATTCATCAACCCCGGATCGCTCACAGCTGGACCTCATCAGCCAGGGAGAGATATAAGCCAGCCCCACACAGGAAGAGTTGAGCTTCATTTGACATGACTCCCTGCGCTAACGCTTGTCTCTCTCTGTCTCTCCCACAGCCGAGTCCAGCTCGTGACCGATCCAACACTCTACTTCTCACCAGCCTTCACCATCTCCCCGGAGCACTTGAGCACGCACCTTTAAGAAGAGCACTCTTTCACCCCAATATCACTTGTAAATAAAGGCACCCTCCGGGGCATTGTTTGTAACATTATCTACGGTGTTTGTGTTTTCCCTCTGCCTCGCTACAACTGGTGGAGAATGCGGGCATTGCAGAGGGAAAAATTCAGAAGAAACACTCACCATTAAGTAGAAAATAACCGCTGAATTTTTCTCTGTGTTTGTTACAGACAGGCATCCGCTCTCTCTCTCTCCCACGCTTCCTCTTGCTCGGCTGTCAACATCCCGTCGCCATGTCTTTGGAAGAGGTACTGCTCCACCTAGCGGAGATCTCCAGTAAACAGAATTCCATCTCTGAGCAGCTTACAGCCAGACAGGATCGACTGGAACAGCAGCTCCGCCAGGCGGCCAGACACCATCCGACTCCCGAAGTGAGTGCGCATCATCATCTCACTAAACTCAGCGACCTGGATGATATTGACGCTTATTTACATACCTTTGAGGTTATTGCCGAGAGAGAAGGCTGGCCAAAAGAAAACTGGGCGAGAATGTTGGCTCCGTTTCTCACAGGAGAAGCGCAACGAGCATATTTCTCACTAGAGACACCTAAAAATGAAGATTACAAAGCGTTAAAAAAGGAAATATTAGCCAGAATGGGGCTATCCACAATCAGCGCAGCCCAACAGTTTTCCCAGTGGTCTTACGACGAGAAGCAACCAGTGAGAACTCAAGCAGCTCAACTTTCTCGCCTGGGAAGGCTATGGTTATTGGGAGGAGATCCCTCGGCGGTCCAGGTCGCTGAGAAGGTGATCATCGAGAAGATGATGCGTGCGTTACCCCGACGTTTGCGAACACTCACCAGCATGCGAAATCCTGAGTCACTGGCCACCCTGGTGGAGGCGATCGAGCTGGCTGAAGCTCACATCGCCCGAGATAACGGGGAGAGAGCGGCTCTGCCACCCCGGAGGGTAAGTGCACCTTGGCGACCGGTGGAGGGCACAGCGCGACCAGGCGGCAGACCAGCGGTCCCCAGCCCGATGGACGAGCCGATGCCCACCGAGCCGACGACGCACTCGACCCCGGCCTGGACAGCAGGGTGCGCGGTACACCGCAATATCCCTCCCGAGGCTCCCACCCATAAAGTCCAGCTAGAGGGAAAAACACAAACGGCCACCTTAGACACAGGAAGCGCCATCACTCTGGTTCACCCGAAGACTTTGAAATACCGCCAGGAAAGTAAAAGTCTTATTCCAATCACGTGTGTACACGGTGATACCCGCCACGTACCCGCCCGAAGAGTGACCATCGCGGCGAAACCAGGCAGCTGGCGCATCGAAGTCGGGGTTGTTCCAGATCTTCCTGTGCCCCTCCTACTGGGCAGAGACTGGCCGGGGTTCGATGAACTCCTCACTCACCACCACGCTCTATCGGCTCGTCCAAAGAAGAAGAACAAGTCACGGGCTCATCGGGACCGCAAACCAGCGCTGATGACCACCGAGAGCGATAGAGGGGGTGAGTCATCAATTTCTGCTAATTTATACTTTGATCTGTTTCAACAGATAACCGCAGGAGGCGATTTTGGTAGAGCACAGAGGGAAGATGAAACGCTCAAACACTGCTGGCCGCAAGTACGGATCATTGAAGGTAATGAGCGACTTCCCAGCCCTCACCCCCTCCCACATTTTATTGTGGAAAATGGTCTGCTGTACTGTGTCGCAGAGAGGCGGGGGGAAAAGAAGACACTATTGGTCGTCCCGAGGACCAAGAGGGAGACGGTCTTAGAACTGGCACATACCCACCCGATGGCTGGACATCTGGGAGCGGCCAACACGGTGAAAAGGATCCGCGACCGTTTCCATTGGCCGGGGCTAGACGGGGAAGTAAAGAGGTATTGCCAGGCATGTGACATCTGCCAGAGAACGTCTCCCCAACGACCACCCCCCAGCCCTCTAATACCACTACCCATCATCGATGTGCCCTTCACCCGAATTGGTATGGACTTGGTAGGGCCTTTGCCGAAGTCGGCCCGGGGACATGAGCACATCCTTGTTATCCTCGATTATGCCACCAGATACCCTGAAGCGATTCCCCTGAAGAAAGCCACGTCATCGGCCATCGCGAAGGAGCTGTTTCTGCTATGCAGTCGAGTGGGAATCCCAACGGAGATACTGACCGACCAGGGCACCCCCTTCATGTCCCGGTTGATGGCAGACCTCTGTCACCTCCTCAAGGTAAAACAGCTAAAAACCTCAGTATATCATCCACAGACTGACGGCCTGGTCGAGCGCTTTAACAAGACTCTGAAGCAGATGCTCCGACGGGTGGTGGCAGAGGACGGGCGCGACTGGGACCTCATGATCCCGTACGTGTTATTCGGTATCAGGGAAGTCCCCCAGGCCTCCACAGGATTTACCCCCTTCGAACTGCTGTTTGGCCGCCAACCCAGGGGTCTATTGGATGTGGCTCGTCAAGCCTGGGAGCAGGAGCCAGCCCCCCAGCGGTCGGTGATTGAACACGTACGGGACATGAGAGAACGCATCGACAAAATCATGCCCATCGTCAAGCAACACCTGACCGAAGCCCAGCGCGCCCAGCAGAGATTGTATAACCGGCCCGCCCAACCCAGAGAGTTCCACCCAGGGGACAAGGTGATGATACTCATACCTACCACAACGTCGAAGTTCCTCGCATCCTGGAAGGGACCATACACCGTGGTAGAAAGGGTAGGGCCGGTAAATTATCGAGTCCGTCAGCCGGGACGAAGACGGGAAGAACAACTTTACCACATTAATCTTATGAAGAAGTGGGTTGCAGCTCCAGGTCATCTCGTTGCCTTCGCTGAAGAAACTCTTCCCGTTGTCCACATTGGTGAGCAACTCTCACCAAACCAGAAGGCGGAGCTGCAAGCCTTGGTTGGTCAGTTCAAGGATGTGTTCTCGGAGAAACCGGGCCGAACCTCCATCATCCAACACAACATTATCACTCCTCCTGGCACCATCGTCCGGCAAAGGCCTTATCGAGTTCCAGAGGCTCGCAGGCTGGCTATCGACGAGGAGATCCAGAAGATGAGAAGGTTAGGCATCATCGAACCATCCCGTAGCCCGTGGTCCAGCCCAATAGTGATGGTCCCCAAACCCGATGGCACCCTCCGTTTCTGCAACGACTTCAGGAAACTCAATGAGATCTCCAAGTTCGACGGATACCCCATGCCTCGGGTGGACGAGCTGCTGGATAGGCTGGGTGGAGCCCGATTTATCTCCACCATCGACCTCACCAAAGGCTACTGGCAGTTACCACTCAGTGAAGACGCCAAGGAGAAAACCGCCTTCTCCACACCCGGTGGGCACTGGCAATACCGGGTTCTTCCCTTCGGGCTCCACGGGGCCCCAGCCACATTCCAAAGAATGATGGACATCCTGCTGAGGCCCCACCAGCCATATGCAGCAGCCTACCTGGACGACCTCATCGTCCACTCAGAGTCATGGGAAGAACACCTATCCCGGTTACGGAGGGTGCTCTTAGATCTTCGACGGGCTGGGCTCACAGCTAATCCCAAGAAATGCCACCTGGGTCTAGCCGAAGCCAGATACCTCGGCTTCCACATTGGACGAGGTCTCATACAGCCACAGCAAAACAAGGTCAAGGCACTACAAGAAACTCCACAACCCACCACAAAGACCCAGGTACGTGCATTTCTGGGGTTAGCGGGCTACTATAGATGTTTTATACCTAACTTCTCATCCATAGCCAGCCCTCTGACAGACCTGACCAGAAAGGGGCAGCCGGAGAGGATAAGATGGACCAAGGAAGCCGACGACGCGTTCCGAGCCCTAAAGAAGTCCCTCACGTCCTCACCGGTACTGCACGCACCTGACTTCGGCTGCCCCTTCATTCTACAGACGGATGCTTCCGACTCGGGCCTGGGCGCGGTCCTCTCCCAGGTCCACGGCGATGAAGAACATCCCATAATGTACGTGAGTCGGAAGCTGACCCCCGCAGAGACCCGCTACGCAACGGTGGAGAAGGAGGCCCTGGCGATCAAGTGGGCAATCCTGGAGCTAAGGTACTATCTCCTTGGCAGGAAATTCACTCTGGTGACCGACCACGCCCCGCTACAATGGATGGCTACAGCGAAGAACAACAACGCTCGGGTCACCAGGTGGTTCCTGTCGCTCCAGGATTTCAACTTCGACGTCCAACATCGAGCCGGGGCCTCCCACGGAAACGCAGACGGACTCTCACGGCTCTGGTCAGGATGGGCAGGTCTGTCAAAACATTCTACCCCCCCTCTCAATACACTGCTCTTCCTTCGCAGGACACCCAGGACCAGGACGACGCTAAGGGGGGGGGAATGTAGCGAGTCAAGTAATACCACGTCGCCCTGGGCACAAATCCACACCAGCTGGATCATTCATCAACCCCGGATCGCTCACAGCTGGACCTCATCAGCCAGGGAGAGATATAAGCCAGCCCCACACAGGAAGAGTTGAGCTTCATTTGACATGACTCCCTGCGCTAACGCTTGTCTCTCTCTGTCTCTCCCACAGCCGAGTCCAGCTCGTGACCGATCCAACACTCTACTTCTCACCAGCCTTCACCATCTCCCCGGAGCACTTGAGCACGCACCTTTAAGAAGAGCACTCTTTCACCCCAATATCACTTGTAAATAAAGGCACCCTCCGGGGCATTGTTTGTAACATTATCTACGGTGTTTGTGTTTTCCCTCTGCCTCGCTACAAAAGCAAATGAGTTGATTGACCATTTCTAATGGTGTACATTTTGCAGCCAGTTTAAATGTCATTTTGTCCTCTCTGAGTATATAGTACAGATTTTAAATCATTTAGATTAAAGAATCTATTGTTTACTTTTTCTCTCGGTTAAAGAATTCTGACTTCAACTGTACATAATAAACATATATAACCAAAACACATTTATTATATCAAACATTTATTGTGAATGCAATTAATTGTGATTATTTCTTTCCCTGCACTAATTTTAAGTTCAAATAACATCTGTTTAGCTGTAGAAGTTGGCCAATTACAAATGAAATAATAATCATAAAAACTCAATAAAATGTACAGAACAAGTCCTTCCCTTTAACAGCACACAACGCTATAAACAAAACTGCTTGACAGAATTTTTTAAAGAATAAAGGATGAACGTGCTATTCACCTGTCTGGAGCGAAGTGGCCATGAGTGCTGATGCAATGAACTCTGGGCTTCAGATACTCCATGGTGAACTGAGCACGAGGGATGAGGAACACTTTGTGCTGGATAGGAAATCACACACACACACACACACACACACACACACACACACACACACACACACACACACACACACACACTTGTAAATGGCATGTTTACAGTGAACGCAAATACCTGCAAATATTATAATGATTTCAATCAAAAAAAAAAAAAAACTCTCTTACAAGGAAGAAGCTGCTTCTTTCAGCAATAAGTTGGATTTCAGCATTCGCCGAGATAGTAAAGAGGGCCACACGCTTCATGTCATCAACAGACACTGAACGGCACAGAAAACTACACAGAGAGGGAAATATATACACAATCTATCAGAGAAAAGTTAGAAATAAATACCACAAAGAGACCTAATAAACAAACAAATGGAGCATGGGCATCCGAACACACAATTACTTAAAAACGTAATTAATCTTACACGTAATAAGGTCTCTAAAATGTTATAAGAATGCAAATGAGGCAATATTTTATAAACTTTGCACTAATCTACATATATTTCAAGAACAAACATTTGAACAATGGATAAAAGATTTTGTAGATTTTTTTTAGGTATTACAGTTTTAAAGAGAGTATTTTTAATCACTTTTGATCAATTTTATTAATTCAGAAAATTCTGTCAAAAGCCAAGACAAATAAAATAAAAACATTTGTAGAATAAAATGTAATCAGGCTCATTCAAACTTTTTTCTTCAGCTTTGTTTCTATTTCAAAGGTCGCCAAAGTGGAATGAGCCACAAACTATTCCAACATATGTTTTACGCAGCGGACGCCTTCCAGCCGCAACCCAGTACTGGGAAACACCCATGCACTCACATTCACACACACTTATACACTACAGCCACTTAAGTTTATTCAATTCACCTATAGCGCATGTCCTTGGACTGTGAGGGAAACCGGAGAACCCGGAGGAAACCCACTCGAACACGGGGAGAACATGCAAACTCAACACAGAAATGGCAACTGACCCAGCTGGGACTCAAACCTGCACCCTTCTTGCTGTTAAGCGAAAGTGCTTATCACTGAGCCACCATGCAATCCATCAGGCAATTTATGTAAGCAAAATCCCTGTGACGTTTGGTATGTGTAAAGCTGCTGAAGAGGAGATTAACGTCTCAGTGTAAGTGGAAAAAACCTTATTTTGAGAAAAAGGCCTTTGAAAATGTATTTTGTAACTGAAATCTACAGACGCAAATTGGTGAAGTGTGACAAAAGGAACACTGAAAAGTGTATTGTGGAAATTTTATTTCTATGAAAAGCCAAAAATCTCATAATAAACAATTGTATGAATAAACTGTCCTTTGCTTGCAGGTTTCATCCTAAATGTGCGTTTTAAAAACAGCAGTTCAATTCAGTTGTCAAAAAGAGTGTTAAATACGTGACTCTTTTAACGTAAAAAAATAAACAAAAATACATAAATAAAAGTTAAAGACTTAAGAGTAAACACCTAACACAAAACACAAGTACAGAACATGACTCTGATTAAAAATTTAGTTATTGTTAGTCAACAAACGCTGGTTGAACAATGAACGCGATGGCAAAGAAAGCAAGAGAGGTCTTTTTGTGGACAGACGACGAGGTGGAGTTGTTACTGAACGTAACAAATGAATAACTGCACAAAGGCGCCTAAAACAGACAATACTGCAAACAACGCTCCCATTTCTGTGTCCATGTTGTTGTTTACAGTGAAGGCTGGTTTGCTGTCTCCCGGTAGCGGTAAAGCCATGTGTTATAGTCATGTGTAAGGGACTTGACGAATAAGGGAAGGATACGCAATGGCACGAAAGCCCCAATCAGGTAGCGAATCTCTGCAGCCCTGCCTCCGTTTTCAGATGTCTCCGTTTTTCCCCATCCATACTGAGACGGAGCAGCAGCGTTTCAGAATGAAAACAAAATCAAAACGCTCCGTTTTCGGCGCTCGAAAACTCCGGTGTAGTGTGGACGGATGGCGTAACCGTAGCAAAACTAACGCGTTTTCAAACTAAAACACAGTGTAAACGGGGCCTAAATCAGGTTCAGGCACAGTTCACTTGGCCAGCCATGGCTTGAGCGCGGTTCACTTGGGCTGTATGAGTGCAAAACGCGCCTAAGGGCGTACTCAAACTATGTACAGTTGCCTTGAACTGGGTCAAAGCACGCTTGTCCCCCCTCCTGTCTCCCCCGATGGCCCGCACTCACATTACATTCGGGCCTGATCACACTTACGTCATCGATGATGCGCTGGTCAGAAGCGCTCTATCTATGACGTAAGCGTGCCCAAACCTGAATGTAATGTGAGTGCGGGTCATCGGGGGAGACGGGAGGGGGGACAAGCTTGCTTTGGCCCGGTTCAAGGCCACTGTACATAGTGTGTGTACGCCCTAAAGCTGCAAGTGGACACCTGAAGTACAAAAGCACAAAGTTGGTAGACTTCAATTGGTCCAGACTTCAATTTACTGAAGCCAAGTTGCATCAAATTCCCCAACCCCCCCCCCACCCCCCGTATCACCATTATGTGACAGGTGTAAACAGAAGACACGACTTTTCATGCTTTCTGTTTTTGTCTTTTGGTATATTCATTTTGCTGAAGCATATTTGATTGTTATTCTAACGCCTAAAGTAAATCTTTACCACCTGATGCAGAACTAGCTATATTCGGATATTCACAACACATTTCTCATCTCCCAGACGGACTCCAGCAGTCTTTGTCTTTGGGTATGATTGTGGCTAAAAGGCTTTTGCTCCTGCACTGGAAGTCATTGTTACACCCTTAATTTCAAATGTGGATTGCAGACATGATTTAAGGGAATTTAATTCTCGAATATCTGGACTCTCTCTCTCTCTCTCTACCTATCTATCATCTATCCATCCATCCACCCACCCACCCATCCATCCATCCATCCATCCATCCATCCATCCATCCATCCATCCATCCATCCATCCATCCACCCACCCACCCACTCACCCAACTATCTATCTATCTATCTATCTATCTATCTATCTATCTATCTATCTATCTATCTATCTATCTATCTATCTATCTATCTATCTATCTATCTATCTATCTATCTATCCATCCATCCATCCATCCATCCATCCATCCATCCATCCATCCATCCATCCATCCATCCATCCATCCATCCAGCCAGCCAGCCAGCCAGCCAGCCAGCCAGCCAGCCAGCCAACCCGCCAGCCAGCCAGCCATCCAGCCAGCCATCGACCGACCGACCGACCGACCGACCGACCGACCAACCGACCAACCGACCTACCTACCTACCTATTTATTTATTTATTTATTTATTTATTTATTTTAATTTATTTATTTGTTCTGGTTGTTGTTGTCACACGCTAAGCTATTTTGTCATTGTTGCTCAATAGCTATGTTTCCATCCAAAAATGCAAATTAACTTTATGCGTAAACTGGATTATCGCATAAAAGATGTGCGAATAAAGCAGCGTTTCCATCCAACGAGTCAAAGCAAACAAAATCGTCACTTCTTGATTAACTGGCGCCAAAAATCAACAGTTATAACAGTAAAAAACAGAATTTGCGCATCGCCGAAATACGCATGAAAATAGGTGGATGGAAAGCTAGCTATAAACTCATTGTATGGGACTTGTCCAGAACAGTGCTGAATTTTGTGCGTGTATATGTGTTTCTCTGATCTTGAAAAGTTCACTAATATAATTAAAAAATAAATAAAAAAAATCATCCAGCCTCGGAAGAAAAAAACAAAAACGCAAAGTTAAAGAGAAAAGGCTCACGTAAGCCAAACAAACCCACCTGTATTTGCAGTGGAGCAGTGTTATTTGCTCCTGATGAGTGGATTCACCTGCTGAGCTGACAGACACTGTAAGGTTTTGAGGGGCTTGATCTTCACTGGCGTATTCTACCACTAACACATACTCTCCAGGAACAGGAACTCGACCACGCAGCCCAACGCTGATCTGAACACAATTATATTGTACGTTTTCAACACAAATGCATGCACACACTCTCAATCACTTCCGGAAAAAAACCCTGATTGACCCTAAACTTGTGTATTTTAAGATTTTCCTTACTCTATCTACATTTGACTGTGTTGTTTCATCATGTGTGTGCACATGCTCACATCATTGCCGCTGCAGATGGCCATGCTGGGATGGCGAGGCGTGATCTTTTCAGTGTGGCAGGGTCTGGGCAGGTGATTATCAGACCTGCAGCTGGCATCATTGCTGGAGATGGATGGGAACTCATCCAGAGACAGATACATGTACTGCAGACAGCTGAGCACAACAAAAGACAGATTACTCCAGCTTCACTGCATATAACAGACAAGCACAGAACAAATGTACACAAAAAGATGCTTTTCTACTGACTTCTGACTAGCGTCCTGTGTGTGGCTGTATGAACAGGGCTCAGTCACTTGAAGCTGCAGGATAGGAGCCTCGTAATACGCACTGGGCAACAGCACCAGATAGTCCTGCAGAAAGAGAGAGTCTGTGTTTAGCATTTTATCATGCATTATTACTGAAAAGAGCCTGTTTTTTCCCCTTTTTTATTTATTGGTATTTAACAATACCATACAGTGTTGCAAAATAAATAATTACAAAATAGGGATATCCAAATTGGGCCTGTTCACACAGTTTAAGACTCGATCGGAATCGGATGTTACCTCCCAATCAGGACTCAAATATGTATTTACTCATTATTTTTTAACACATCTATATTTTTGCATAGGCGCAGAGTTAGATCTTTTTCTAAGTTTTGTAAGTTATCTATTTCTCGATCTATAAGGCAGTTATAAATAATTAACAAACTATTAACTACTATTTAACAAGTCATTTATAACCCATTTAGTCACAGTTTATTAATGGACTATTAACTAGTTATAACAAATAGTTATTCTAAAGTGTTACCTGACATCGAATGCCCATTTTTAACAAGTTGATATGATTCTTTTGGGTCTTAATAAAAAGTCTATAACAAAGTAGGGCCCGCGGGCCAAAGTTAGCCTATTGTAACTGTTGATTTGGTCCATCTGAGAGGAGAATGAGAATGATAAAAAGGGTTGGGGCGAATGCCTTTGACAGAGATCGTCATTTCTAATTTGATGTAAAAAAAAAAAAAAAAAAACGTTTGTTTGTTTTATTGCTTTTATTGCTTTTTTATTGCATAGACTAATATTTAAATTTAGTAGATGAAAAACATTAAAGTGTGACAAACATGCCATTTTTTTCAGGACGCCGTAAATCCAAACATACCTTCCCACTATCTCATCAAATAATACACTTTGATGAAATAGAAAATAAAAATAAATGAATTAATTAAGCTAGGTTTTAAATAAATAAGAGAAAAATAACTTAAAAAAAGTCCCTCTAAGAAATATTGTTTTCCTCTTTCATATAGTTTATTGTGTATTAGAGCTGATATCACCAGAAGAGCACAAGCCTTTGATATACAGTAGCCTAAAACATTGATTCATTGAAGTCTTGTAAAAAGATTTGAGAGATCCTAAATAAGTAAACGTCCTAACTTTGTTTGTAATATGTAGCTAAAGATTTCTCAGATAAAATCTTTAAAAGGGGTTTTACCAGCAAAATGCCTTCCGCCTCAATGATAACAGTCCAGGTTCCCGGATTCAAGACAAATGGCTCCACAAAGCTGTTTTGAGGCACGTTCACAAATGTTGGTTCTGAACTGGGGGCAAAGACGATCTGTTTGGACTGTTCAGAGCCTGCAAAAATAAAAGGTGCAGTTCTGATTTTTGAGGATGCAGACAATAAAAAATGATGAGAAACTAAACTTAAAAACAGTTAGTTACAAGTTTATTATATATTAAACAAGACCAATAGTGCTTAGTATGGATTCAGATTACCTTATACGGTTTGATTCTGATTTGCAAGCTCTAATTTCGATTCAGTAAAATTCTTGATTTTGTTTTCCTTTTTTGATTTGGTTCAACGAAAATATAATCAAAAGAAATAAAGAGCCACATGCCTGCATATTAAGATACAGATAGGTACATTAAAACAAAACACAACTTTTAGATAACACAGAAGGATATACACAGAATATGGAAAAAGACTGATTAGCTGCTTTTGAGAAAACCACACACAATATGTAATAAACCATATTTAATAATTTAACTGATTAAATGTTGATTAAAAGTCCCAATAGGCAAGATTTCAACTGTTGTAAGTAAAGAATGGTTAATTTAAATGTAAAAGCAGTCATCATTTCTGAACTTAATTTTTAAAAAAATATATTTTGCAAAATCTCCAACCTGCTCTTTTCCATAAAATAAAAGTACAAATGAAAACTCAAACAGCTTAACATTAAATTAAACTTTTAAATGAAACTTCAGATTCACACTTTTGCTTACAACTGATCTGTCACAATCATCAGCGATCCAGGGGTGCTTTTCCCAAAACCATCGTTAGCCAACTAAGGTTGCAAGTTTCGTCGTTACAAGCATAGTTTGTAATTTACAGTTCAGTTTTAGCGATCTTCATGTTTACAATTGTGCTCCCTTCTCAGTGCACTTTGAAACCATTGATGTCATTTTGAACACAGCCTAATGGCGAAAAGTACAGGTGACCTATTTTTTAATAGTCTCCAAAGCTTGTGGAAAAAAAGCATATGTTAATTCTTTTTATTTATAGTAGGTTATTTATAAAGTATCTGTACTGTATAAGACATGGGCCTGCTGGTTAGAACCTTCTGTTGTGATTTACAAGTGTCAAATTGTAAAAGTAAATTTTCCTCATCATTATCATCATCATGAAATTATTGTTCTCATACATAATAATAACAATAATAATAATTATCATCATCATCATCATCCTCACAATCATCATTATTATTATTATTATTATTATTATTATTAAATTGTTTTTTTTTTCAATTCCTAATATATAATAAATATTACATTTCATTTTATAAAAAAATAGCCTTATTATTTATTTATTCATATGATTTATATATGATATTAGAGTATGTGTTAGCTTTTGTAAGTAATTTGCTTTGGAATATGATGTCATATTCTCAATAATATTTATAAAGGAAACATATGCTCTATATGTGGCATTTACATATAATTTGGTTAATATGGAAAGCGAGTGCATGTTTTTACCAAAACTAATATTGGATATTATTTTAAATGCATGTGCGTGTAAAACAATATCATTTGCACAAAGAAATGATGGGGTTCTTCTGTAAAGAAGTAGTTGCTCTGCCCCCTTTAGAGCGTCATTATTGGCGATTTACGTTATAACTAACATGGTTCAAGTGATGGATCTGCGACAGAAACTATGCGTTTTGGGAAACACTAGTCACTACATCGTTCTTTTCTCAAACGATGCATCATACTATGATAGTGCAGCCATGAGTTACGTTGTTGTTTGGGAAACGCACCCCAAATGCTGGAAATCATTTACTTTTACTCAGGACTACAAATCTGTCACCATATAGACTACAAATCCTGTCATGCACCACACACTCACACCTGTTCCGGTTTCCTGCTGATTGCTAACACACACAGCTGAAGCTGTTCAGAACTGATTACATGGACTTTAAAAGCAGCACAGACACACAGACCAGTTGCTGAGTCTTGTTTGGTAAACACCCTGTAACATTACAAAGCATTCCCTGGTTTAGTTTCTCTGTGTTTTGACCCTCGCTTTGTTTTATCATTTACTCTGTCTGCCGCCTATACCGACCATCTGCCTGTCACAATATCTCTGGATCTGCCTGTTTGTACCTGTTTGCGCCTGTCTTTGACCATTGCCTGTCTGACTACGATTCTTAATAAAACCTGCATGTGGATCCTCTCTTCATTGTCAATCTACTCCCTTGTGGTTACATAATCAAGCTTTAAACTAATTTTTTTTATTCTATATATATTTTTATAAACTTAATAAAATAAAATAAAATATTTATCTAAATATTTGATTTTGTTTTTCATTAAAATAAAATTAAACAAAATTTAATTACAATTCAATTAAATTAAAGTTTATGTGCAATATTTAATGATATTTGTCATCACTTGTAACCAAATTTTGATTTCATGGAAATGAGTAGACAGAACATGCTACGACACCTTTTCATTAGAGTTCATGAATGGAAATGTGATTTTGAACATAAAATAATTATTGTGTGAATTTTCACTTTTAAAAACCCAAATAAAACAGCTTAACAACAATATTACACAAAAAAAGTTTTAAAAAATTATAATAAATTCAATTGACAGAAAGCAAGCAGTGACAGTTCAGCAGATTGAACTGCCAGACGTACCTCTTCGGCTGCTCTGATAGGCTGTGATTTTACCGTTCGACACAGCCGACCGCATGTTTACATATCTGAGGATGAAGCGCGTGAGATACACGTCTGCCTCACGCACGTGCACCATCATTCTAACTGTATTCTGAGGTGGAGGACAAGGAAAACAAGAAGAACAGAGAGGGGGAAAGAGGAGAGGAAGGTTTTGTTGTGTTAAAGACCTGAGCTCTGGCTAACCGCTCATGTCATCTGAGATGTAGCTTGCACCTTGGGGAGAAGGAGAGTTTGTGAAGAGAAGATCAAGGAGGACTAGTGTTGCTTTCAATACTGATTGATAATGAAATATTTTAAACGATACGACAACTAAACTTAGCCACAATCTCATTCAGACTGCTTACTGATGTTTGTTACAGTGTTGTTGCCCATGCAAGTTTTAGGAACAACAAATAATAACTTGACTACTAGTTGATCATTTGGTATCAGAAGGGGCTTATATGAAAGGCAAAAGCCTCTAAATGATTCGTCCGGATTTTTGCCTGTTTGTGTCAATGTCGACATGAAACAATACTAAATATGAACTACCGGATCTGGCAAAGCGTAAATGCGCCTTTCCCTTCAGACACTAGCCGAGTGTGAAGGATGATGGGATTGATCATGACACGAAGATTAATATCACTAAGAGATGGCCAGACATGCAGCTGTGGGGAATAAAGGGTTAAAGCAGTGGTTCTCAACTGGTTTGGCCATGGGACCCACATTATAACATGGTCATCATGCTGCGACCCAAATTTTTAGGATAAAAAATATAAAATATAATTTTAGGAATTATAATTCATTTGTATTTATTTGGTAACATACACAAGTAGTGACCGATAAATCAAAATGAATCAAATTATAGTAAGATTACAGAGTAAAAACGTCAAATACTGTAAACAGTGGTTAGGGTAAGGAAAAGTTCAGTCAGCATTGACTAAACTGAATTGTTAGTTAAACATTCCCACATTAACACATGATCCTGTTGAACAGAACAAACCAGCAAATTAAAGTAAAATTACTAAAATAATCATAACAATTTTTATAATAATCTTTTTTGCCCATCTGCTGTTGTGTGGGCTTTCTTGGCCTTTGCTAAATGGTGAGCTACACAGTACAATGCGTGGAGTGCCTGTACTTGTTTTGAACATGAAGATGTTAGGCACTTTTGTGATACCCTCAGCTTTTGGAGTCGTCTTTTAAAATAGTCCACAGGTTTATCCTTGCAACTTGGATGTTTGGTTTCTAAATGTCGTTTTAATTTAGAAGGTGTTACGCTCTCTTGTGAGAGCACCTCACTACATAGGCCCACACGGAATCTGCGCGCGCAGAATTCCGCAGATTTTCTGCAGATTTTCCGCAGAATTCTGCAGATTTCCGCAGATTTTTAGCCCATTATTAATTCTGTTTATGTACTTGAGTAAATGTGTAAATCTGAATTTATTCAGTTTTTATTCAGTAATTTATTACTTTTTGTTTCATATATTAAGGTTTTAGTTTTGATACTCCGCTGGATACTCCCAAAATAATTCCGCAAAAATCCGCAGATTTTTACCAAAATTCTCAGCAGAAATCGCAAAAAATGTCCGCAGATTCCGTCTGGCTCTGCATATGACACACTGACGTTTTAAGCCTTTTTTGTCGCCAATATATGTAAATCCATACTTTACATATTCGAGGTCGTACTTGCTCTTCGACATATTTGTTGCTATAATTAAATGAAATTTCACATGTCAAACGGTACGGTTGTCGCACGTGCATTTCAAAATAGAAGTCCGATATAGGCAAAATGGGTTAAAATTTTAACTGTTTTTTTATTTTTTTTTGATCACACACTCTGCGACCCACTGAAAATGTTCCCCTGACCCAATTTTGGGTTGTAACCCACAAGTTGAGAAACACTGGGTGAGCAAACCGTGTTTGTTTCTGTCATTTTCTGATGGTTGATACAATAACTGATCCTGCAGTGTGGGATTCGTCGGCCATTTGGCCTTAAAGGAAGGATTAGATCTACTAATGTTTGGGACTTTGTCAGTAACTGTTACACAGTTTGTATGGACCAGTTTCTTCTTCCTCCAGATTCTGTAAATGTTTCTCCTTCCAACACAACGTAAAGTGTAGTTAAAGTGGTTGCCTCGTTTTCTGTAGTTTGCAAAATATGTATTTAATTGTGTGTTGTAACTTGTAATCACTCTACACGGCTTGTAATCACATATCTGTTGTAGATCAGTGCTTGTACTCTATCGCTCAGGTAAGATCTGTATGGGCTACACTGTTAACCCTTACTGTAGATTATGCAGTAAATAACTGTAAAATAGCCAGTGTTTAGCTGTAATGAAAGGAAACAGTATTTTACTGTAAAAGAAGCAGGATTTGTATGAAATTCTGTAGTGCAAAGAATATATCACAGTAATTTACTTCATGTACCCATTACAGATATTTACTGTCATAATAAATGGTAAATTACTGATCAACCATTACTGCCCCATCTACTCTGATGCTTTATGTTGCTATTTATTTTTATTATATAATTCTATATATTTATATGTATTTACTGTTCAGTTTTGATATGTGAATGGTCAGTATTGAGGGGAGAGTGGGACATTGCATTGATGATAAGCTGAATTTCACTGCAGTCATGTGTTTTCTTTGGTTTCTTTTATGTTTTAACATTGAGTATCAGGAGTCAACCAATGCCACAGAGATCATTAAAAGCTAAGCATAAGATATGGATGAAATGCATTTAAAGGCAAAAATATTCACACAGAGCAAAGAAATTGTCATAATAATTCTTATAACTTTGTTTACGTTTCTATAATTAGTCTAATTTGCCTAATTTAACCTATAGTTCACTTGCAATTTGCAATTTCAACTGAATATTAGTATTTTGCTACGTAAATGACTAGTAAAAATGTGTTATTTAAAAAATATATATCTTAAACAGCACGTACATACATGTTTGCAGAGACTCAATGAATTTGTTTGGAAAACTTCAATTAAAGTAAGTAAAAGTGGCATTAACAGTATAGTAAAAAGGCTTTCCTAAAAAAATGTATTAATCATGTCATTTTTGTGTTTTTTTATTATTACTACAGATTTGGAACGACATAAGGATCAGATTATTTATTATAATTTTTTTTTTCCTATGGATGAAGTTTGCATATTTTAATTGTTTTTATTAAACAATATGTGCATAATTGTGATAAATGTAGGCAGTTGCTTTGAAAATATGCTATGCTCCAGGGGTGTCGAACTACTAGAGGGCCGCAGCCCAGCAGAATTTAGTTCCAGCCCTGCTTCAACACACTACCTTTAGATTTAGTTTGATCAGGTGTGCTTAATTAGGGTTAAAGCTTAACTGCACGCTTACCCTGTAGATTATGCAGTAAATAACTGCAAAATAGTCAGTGTTTTGCTGTAATGAAAGGAAACAGTGTTTTACTGTAAAAGGAGTAGAGTTTGTATAGTATTGTGTAATGCAAAGGATAAATTACAGTAATTTACTTTATGTGTGATAATAAATGGCAAATTACTGTTCAACCATTACTGTCCCATTTACTCTGATGCTTTATGTTGCTGTTTATTGAGACGTGCATTTTAAAGGCAGAAGACAATGATTTAGGCCTCACCACACTCCCACAGGCTGTCTTATTCTAAACACAAAGGCATTAGAAAAAGTTTTCAGAAAATGCTGGCTCTTTAAGGGAGTCAGGTGTTTGATTTGTTTACTGCTGAGTGTGCTCTATTCTCTGTCTATCAATTCAGATGTCAGTCTGTTATGTTTTAGGCTTTAAATAAGAATCTACAATGAGTAAGTAAAATGTGTTAAAATGTTTTTGAGGGTTTCTAAAATAAGGCTGTGTTTTAAGTTATATTGTTGTTATCTTGAACTGTGTACTTGATAGCTACATTGTTAGCTAGTTAGCCTCTCCTCGCTTTAAGTATATTTATTTATTGGATATTGCATATTGCAATAATGTACAGATGCTAAAAGTTTATGCACATAAAAACCAATGAATTCCATCACCTCAGTAAGGTAACATGTGCACAGAAATCATCACAGGGAATCACAAAAAATATGATACAAATAACCATCCACACACAAAAGCTCCACTGTCAGGTCCCAGGTTGTGAGTTTGTTGCTAAGTATTTTTCAGAGCAGTGTTTCCACCTATGAATTTATATTAGAAACAATAGAAAAGTTTGTGGTCATGAGATTTTGAAGTAGATAATAATTATAACAATAAAAGATTGGATCCTTTGGATTTGATAGTATGTGTGTGTTTTCATATGCTTATTTTTTAATTATTTGAAACTTTAAAAAATAAAATAAATATTTTGTGTTTTTTGCTGTTTAGTTTTTTTTTTTTTTTTTTTGCATGGTCAGCATTGAGGAGAGAGAAACACATTTTACTGCAGCACTTTCTGTGTGTGTGTGTGTGTTTGTGTGTGTGTGTGTGTGTGTGTGTGTGTGTGTGTGTGTGTGTGTGTGTGTGTGGGTGCGTGCGTGCGTGCGTGCGTGTGTGCATGCGTGCATTTTTTTATTTGATATGTATTTGTGATAAATGTTGCCAATTGCTTTAAAAATATGCTATATACCATGGGGGTCAAACTCCAAGTTCCTGGAGGACTGCAGCGCAGCAGAGTTTAGTTCACACCCTGCTTCAACATTACCTGTAGATTTCTAACAAGCCTTAATTAGTTTGATCAGGTGTGTATAATTAGAGTTACAGCTTAAAGTCCCAGTCACACTGCACTTTTCTCCCTTTAGACTTCCATTCATACGCATGTGAATGCTGCAGACCTGGAATGCTAGCTCATGCGAAAAATCTGTTCGCAGCATTGGAAAGTTCAAGCTTGGAGTTCTCTGACCTGCAAAATCACATCATGTGATTGCTTGGGACCAATCAAAGATCAAATTATGACCTGTCTGAACAAAAATTTAAACTATGGACCAGTCGCTTGCTTTTTCAATCTCTAATTATTTTGTTTAATCCCACTACTTTTCGCAGTGCCGTATGACAGAATTTTGCATGCTCAATTGTTAGTGTGACCGCAGCCTTACTGTGCAGACCTGTAATATGTAAGATGATATTTATATCTGCTGATTTCTTAATTTTGTTAAACATTTTCTGTTATATTTGTTTGCTGCCAAAACAATAAAATACATTTGTCTAAATTTGTATGCCTTCTATTTTTAATAACAGGTAAGAATACTAATTAATTTTAGTAAGGCTATAACATACTATTAATGTGTATGCAGTATAATGCTGTGAGTTGTAACCCTACAGTACAGTAATTAACTGTTCACAGTTTCCAGTTAGTTACCACTACTGCTCTATTGCAGTAATTAACTGGCAACACTGTTGCCAGCTACTCACTGTAATGGTTCGGTTACAGTAAATAACTGGCAACACTGTTGCCAGCCACTCACTGTAATGGTTCAGTTACAGTAATTAAATGGCAACACTGTTGCCAGTTACTTACTGTAACCAAACTTTTACGGTGAGTAACTGGCAACAGTGTTGCCAGTATTCTACTGTAAAAACGCCCGGTAAGGTCTAACAGTGTATTTCACATATCGCATCCAAAACCATGTTGAAAATGCAAGGCATGCTTTGCGTGCTTCACGCGTAGATTAGCCTCATGCTAAGGAGGAGTTTGTAAACAACTGAATAACTGAACGAATCACATGGGAGTCGTTGAGATAATTAAAAATAAATGCCTATTTTCAAGACAATGAAAGTGTTTTTTGACCTTGCACGCATATCAGCCTGTTGTTGAAGACAACAAAACCAAAATATGACCTTTTTAACGAATCAATGCATGCTACATGGCATTAAAAATGGTATTGCATATCTATATTTTTAAAGTAATTCTACATTTTTATCATATCGACGTTAGAAATTCCAGTATTGTGACAACGCTAAGGAGAACAGGAAGTTAATCAGTACAGAGAGAGAAGAGGATGTGAGTCAAGAGGATGATGGAATTAAAGCAGATCATTCAAACTTACAGTTCCCACACAGAACATGTCTGCCATCCTCGATCACAGAGACCTGTCCCGTCACGTCCACACCCCCGCGGTTCACATAGTGCAAGACCACATGAAACAGGTCTGGAGAGCCAACCACCACCTCCACCAGAACCCGAGGCTAGAGAGCAAAAAGCGGCCCACGGCAGAGAGAGACACACACACAAGAGAAAAGAGACAATTGCAAAGCTGAATCTGCAAACCGCCACCAACCAGCACTACAGCACAGCACAGCAGCCAATCAAATGCAAGCAGCAACAGCAGTTCTCCAAACCCCTGATTAAAACCCTTAGCCAAGCCAAAGCCAGAGCGCATCACAAACACACAGCGCTACATCTCAGTGGCATCTTCAACAGCACCCACACACACACATATATATCAACATCTCATTCATTTTCACATATTCACAATAATATTTAGTTTTAACTCTGTAATAACCAACTATCAACGTTATTATTAACATTTTAATAGGTAAAATTATGTCAAATATATTTTCATTTCTGTATTGTGGATTCACTCGAAAAAAGAAAAGCTGTTGCTTTTTGACCATCATATTATGATTACAAAAAGAAAGTGTCTAATTTAATAAACATTTCTGTATAATAAACTGTGTAAGAAATAGCAATAATTACGCTTGTTATTATTCATTTCTTTTTGTTTGATGTAATTATAAATAATTGGATAATGCTGAAACATTGCTCAATGCTTTGTGCTACATAATATGTAATACTGCTGCTTGCCATAGAGTTTTGAAATTTGATAAATTTGATCATTTATTCTTATTATGATTATAATCATTTATTACGATATTGATCAATAATAGAGTATTGAAGGACTAGTACTTAAGTAAATAGAGCACAAATTGATTAAAAGTTGAATTTAATGTTAGTGCTAAACAACAGTGAAATTAATCAGCTAATTTCTGTAATATATAATATTTAAGAATAACAACAACTGCTATAATAATAATAATAATAATAATAATTATAATAAAAATAATAATAAATTAATATATGCTTCTATTGTGTTTAAAAATACTATAGACATTTGCTAATATAGCAAAGTATTAAATAATAATAATAAAGTAATAAATAGCAGTAAATAATAATAATAAAGTAATAATAATAATACTAATAAAGTAGTAATTTTGAAGTGTTTTACATTTTTTTTATAAATTAATACATAGGCAAAATAAATTTTTAATAATAATAATAATAATAATAATAATAATAATAATAATAATAATAATAATAATAATAAATTAATATATGTTTCTATTGTGTTTAAAAATACTATATACATTTGATAATATAGCAAAGTATTAAATAATAATAATAATAATAATAATAATAATAATAATAATAAAGTAGTAACATAGGTAAAATACATTTTTAATAATAATAATAACAATAATAATAATAATAATAATAATAATAATAATAATAATAATAATGCTTATTGTGATTTTTTTTTATTTGATCGATTTTAGTTATTATAAATGATAATTATGATTTAGAACACTTATACTAATCATGAATATGGTTTTATATGTATTTACACTACCGGTCAAATGATTAGGGTCCGCTTTTTTTATTATTAAATTTATTCAATAATTTAAATAAAATTATTCTGTTCATCAAGGTGGCATTTATTAAATGTAAAAAAAAGTAAAATTGTTAAATATTTATTTGTTAAATATTTATTTATTACATATTGTATGTAGTTTTAAATAAAATTATTACTCCACTCATTGGTTTTATTACTACTACCATTAAAAATATTAATAATATTAATAACAATAATAATTACTATTAACAATAATTATTAAAGATATAAATCATCTTTAAATTCACTGGAATAATTTATTAAATTAAAAGATAAACTGCCTTCGAACAGTTATTTTATAGTAATAACATTTCACAATTTTACAATGTGCACTGTATTTGTGATTAAATAAATGCAGCCTTGGTGAGCAGGAGAAGCTTATTTCAAACATTTTAAAATCCAATTGACCCTAAACTTTTGACCAGTGTTATAATGTTAATACATAATAACAAATATTACAAATAGTAATTTTAATGTTAATCATTATTATTATTATCAAAAAATATTTGTTCTTATAGTAATATTCCTTAACATATAGTTTTCATATACATGCAATACTGCAGAAATTATTATTGTTATGGCACGTTAATAATATGATTCAAATATAAATAATGTTATAAAGAATAAGCATGATTCAATAATGCGTTAAATCTCCCAAAACTGTGTGTGTCTCTCTTACCTGTATAGGGGACATCTGAGCATAGCCCCTCCAGCTGAAGCTCTCAAACTCCAGTGGATTGTAACCAAACCTCACCGGACGGCCATCCATGGTGGTGCCGTCCTCCACCTCAAACTTCATATGGTGCAAGTCAGGGAAGTAATGATCCGGCCGGGGTCTAAACAAACACATCCCATCGGTCATAGCAGCTGGATACATATTAAAATGATCTCTGAACACTGTTGTATCTTGTGCGCACTGTTTCCACTCACTGCTTGCATTTGGGTCCCTCCACATTGGGTCTGCATCGACAGCGGCCATATCTCTCATCACACGCCTGCCCCACGGAGCCTCCAATGTCACACTGGCAGCCTGCATACACAGAGGGATGCCGTTTAACAAGTCTCTTCAATGCAGTATTGATATTAGGAATGCACAATATTGCAGTGCCTACAGAAAATCATCAGAGCCCTTTGAAATAATGACTTTATTTGTCATACACCATGAAATAACTCTTCCAGCCTTTGAAAAGTTTTTGTAGCCTTCTCCTAACCTGTGCCCTTCTGCAGCTTGAGCCCGAGTGTTTTTTGAATGCAGGGAGTAATATGAGTATAGGTAAAGATTTTCACAGGGCATGATGATTTTCTATAGGCACTCTGTACTGTATCAAGCATAGATTGATCTGCCGGGTAATTTATTTTTCTTCCTAAGAGACAACTTTCGTGCTCCTCCAGTTTATAAGCCAAGTGGATTTTATATCAGTTAGCAGTATTGAAAATTCCATGCATGCTGCAATGTTCAATTGTTTGAAGAAAGAAACTATCATGTTCCGCGAGGTAAATTTCATTGGGCTGCATTTATTAAAATCATAGACTGGAGAAAAGCTTGGTTGTTGCCTCAGGCCCCGTTTACACTAGTGCGTTTTAGTTTGAAAACGCATAAGTTTTGCTACGGTTACGCCATCCGTCCACACTACGCCGGAGTTCTCGAGCGCCGAAAACGGAGCTTTTTGAAAACGCTGGAGAGGCCGTTTTCATTCTAAAACGCTGCTGCTCCGTCTCAGTGTGGATGGGGAAAGACGGAGACATCTGAAAACGGAGGCGGGGCTGCAAACGTTCGCCTATCTGATTGGGGCTTTTCCTCAATATTAAGTAGCCCACACACAGTTCAGTCTCGCATCCTCTTCTTGTAAGTTAAGACTTCGCAAGTTTGATCAAGGCTGCAGTCTCCCCTTTCTCAGTTTGATATGGAAAACATACCGAGGACACGCGTAAATCTTCAAAAGGAACAGTGTACTTTATAACTTCATTCACATCACCTTGGCTACGTTGTTTCACTTTCTCAACAATAAAATGTAAACATGATTTAAGGAACTGCCTATTTTCATTTTAATATTAGAAAACTTAACAGACAGCAGAAATGTTGAGGCGTCGTGCTGCATATATGAGCGTCGATATTTATAACAAAACGGAGCCTATAACAACTGCCTCCTTTCAATTTCAGTGAAAATACGAAACATACCCTCTCTTTTGCTGAATATCAGTTTTAATAATCGATAATTATAAAAACATAACATACAATAAGTTTATACATTGTAGGAAATAAAGGCAAGCGATCAGTCAATGTACCTGGATTAATCATTAACTTATCTTTGCACTTAACCAAAACATGTTACACGTGAACAAGTAACTTAATAGATTCCAATGACCAAAGTCAGGGAATTGGCCTATGTCGTTAGATAAAGACAACAACATGAATGAAATATCACGTTTAGCAAATATAGTGAGATTAGATCCAGCGGGAGATGCGTGATGAGCAGTCCGACAAGCAGAGCTCTCATCTGGGTAGAATGCTGGAGCGCTTGCCCGAGAGTGTGTGTGTGGTCACGTGATGTGCGTTTTCAGCGTTTTGGTGTGGACGGAGAGCAGTTCAGAAACGCTGGGTAAAACGCGAGTGTGGACGCGGATCGTTTTCATTCTACAACGCCGTTTTAAAACTAAAACGCACTAGTGTAAACGGGGCCTCATAAATACTTCCTCCCTGATAAAACGAAAGAAATCCACTTTAAAATATTGCATAAAATATATCCGTCTCATTTGTTTCCAAATATGTTGATATTTTGAGTAGATGTACATTTTGTGGTAAAGATGATGAAACTTTAAATCATTTTTTTTGTATGTGTGAATTTGTCCACAAATTTTGATTCGACCTGTATCATTATTTAAACTCTTCAAACCTTTGCACAATGTTTTAGTTTAAAAGAAATTATTTGATATTTCTCAGAATCTGCACAGAATTCTAAGAATTTCTCTTTAACTTTTTTATCTTGCTTGGAATTTTTTAATATGTAAAAAAAAGGCATGGCTTCAATTCATGCCATACTTTTCATAATTTTCTGATTGAAGTTGACTCACTGCTCAAATCTTTCCATATGTGTAACAACCAGAATTGTGTCAGATTGATAGAAATATATGCAAAACAATTGTCTATAGACTCTGATTTGAGTTAGCTTACCTGTAATGCTCTTGGTTTATTTATTTTCATACACTTCTATACAAAATTGATTTACCTCTTTTGTTTTGTTAGTCTTTTTTCTTTCTGCAGCTAATGTAGCTTGTATTGTCCCTTATTTGTATCTATCTACAATATATACCTTGGCACCCAAAGTAGCTGTCCTTCTGGAGGTTGAAGAATCCATCCTTGCACACGTTACAGGTGCCGCTGCACACGTTGGGTTTACAGAAACACTGGCCGGTGCGCTGATTCACACACAGAAGGAGGTTTATGTATGTTCTTGTACTTGTATTTGTAAGATGAGGTTAAAATGTCACATATTTCCATACCTGCGTGCACTCAGCAACCTCGCTTAAAGTTCCTGCTGTATTACAGTCACATGCTGCAAAATACAGCAGAATGTACATTAGCAGAAACATACAATACATGTTGTTTAACTGAAAAAAAAAATGAAAAAGGGACCACTTAAAAGTACAAACTTTCTTTTTATCTACTATTTTGCCATTTTGTAAATTATTTATGTTCTTGAGTACAATGTTAATGTATGATTTATTCAGTAATCTGCTGATTTATTTAACTTAAAACTAAAGCGTTGTCATTTAGAGGACACTCATTTTGCTTCAATTATCATTCATTCATTCATTCATTTTCTTGTCAGCTTAGTCCCTTTATTAATCCGGAGTCGCCACAGCGGAATGAACCGCCAACTTATCCAGCAAGATTTTTCACAGCGGATGCCCTTCCAGCCGCAAACTTTAATTATCAAAAAAAGATTAAAATGTATATATTCACACAATACCAATGTTTTAACTTAAAACTGAAATCAGTATTTAGTGGAATAACACTGACTTCAATCACAAGTGAAAGCATTCTGATAATGGTCATGTACTAACAAAATATTCTAAAAGGACTATGTATTTTTATAGTTGAAAAATTTCTGTTCTTAGACCTCTATAGAATAAAACTAATATTAATATTTTACTTAAACCCATGCCTAATCAATATACTAATGTATGTCTGCAGTATTTGACTGGTTAATAAAACAAATTAAATATGAAGTTCATATCCAAAAGTGCCATTTGAAACTTTTATCTAAAATTAGAATGTTTTCTTAGGCTTCAGTGTGTAATAATACAACATAATTTGTTCTTTTCATTGCCTTTAAAGTGAAATAACTAAACATAGACAGGAAGCTGCGAAAAATGCTCATTTCAGACGGCACTTAGAGGTTTTTGTCTCTAAACTCTTTATATGTCATTTGTTTACATGTCAGTCATTCTACATGTGCAATGTACGTTGTAGTTTACTTGCTTAAACAGTTCTCTTACTTGAGCATCCATAGATTGTATCAGGAGACAGATTCCAGTAGAGAGGTTTACAGCGTTCACACGCCACTCCCTCCACATACGGCCGACACACACAAGAGCCCTGAGAAAGCAAAAACAACAAAATCTGAGAGCCTGGACCAAGAATGATATTTGAAAAAGACAACAAGATCCTCAAGTACAGCGTTAAGAAAGAAATAACAATAGAAAAGGTGTACAGTAATTGGAAACAAACACTTACCACAGTGGGTAGAATGTCATTATGAACAGAACCTGCTGGGTTACAAGTCCCCACTAAAGTACAGAAACACAATAAAAACATCAGAACAAAAGTATGTTAATTTAATAAACATGATTATATTTGATTGTCTCTCTCACGTTGGCAAAGGGGGAAGCCATATGACCCAGGACTGCAGCTGTCACACCTCTGACCCTCGATGTTCGGCAGACACACACACTGTCCTGACACTGGATCACAGGAGCTGGAGCGAGAGCCCTCCACTGAGCAATCACATGCTGAAACAGACAGGTTTGAACTTAATCCCCTGTTGCTCAAGAAGGTCTTTCCCAAGTGCTGATAATAGTCATAGACTTACGTGTGCAGCTGGGATAAGAGTAGTATCCTGGTGCGCACTGCTGACATCTGGGGCCGCTGTAGTTTGGTCTGCAGTTACACTGATCCAACTCACTACAGCTGGAGTCCAAAGATGTGCGGGGGTCACAAGTGCACACTGGGAAATAATAGGAAATAAAAAATGTTACAGTCTATATAATACAGACGGTGATCAGAATACATGTGTATTCATTAAAATGTGTAATACATTACTGTATTGTATTCCTCAAGTTGTGGTGACCGAATGTTCCACACATAGAGCAGTAAAAGTACATTTTGATATTGTGGAGACATTTTTTAAGGAAATTGATCAATCAAACCTATTTTTCTTTTGAGGATTGGGTTTAGTGATAAGGTTGTTGTAAGGGGACCAAATACAGGATATATACAGGAATCCTAAAGGTAACTTTAATACCTTTTAAGACTTTTTAAAGAACTTCTCAGAATATTTACCTCATCGCCACTTCAAGTTCTAATCGGTATCAAACCTTTAACATAATAAACTGTTGTAGTTAAATAAATCAATGAAGCACAACCATACAACAGAACTCAGATAAGCTCAGAAGAAACAAAGCTTGAAATAATAAAGTACGCGATTGTTGTCAGCGACAGGCTTCAGCCACTGTTTAAACTCGTCTTTTTCCATCCAGGAGTACGCAAACTTACATGTTCCCATTTTGCCGTCTGTTTCGCTCTATGGTTTCACTACATGTGGAAATCGTCTTATCACCTTCCCGCATTTGTTGCAAAATAACGAGACATCACGTGCGTGGATAGAGCATGCTGTTGTTAATATTTGCCGGAAATTAAATATTTTTATGATTATTTTGGAGTCAAACACTCTGGACAATGCTTAAACAAAATTTAAGACCTCATAAAAAAGTGAATAAGACTTTTTAATATCTTTAAAGAGATTTAATTTTCTCATAATTCATTTATTAACTTTAAATATTTTTTAGGACCCTGCAGACACCCTGGAATATACAGTCTAAAAATCAATATGTCATTAAATCATTAAGTCGATAAAGATAGTTGTACAGGTGTACTGGTTTCGCTGGTTAACAGTGACAGAAACGCGTATAACGGCATGGGTTTGTCTTGTTTCTACTCCAAATATTTAAATATTCTTGAATCGAGAAGTATTTTTAAGTTAAAAATGTCTTGTTTTCAGTAATATTGTGTCAAAATTAAGTTTAACAAGCAAAATAATCTGCCAATGGGATAAATAAAATACTTGTTTTTGTTTTGAAAATTTTAAATAATATTTCTGAAAGCAAGACAACGGTTAAGAATCCTTCCGGACCATCAGATTCATTTACTGCACCTACACAGGTCTAATCACCTTCACCTGCTGCTTACGCTATATAAGCCTGCAACATTGGCTCTTTCTCAATTCCAAGAATGCAGAGAATGGACTTGCGTTCTTGTGGAAACCGGTCTTGCCAGGTGTCCTCGGAAGAACGAACTCGGGAGACCACGAAAACAGAGAATGCGTCCTATGCAAAATGAGACGCTGCGTTCTTCCTGATGGTCACGTCACCTTCACGTGTTTTTAAATGGAAGATCGTTTAAACATTACAGCATTTATACAAGGATTTCTTGTTTTTCCCCTTTCAAATACATACTGTGCATAAAAACATTATAAATATGCATTAATAAATAAATAAAACAGATTTTAATACAGATTTCAGCAAACAAACACCCTTAATGTGTTTATTACTTTATTAAGATGTTCATGGTAATGTTTATTTTTACCGTTTCATTTAGGGAAACTCCTGAGGTAAACAATTGATATCTCTGAACTTTAATAATAAATCTAAATAAAATGCTGCACTTCCAACCTCCAGTCGCAAGGACTTCGGGACTTCTAGAGCGAAATCGGTGCTCAAGTCTGCATTGGTGCATCCTCGATATCAAGAATACATCCGGGAAGTCTCTGTTCTTGCGGTCTTGAGTATTGGTACTAAACTTTGGCAGCTGATGATGACATTACACGAGGACGCATGACCGCTCAAGAATGCATATTGAGAAACAGCCTTTCACTGTCTGATCTACTTGTTAGTACCCAGACTTGTTTCTCTTCAGCTTGATAGCATTTATCTGTCATTGTATCCTGTCTGCCTGCTCAGTTTGCCTGTTATCCTGTCTGTTATCTCGTCCAGTAAATCCTGTACTGTTTACCTCCACTGACATCATAATGTTTTAAGTTCTGTTTTTTTTTATTATATTGGTATTGGTGATATTTCTGTTCTGAACAACCTCCTTTACATTGTTTAAAGTATCATTAAATATCCATTCTTTCTGTTAATCCGCCTTTGTCTTCTCTCTGATCCGTTACAACAACATTGTTTACTTGTGTAAATAAAAGTGATTTTATTTTTGGATTTTTATCAATTTTTAGATATTTGGACTGTGAGAAAAAAAAATTAAGTTAAATTTCTTGCAGTCTACAACAATGAGGTGGTTCATAAGGACACACCTTATGTCCTCATAATACAAAAGCTTAATAATCATTTATGGTCTTTTGACATTTAAAATTTGCCATGTGTTTCCTGTGAGAGTTGTGTTTAGGGGTAGAGCCATCTAATAAGCTACTTTTACTTTATAAAGTACACTACACCTATGGAGAGATCTCATAAACCACCTATACCAACAAGTATGTGTCTTTCTCACCTTGGCAATTTGGATATGAGTGGAAGCCTGACTGACACTGATCACAGCGAGGACCAGTGAACTCCGGCCTACACAAACATCGACCAGCCGGATCACACATCTCGGGTATAGATCCCACGACACTGCAACCACAATCTATAGACACACAGAGAGATGCTGATACATATGTTGATGTTTTTAAAAAATACCTGAAATGTATTCGTAATTGTTACTTAAAAAGAGTTGAATGTTGCTTTTATGAATTTGTTTTTGAACAAATGTTTTGTAAAAGATTCTGAGATTTACAGAGACTGTCAATTGTTTGAAGTCTGGAATAATCACTGTATTTAAACTAATTGATTAAGCTGAATCAAATGATTTAGTTACTTACTGATATAAGATAATTATACAGCCACTTGTTTTACTCCTGAACAAGCTGGAGTGTAGAAAATTATTTGAGTAGAACATTCAGTAGCTTATAAAGACCATCATCTGTTTCAGGCAATCTTTTTAACAAATACATTTGAGTCAATAATTCAATAGGTCACTTACAAAAGTCATTTGTTTAATTTGTAAATCAGTTAGTGTTTTTGAACAAATATTTTCAATTACTAATAAAGACACTTTTTTTTTTTAAAGAAACCTGTTGGTTACAGTTTCGAGGACTTATGAAGACATTAAACAATACAGTTAAGTGAATGATACAATGACTCATTTATAATGCTGCCTTCACACCAGATGCGGAAGAAGCATCAAGCGCGAGTGATTTACATGTTAGGTCAGGGGTGTCCAAACTCGGTCCTGGAGGGTTTGTGTCCTGCATATTTTAGTTCCAACCCGAATTAAACACACGTGAACCATATAATTAAGCTCTTTCTAGGTGTACTAGAAGCCTCCTGGCATGTGTGTTAACGAAAGTTGGAGCTAAATTGTGCAGGACACCAGCCCTGTGTTAAGTCAATGCAAAGACACGCATAGACATCCAGCAGCGCAATACAAGCGTATGAGGTGGCGCGTATGTAACAATTTACGCAAAAGAAGCGGTGCGTGTTGAGCGTTTTGCTTGATTGACACGCTTAATGCACGTATCGAATGTTTTGCGCAAAATGAGTTCGAAAATTTGAACTTCAGCGAACATTCGCGCTGCGTTAACCAAATCAGGAGCTTGTTCTTGTGGGGGCATGAGTGTGACGAAGCGCCTGTTGTTAGAGTCCCAGGGGAAAATCCTCCTGCCTACACCGACATCAAACTGGGCTCGGCTTAGTCAGAAGCACCACTGAAAGCTTTCATCATCCAGGTTAAGTTTCTGGAGGAGTTTATGAGCTCACAGAGCTGGGTGAATCTCTGAAAGTATCTAGAGAACTAACGAATCAACGCTGTTTTTCAGTCTTCACAAAGCACATAAACACAGTTATTTTCTCGATAAAATCTACGTTAGCCATTTAGCAACCAAGCTACAGTAATTGGGCAGACAGAAGCCCTGCCCATGATGCGAATCTACGTCTGTTCTGAAGTGAATTTGATGCATGGATAAAGGGAGTTTTGATGTGCGAATGAAGCGAGTAAACTCTAAATGTGCACGCGTCTAAGTACCTTAGACCCGATTTACCCGTGGGTTCCGCGTCTGGTGTAAACACCGCATTAGGACAGCCACGTGTTTTATACCTGAATCAACCAGCATTTTTAAATATAAAATTATTGTTTGAGTGAATTAATAAAAAGCTCACCTAAAAAATCAATCAGTGTTTTTGAACAGATCAATTAAGTTGAGTGAATAATTCAATGAATCACTTTTAAAGACAGTCACGTTTTAGTCCTGAGACTTGTCGACAGTAATTTGTATTTATCACTAATGTTTTAGTAAACAAATCCAATGGTAAAATATTTAGTGAATAATATCTTATGAAGATGATCAGCTTGTTTCATTCCTGAATGACTCAGCGTTCTTGAACAAATCTTTTCAATTGAGTGAATGATTCAGTAAAAACCTTTATAGATAAATGTTCCGCTCCTGAGTAAATCATGTGCTTGAACAAATTTGTGAAGTAGAAGCTACAGTTAGAGGATACTAATACAAAAGTCACTTGTTTGTTTATGAAGAAGTCATTATTTTTTAATAAATGAATTTCAGTAAATCTTGCTGGCATAGTGTTGTATACTAAAAAATCTAAGAAAAATCCCAACAAAATCCAAATGTTCAAACATTAAGAAGCACAATAGTATAAACAATGACAAGTTCTAGTGCAACTAGATTGTTTCACTTTTTGCCAATTTGACTCCAATTATATGTGCACATTATATATGCAAATGTGCAGCACATTTTACTGTCCACTGTGTTGATAAATAGCACACAAAAAGCGTATTAAGAAAGTAAATAGGCTGAATTCTGAACAAGTGCTTTCTATAAACAGAACTCTGTGTAGTAAAAGAGTCCAAGCGAATACACAGGAAACAGTTATTGTGGCTGCACTGCAAAGTTCATGGTTTGGCAGCGCTCATTGGGGATTTTGAGATTAGAGTTGGCAAGCACTCACATTGGCACAGAGGGTAGTTGAAGTAGCCTGGTGCACACTGCTCGCATGAATACCCCTGAAACCCACTCCGGCACACACACTGGCCCGTTACTGCATCACAGGAGCCATCTAGGCAACCCTGGCCTGAACACTGGCAGCCTGGGGGAAGGGAGACCAGCGAGAATGTGGGCATGTTTGCATTGCTTTTGTCTTTGGGTGGTATATTGTGCTCAAAACACTGCAACTATGCACAAGATCAACAGCAGTTCAGCAGAGAAAAAAACACTGTGTGTGTGTGTGTGTGTGTGTGTGTGTGTGTGTGTGTGTGTGTGTGTGTGTGTGTGTGTGTGTGTGTGTGTGTGTGTGTGTGTGTGTGTGTGTGTGTGTGTGTGTGTGTGTTTGCTCAGATGTCATCTGCTACAGTGGATTTAAGAGAAAACACAAGAAATGAAACAGGCAGAACAGGACAGCTGATGTGTTATTGGAACTATCTATTAGAGATTTGAACAAACATTTCTAAAAGTCACTAAAACAGACTATGGACATACTTTACTTGAAGGGGTACTTAAAAATGGGTGTTTATGAAACCTTTATAACCATGACATAACATGTTTTTCACAACTGTCATAAGGTGTCATTGACAAATTAATTTTGCTCCACTAAAAAGAAGTCATAAGTAAAATATCCATGACACAATTATGACCTTATGACAATCATGTTTATGAAATATACAGTTGAAATCAGAATTATTAGCCCCCATAAATTATTAGTGCCTCTGTTTATTTTTTTCCCCAATTTCTGTGTAATGGAGGGAAGATTGTTTCAGCACATTTCTAAACATGATAGTTTTAATAACTCATTTCTAATAACTGATGTATCTTTGCCATGATGACAGTAAATAATATTTTACTTCATATTTTTCAAGACACTTCTATACAGCTTAAAGTGACATTTAAAGGCTTAACTAGGGTAATTAGGTTAACTAGACAGGTTAGGGTAATTAGGCAAGTAATTCTATAACAATGGTTGTTCTATAGACTAACGAAAGAAAAATCAGCTTAAAGGGGCAAATCATTTTGTCCCAAAAATGGTTTTAAAAAAATTAAACACTGCTTTTATTCTAGCTGAAATAAAACAAATAAGACTTTCTCCAGAAGAAAAAAATATTATCAGACACACTGTGAAAATTTCCTTGCTCTGTTAAACATCATTTGGGAAATATTTAAAAAAATAAAATAAAATCAAAAGGGGGCTAAAAATTCTGACTTCAACTGTATATGTATTATTTATGTATTTAAGTTATGTTGTCCTAGCAATGTCAAGTTGTCATGACAAAGACATCCCTTATATTATAAAATACACAAGACTTGTCATTTATATAGTTTTGAATGGGGAAAAGTGTAACGTCAATATGGTGAATGAAGCCTACTAGTAAAGCAGACAATCATCGATTGCCATAACCTTGACATTTCTTTAGGGGAGAAGCTCAGACCAGAAGTGTGCATTTTTCGACAGTTTTTTGTGGTCAACAAACACATTGAAATCTCTGCGAATAGTTGCTTCGCAGACATAAGATTAATATCCAAATAAAGCTTGACATCTCTACTTTTAAATGAACCAATGCACTTGAAAACAAAAGTTTTCTGGTATTGTAATCTCTACGAGGGGCAACGCAGTGGCACAGCAGGTAGTGCTGTCACTTCAAAACAAAAAGGTCTCTGGTTCGAGCCTCGGCTGGGTCAGTTGGCATTTCTTTGTGGAGTTTGCATGTTCTCCCTGCTTTCGTGTGGGTTTCCTCTGAGTGCTCCGATTTCCCCCACAGTCCAAAGAAATGCGGTACAGGTGAATTGGGTAGGCTAAATTGTTCGTATGTGTATGAGTGTGAATGATTGTGTATGGATGTTTCCCAGAGATGGGTTGCGGCTGGAAGGGCATCCGCTGCATAAAAATGTGGTGGATAAGTTGGCGGTTCATTCCGCTGTAGTGACCCTGGATTAATAAAGGGACTAAGCGGAAAAGAAAATAAATAAATGAATATATGAATGTAATATCTACGAAACGAATGCGAGTTACAGTCTGTCCAAATTTTTTTGGAGAATTTAATGTTTCCCCATTCAGACAGAATGCCCAAGCATACTGCTCGAGAGGCGTTTCAAAGATGGCCGCGGAGTGAAATGACTTGCTTTAAGTGGACTTTGACTTAAAGACAGTTGCTAAAAGCACATTTAAAAAAATCATATTCATAACGTGTCATGTAATGATTATAAAGCTATCATGATAGTCTTATGAACACCCACTTCAAAATGACTGTGAAATGACTGCATTTCTGTAATTATTTGACTAAAACTTGTCATCTTGCTGTAAATTATTATGAAACATTTTGGCAACAGATATATTTTTGATAGAAAAAGTTGTGTCCTTTAGATAAGAATTAACAGTAGGCAATTTTTTGGGAACCTACAAATTGATCATTTCCACAGATCAATTTTTTTTTAGTTGAAAAGTGCAATAGGTGGCAGCATGGAGGCCCAGTGGGTAGCACAATCGCCTCACAGCAAGAAGGTCACTGGTTCGGGCCTCAGCTGTGTTGGTTGGCATTTCTGTGTGGAGTTTGCATGTTCTCCCCGTGTTTGCGTGGGTTTTTTCTGGGTGCACCGATTTTCCCCACAAGTCCAAAGACATACGGTACAGGTGAATTGAATAAGCTAAATTGGCTGTAGTGTATGAGTGTGAATGAGTGTGTGTGAATGTTTCCCAGTAATGGGTTGCAGCTGGAAGCGCATCCTCTGCGTAAAACATATGCTGAATAAGTTGGCGGTTTATTCCGCTATGGTGACCAAAAATTTATAACGAGACTGAGCTGAAAAGAAAATGAATGAATCTTGTAGTGCCTTCTGTATCAAGGCCAATAAAGCCAGATTCAATAAATAAATGCAAAAAAACTTTTAGCATAAAAAAAAACAAATGTTTAGTTTTTTATTTAACAAATATTATGTTCTTTTTTTTCAGAGGTTAAACATGAACCACCAACTATTCCTGAATATGAAATGTGGAACTATTTCAGCCAATTTACTTCATCCAGTTCACCTATAGTGCATGTCTTTGGACTTGTGGGAGAAATCAGAGCACCTGGAGGAAACCTACGCCAAAACAGGGAGATCATGCAAACTCCACACAGAAATGCCAACTGACCCAGCCTAGACTTGAACCAGCGACCTTCTTGCTGTGAGGCGACAGTGCTAACCACTGAGCCACCGTGCTGCCCCATACATATATAGATATATATATAATGTGATTAAACAAAAACAAAATATTTATTCCTACATAGTTTAACAAATGTAACGCCTACAGCGTGTGTGTGTGTGTGTGCGTGTGTGTGTGTGTGTGTGTGTGTGTGTGTGTGTGTGTCTTTACGTTGGCAGTTGATGCTGAAGTATCCATGAGAGCAGGTGTCACAATGTTCCCCAGTGAATTCAGGTTTACACACACATGTATTGGTGCGAGGGTCCGGCCTACAGGAGTTTCCTTCAGTGCCAGCAGCATTACACTCACAGTCAACTAAACACAAAAACACATTAAAAAACCGTGAGAAATCAGCAAACAAGAATCAAGTTGAATCATATGACATAATGCTAAAGATGAGTCAATCAGTGTCTTACTGATGTTTTCTCCTGCAGGTCTGACCTCTCCGTTGATTAACACCTCTGAAGTGAATAAAATGTTTGTTAATAGTTTTGAATGACCTTCTGCACTGGGGGAAGTTTTAGATGAAATGTGCTGTTAGAAGCCTGCAATAAAAGTGGACATAGACTTACGGTAGCATTCAGGGAAGTGTTCGTATCCCTCTGCACACTGGTCACAGTTCTCGCCAGTGTAGTTGGGTTTACAGTAACAGCGTCCAGTTCGGTCCTCACATGTGCCCTCGGTGAACTCAGATTCACACTGGCATTCTGCAAGAAACATGAGAGAATCAGAGAAAAGTGAAGAAAGGAAGATATCTACAGTTGTATTTTCATTTATATGACTGTATGACCAGCATTATTACTGCTAAATAAAACAATTAAAAATGTTAATAATCGAGGAAAACATGATAAACACGATAACATGATTACCTTATAAACACTAACAGTTTAAAAATGGTACCTTGGAAACTAAGTGAAATAATAAGACAAGTTTAAGTACTAAAAAGAAAATAATACTAATTATTTATTAAACTATAAATATAATAAAAAAATAAATATAATTAATAAATATATATAGTTGAAGTCAGAATTATTAGCCCCCCTTTGTTTTTGTTTTTGTTTTTGAAAAATTTCCCAAATGGTGTTTTACAGAGCAAGGAAATTTTCACAGTATTCACAGTATTGCCGAGTTCAGACTGCATGATTTTAGCCCCGATTTTGACTCACCGACAGGTTTGGAGAAATCACAGACAAATGCCTGAAATCACAGGCAAATCGGCGCTCAAGCACATGAGTGACAATCACACAGTATGAACTATCAAATTCGCGATCTGGGAGAATCGCCGATGAGTCAACGATGCCTGTGAGATATTTGGCGTGCTAAATATCCGGAGTTGTCGGCGATTTAAATCATGCCGTGTGAGATGAGTTTTGATGGAAATAACATCGGAGATTGGCTACAGTCAGTAAGAGTGCAGCATTCACTTGCGTGTGTGTAGCTACAGGTCAGCAGGACCACACCACAGGCTGGGGGAGAAGTTTCAGAGAGGGGAGAAGCGCTCATTTTCAGTTTATTTGGACCCAAGAAATAAAGGAATAACTAGTGGAAGTTTGACAGAAGCACTCGTGTCTGTTTGACGCTTCATACAGAAAGTTAAAAAAGAAAGTTGAGGAGAAATTGCTTATTTCCTTCAAACCCAGGTGAGCAAATATGTACAGTTTCTACCCATTAAAGGATTCTTTCTCATTTTTAATAATAAATGATATACTACGTGTTTTTGGCTCGGAGATGTAGTTTGGACGAAGTTGTCAGCGATTCTTCCTATTGTAAAGTCGTGCAATGTTAAAGCCCTTGTCACCAATCCATCTTGCAGTGTAAACAAAGCAGCGACAAAACGCTAGCCCAGATAGTCATGCAGTGTGAAAACATCTGTGACACGACTACTTTGAAAACCATGCAGTCTGAACTCGGCATTAGTCCCTTTATTAATCAGGGGTCGCCACAGCGGAATGAACCGCCAACTTATCCAGCACGTTTATACACAGCGGATGCCCTTTAAGCTGCAACCCATCTCTGGGAAACTTCCACACAAACAAACTCGTTCACTATGGACAATTTAGTTAAAGAAAATTTATGAATAAAAGAATGAATGTTTACAAAAACATTTTCTGGAGCTTTCTATGCAAATATTAATAAAAATCCATGTTTAAATTTATTTCAGCAAATCCTAACTAATATTAATCACAATATATGTGGTAAAACTAACAAGTCCTAATAAAAACAATCATGTCTTTTTCATATTCTGAATGTTTTGTTTTTAAGGTTACAACATATTTTACATTTTTCACATTTTTTCAACTTACCATAATTCACAAATATTTTTAATAATCATTATTATATATTTTTCTGGAACAGCACAAATTAAAATCTAAATACAAGCTGCAGATGTGCCACATGACCCTTAGTCAAGATTAGTGATTAGTGTCAAGATTTTTACATTATACATTTCTATTTTATTTATTTTTTTATCAATTAAAACCAGACTAATTAACTTTGACATACTGTAGCTCTTTTGTTGGCTTGATCGCTTCTTTCTCCTTTTTTTTATTGGATAAAAAATTATGTTAGGCTGCTTTGACACAATCTACATAGTAAAAGCGCTATAGAAATAAAGATGAACTGAACTAAATAAAAAAGCATTTGTTAAATGACGTGTATGACTCACTTGAACAGGCGAATGGTGACTCTAGAGGATGGTCAGGTGATCTGTAGTAGCCAGGAATACAGCGCTCACAGTTGACGCCTGTGGTGTGATGCTACGAGAAAACAAGTCAACAAAATCAAAGGATGTACTTATAAACGAGAGAAACTCTGTGTTGCATTTGATGGACAACATGCACTCACACCTTTTCCAAAGTCATCAAATTTACGCACTTTTCCATCATTTTACAACTGTGGCTAATTACATATTTACATACATGTGCATACATAATTGACCCTTCGCTAAACCCCGCCCAAAAACCGCCACCCACCAATCGTGGCTTAGCAACTGTAGTGCAGGGGCTCTGTCAAGCTTTCGAGCAATTGCATATGGATTGTGCATATCTGATACCCGGTTGATACCTTAAAGTTTGGCTGGTGCAGTGGAATTTTTCCCCTTTTCAAAACCTAAAACTCAAAAGGAGAAATATCAGCTTGGATCAAGCTGTGTGAGGGGGCAAAAGGAGCGGAGCTAAATTGGTTTGTTTTGATATTCCTGAAACATTCAGCAGGCACGTGCACACATAGGGCTAAACCTGTGCAGTCCACATGCCCTCTTTTTAATCTTTGATAGAAAGTGCACTTCCAAAATGATCCTTAGTGCCCCAGTTTCACCCTCCAGCCCCCACACCACCCCCCGCCACCATGGTCTTCAGTTCTCGTGAGCCATAACCACCCACCCCTGCCATCCCCCCCTATCCTGCACATGCCACTAGCATAGTCTCTTCAACGGGGCAGACATTCAGTGATAGACAGACGGCTATAACTTCGCCATAACGTTAGTAACTTATACTAGCGAATAGGTCATAATGACATGAGTTATTGATCCGGAAGACAAGAATCTGCAAATCTGTTGCTAACTTTACTGAACTTCATATTTCCATCTGTTTCAAGCTATGAATGTTTGAAATTACAAATCAACAGAACAAAACTGAAATATGATCACAAAAACTAAGCACTTGCGATCAATTTACTTTACCCGCAGCTGTTTTTCAGCCATTTATAAAGAGAACACAAACATACTGACAGTTATAGGTAACTTACTGTACATTGTTATGGGCCAATGATGCTAATATTCAGCACAAATCCATCAGTTCACCCTTTCTGGCTGTTCTTTCTATAAATGAACTATGTAAAAGCACTGTCATGCGTGTTTCCTCGTCGGTTAGTAACGGTATATTACATTGCACAACAATTAGTCCAATGGGCTTTTTGGCTAAATATAGAGAAATCCCGGTTTCATTTGTTATTATTAGATTATTCTGAGCATGAGCTAAGCTGTTGAATGGTCAGTGTATGAGGCGGCTAGGCTAAGCTAGCTTCAGTTTTGATTGATTTATTCAACCGATTTAATATTAGTTGCCTATTATGTGGTGAATATACCCCTGTAATGCATACTGCAGTCCTTTTTTTGTCTGGCTTTCTCGGATATCTCACCTGTTCGCTAAAAATGACATTATATCCCTGGCAATGTCTGACATTTTAAATGCACATTTGTAAATAAACACAACTTTTTGTTAACATAAAATTGTATGTTAAGCACTTTGACAAAAATGTAGAAATTATATTTGTTGCAAGCAAATTCAAAAATAAGTGCTTAAAATGTCACTAAAATGCAATATTTGAACATCATAATATATTAGAAAATTTGTGCAAAAGGTCTACTTTTTGAGAAAAGAGAACCACCCCTTTTAACAGTCTGGCTATGGGTCTGCAACAGTGCTGAGATGATCGTTCTGTGTAAATAAAATAATCTGCTAGTTGGGGAAAGTAAAATAATCAAACTGAAAACAAGATTATTTTGCTTACCACATTGGCACATTATTTGGTTTGTTTTAAGAAGAAACTCACTTAATTTTGACTGCTATTTCTGAAAACAATATGTTTTGCTTGACTAGAAAATGCTTCTTAATTTAAGAATTTTAAGATACTTGCACTACACTGCAAAAAAAAAAAAATGCTTTTCTTGCTTAGATTTTTTGTCTTGTTTGTAGTCCAAATATCTAAAAATTCTTAATTCGAGATGAATTATCTAGACAAGCAAAACATGTTGCCTTGTTTTAAGAAATAATCTGCTAATATTAAGTGATTTTTACCTTAAAACCTGCCAATGGGGTAAGCAAAATAATCTTTTTTTTCCTTTTGACAAAAGATTACTTTGCTTACCCATTGGCAGATTATTTTGCTTGTTTTCGGGTAAAAATCACTTAATATTAGCAGATTATTTCTTAAAACAAGGCAACATGTTTTGCTTGTCTAGAAAATTCATCTCGAATTAAAATTTTTTAGATATTTGGACTACAAACAGAACAAAAAATCTAAGCAAGAAAAGCATTTTTTGCAGTGTAGAGACAAAAACAAATGGGAAATTTGGTGTGTAGCCTCCATACCTATCATACACCCAGCGCAATGTGATGCAAGGTGCGACGCGAATGTTATTTGCTAGTTTCAGCTCGACGCAAGTGTCATTTTGACATTTTGCGCCATTCTGTTTTAATAGCAAATGCATTTGCGCTCATATGTGGGACCATAGGCATTCTGGTCTAAAAAAGGAGGTGTGTTAAGGCGCATTGTTGACGCATTGCTATTTTGAGGAACTAAAATAGACTGCACAATAGACCAGCTCAAAGCAGGTCTAAAGTCCCAAATATATTTACAAATTTTCCAAAAATTAAAGGATTACAATATTACAATAATTATTACTTTATATAATTAAAAAACCACCACCTCCATGCCTTCTCACCTCGGGGGGCTTTATTTTTGTTTATTCATGACAACTTGCTTTTGTATGATGTTATTATTATAATGTTAGCATTATTAGCAACATTTACTTTATGCATATTTATATTTGTTTTATTAAAAACAAGCTTAGATTTGTCCACCTGTTTTAACCCATATGGGGCACAGCATGTGTATTAGGATATAACTCATAATATAACATTATTGTTCATTTATGTGTTTGCTGGAAATTAGAACTGAGTTTAAAAATAGTTTTGAAACAAATCTTCGCACTTAACAAACAAAACTAATTATGTAGGCTAATAGATGTCTTCAGTGGATTGCGTAGCTTCCTTATCCACGTAAGAAAGTGAAAGTGAAAGTAAAGGCCAAATGGAGGAGGCTCATCTCTCATTCTCACACTGCAGATGGTCTGTTTAACTGTTTTCTCTCTAGTGAAGTGTTCAGTTTTTACACTTACAATGTCTGTCATGTAAAAAGCAAATGCGCTGTGGCGCAACACTACTGACTCTTAAAGGGAATGGGAGATGAGACTCTAATTGGTTTATTTTCAAAACACACCTAGAAGTTATTAAGAGAATAAGCTCAACCCTGTTAGGTCATGCACAGTGGCGCAAAGCGGATTTTTCCGTCCTTAAAACAGCAAAAGTGGATTCGGATACGCCCTTAATGCTTTTGCACCCTGCGCTTCAGACTTTGCGCCTAGATATTTAAAAGAGAGCCCAGAGTGTTCAACACAAATAATCTCTCGTATAAGAGCGAAAGCAAATGAACACATAAACCAAACATTTTCTGCACTTTATCGTACAGAAGAACATAAATCATAACTCAAAGAAAAATTGAGAAAGCAACATAACTTCATTTTCAAGCAATTTCAGGCACTTTTCAAACCTCAGAAACACTCAATTAAAAATGAAAACATTTTCAAGAATTTCCAGCACCTGTACGAAGTCTGTTTGTTGGCCCGAAATGATGCCTTGGCAAGTTGTAAACCACAACCAATGCCTTTATTACTACAATTGCTTCATAATTGTATGTTTGTACACCTGAGCCCACCTGGCACTCGACACACACTCCACCGCCATTGTATTCTCCCTGCATGTCCAGACTGGATCTGCGTTGATCGATCTCTGGGTCGTAGTAGCACTCTGAAGAGTGTCTGTGGCAGTTACATGCTGCAATACACACACACACACACACACACACACACACATACACACACAGAGAGAGAGAGGGAGTGAGAACACCATATAATCAGCTTAAAAAAATAAATCATGCTGAGGTTAATAACTCTTCTGGCAGCACAGAGACAAAATACCCAAGCGGAGGAAATAAAAGACATACACACTTCAGTCAGAACCCCTGAAGAGTTCAGACTGTCCAAATGTGAATGACAGCAGAGAAGGGAAGAAGAAAGAGAACAGTGATTAGCTTGGAGGGAAGTTAGAGATGAGAAAATGTCTTTAAACTTTTTAATCGTACTTTTATAATTTGTATTTAATCTTACAAGACCTACCAGAGACCAAAATATTACTAACAGTTGTTTCTGTTACAACAAAACTGTTAACTTGGCTCTAGACGTAACTGATACAAACCAAATATAAATAGAATTTCACAATGGTAACATAAGCTGCAGATCTGTATGTATGTCTAATGCATTCAACATACACACACAGTGTCTAGTCTGGTATTTTATTTGGAACATTTACATTTGCTTTTCCATGAAACTTATTTGATTGATTAATATAGTAATGTTTTTTATGTATATGGTCAACAATTGATGTCAAATAATATTTTCACATTTTTAATGGTTCTGTTGAGTTTTGGTTTTTTGTTACCGAAGTTTTTTTATGGAGCATTAAATAGAATTTTGTTACTGTATTCATTTTATCTCCCATGTTCATGCTTTTCTTAGTTTACGATGATTAATAAATTATTACGTTTGTTTGTAAAACATATTCCCTGTTTTCCTTGTTTTAATGTTTTTTACAAAATTATTAGCCCCTTTAAGCTAATTTTTCTTTCGTTAGTCTACAGAACAAACCATTGTTGTAGAATTACTTGCCTAATCACCCTAACCTGCCTAGTTAACCTTATTAACCTAGTTAAGCCTTTAAATGTCACTTTAAGCTGTATAGAAGTGTCTTGAAAAATATGAAGTAAATTATTATTTACTGTCATCGTGGCAAAGATAAAACAAATCAGTTATTAGAAATGAGTTATTAAAACTATTATGTTTAGAAGTGTGCTGAAACAATCTTCCCTCCATTAAACAGAAATTGTGGAAAAAAATAAACAGAGGCACTTATAATTCAGGGGGGCTAATAATTCTGACTTCAACTGTATATATATATGCTTTATTTTACTCATTTATTTGGGTTATTTTTAGGAAAAAAAGTATATTTGTGTGTGTCTTTGTGTGTTTTACATAATAAAAATACATTAAATAAATAAATATAAATGTAAGGTGCCACTTACTGTGAAAAAAGCCTAACATTTATTTGTTTGTTCTATAATTAATTGAAAATTCAAATTTAATTAAAAATATATCATTTTAAACCTGCCTTCATAAATATTTTGACGTCATGTAAAATTTCCCATCTTGATTTCAAGCAATAAAAACAGCAAAGGTTAAAAGAGAAGGTTGTGTTTAATGTGATGCTACAACGTAAATAAAACATTAAGATTGTGTTTATGTGTATGTTCTCAATCATGAAAATTGAGTAAAAGTGATGTTATAAATTTGCGTTTTAAATGTTGTTATTTAAAAATGTTTTAAATGAAAAAGCAATGTTATAAAGAAATGTAAGTTTCTTGCCTTATATTTTGTATTCAAATGACATGTATTAATCATATGTTTTTTTCACACTTAAAATACTAATAACAATTGACAATTGCGTTTTATGAATGACCAAGGACCACATTTCAGCTAAAAAACTTTTTACTAAAACAAAAAAAAAGTTACCTACTACATCTTAGATGGCCTGAAGTTTAGTAAAACTAAAAACTATCCCTAAAATTATATGTCTGTTTTCATTCAATTTTTTTTCAAAATGAATGGTTATGGCTATAAATATATTTAGTTAAATACATTAATGTTTTCTGTTACTTATTTTATAAATAAAAAGCAAACATTTAATTTGTGATTAGCAAAGTCTACTAAAGGAGGTCGAGACTTCACATCTATGGCCCCTAAACTCTTGTGTAGCCTTCCTGATAATGTCAGAGGCTCAGGCACACTCTTATCAGTTCAAAACTAGATTAAAGACCAATCTTTTTAGTAAAGCATACACACAATGCATCACTTAACAGTATGATCCATAAGGTGAGTGCATAAAATGTCAGGGTTCTGCCACTCTGGTCATGTAAATTCTTGTTTTGGTGGCAGAATCCGGACACTAGTCATGTCTAGTCATGTCCTGTTGTGCTCGGCTCAAGTTTTCTTGGGTCGAGCACTTGTTTCTGTCATTGTGTGTGTCACCGCGTGTACGCTCTTGTACTCGTGTTTGTGTTTTCATCTGTCTGCAGCGTGGTGTTTCATTCCCAGCGTCTCAGTCTAGTTGGTTTTGGTCGGCGCTGGGATGAAGCATGCACGCTGCGTGTGTGAGCGCACGGTGAGTGTTTTTATTCATCGTATGCTTGTGTCTTGCTTCTGTTGTCAAAGCACGTGGCTATGTGTTTACATTGTGGTCATGTGCTTTTGTCGTGTGCTTCAATGTTGTGTTTGTGTTGTCTTGAACATGCGGTTAATTAGTTCTCTCATTGGCTGCATGTTCTTGTCCTGTTTTATGTGAGCGCATGGCTTGTGTTGTCTCTGTGTCATACGCTCTCCCGTCTATTGTCTAGTCCCACCCACCTTGTTAACTCATTATTAGTTTGTCATGTTCACCTGTGTGTCAATTTACTTTTGCTTTATAATCCCCTCATGTGTTCAGTCCTGTGCCAGTTCGTCATCGTTATTTCCATGTCCTGTGCGATCCAGTCCTGTTTGTCCTGCCAGCCCATCCAAGATTGTTTGAGTGTTTGTTTTATGTTTTTCCCCCTCGGGTGGCTTTTGTTGTCCTTTCTGTTTTATTTTTATTAATAAATACCATCTTATGTTGCATTTGAGTCCTCGCTCCCTCATCCTTCCTGAAACCCTGACATAAAATTAATATTTTAGTGTCTGTTTTCATTCCAGAGGCTTAAAAATGACTGGTTTTGGCTATAAATATATTCATTTATATACATCCCTGCTTTTCACAAATAAAAAGCTAGCATTTAAACCATCTGTGATTAGCAAAATCTCATTAATCACTCCATACGGCACGCACCAGCAGGCATTAAAAAGTTGTGTCTGACTATGAGTGAGTGTTTTTCTTCTCACGCTTTGACAGGACATGCAGTGTGGAGGGGCTGTGTTTTGTTAAGGGTCCAGTGCACTGATGGCAGGGTGAGGAGGACACAGTATCCCGGCATTAGATGAAACAGTCCTGTCAGATAGACAGACTCTCTCTGGTTTTCCTCAAGCCAGCTCTGCTCACAGATGTGCAATAAACCTCACGCCAGTCCCTCGCACAAAAGGGCGGTTTTATATTCGGCAACTCGAGAGATTAGATTAGGTGAGAAACAGCGGAAATCTAACTATATGCTCAGCGGAAACGCTTTCCAGACTGAAACAGCTCCCAATACACACATAGACACCCAAAGAGTGAGACTGAGATCTGCTTTAATGGATTGTGGGACTGTTTTACAGTATGTGAGAGAAGCCAGACTGGATTAGCGTCTGCATGAGCTCACAGCGCACTGAGGGCCGTTCACACAGACCACCAGCCTCTCCTATTCACACAAGCTCTGATGTCTTACTAAAGCAGAGATTCTGTGCTGATCCTAAAATGAACTAACAAACATCCTCATTCAACCAGGGACATTAAGCAAAATGTTCTCCCACAGGAAAATGTGTGACGTCAGTTCTGGCTAAAATATGCATACACGTTAGTGGAGGTATTCGTTTATTTTACTTCATATTAACTAATTACTTTTGATTATTATTTAACAATTACTTGTTTTATTATTATTATTTACATGGAAAACTAGGAATGCCTCTTTAAAAAGTAGAAAGTTTAATGAGTTTCATTATTTTTTGAAAAATTAAAGATCCACTTTCTCCTAAATCAAGTTAAGACAGGGTAACCATTCATTCTTTTTCTCAGACATGTCCCCTGGTTGGGACAACAAAAAAAAAATGTGTTGGGGTTTTTAAATCTCCTAAAATGACCAGGATTAAGCTTTTTGCTTTCTAGTTGTCAATAATGGTGTGCATTTTGCATTACTTTAACTTTCTTGTTTAGTCTTATTTATAGTTTTGCATGACTCTCCAGAGTTATAGAAACTGTCGTACTTGATGCACACATCGTTGTACTTTAAGATGTGTACTATTATTAGTGTCAATTTATCATAGACAATGATTTTTTCATTCTTTCCCATGGTCAAACCAAGTGTTTTCTAGATAGTTACTATCTTTCAAGCAGTGAGTGTTTCCGCAATGCTGCCGTCTGTAGCTTTAAATTGCTTGAACCCTCTATATTTCAATGTATTCTGACTGGCAGTCAGTAGCCCCTTTCACACAGTGACACCGATAAATATATGGAAAATTTCTGGAACGACTTTACCAGTAAATTCAAAAAAGTGCTGTTCACACAGGCGGGGACGTTACGGAATTTTTCCGGAAAAGAGCATTCACACATCCATTTCAAAATACCGGTAAATTCTGACATCATTAACCAGAAATGACCTCTAAACAGCTACGCTTGTATTTGTTAACATTTGACAACATCACAAACTCTGTGGATGGTTCTGTAATGTGAACAACTTCGATGAAAACATATAGAGAAACACTTTCGCATGTCAAGATGTACATGATATGTGTGTGTGTGCTGGCGCTCCCAGGCTGTTTCAGGGACACACAAAGCTTGAAGGTAAACAAACAACGGCTTATCATAAGCATCTTATCGATATTTATTTACATGGTTGGCATTGAAATGAACATATAAACGTGATCTGACTAATTTGTAGCTGCTAAATGTGTCTGGAAAAATAATCAAAGGCTTTTATTCTCATAAACCGCGCGGGCGTGAACGCGTCTGACTATTCTGATTGGCTAAAGCAGACGTCTCACGTCAGCATGTTCTAGACGTGCACGCGCTCTTTCCGGCAATCTTCCTTCTGCATTCACACAGCGCAGCATTCCAGCATATTACCTGTAATGTTACAACTTCTTTTTCCGGAAAATAGCCAGAACGAATTTACCAGTATTTTCAAAAAGGGCCTGTTCACACATACAACCTTTCCGGAAAATTGACAGCAATTTTCCGGAAAGGTCTGTATGTGTGAAAGGGGCCAGTATTTAATCCTTTATTGGCTCAGAAAAAAAGAGCTGCAGTGTAAAAATGGTTTTGTTAGCGTTTGCCTTGTTCTAGACACTCAGTGGTTGAACTAGGTATTGCACTCCTGCTTCAAAGCACATGCAAGCGCAGGTTGCCAAATTGACCACATAAACAGGAGTGAGCCTGTCGAACATGAAGGGTGACTTAAGTTGTATTCTAAATAAAAGCAACGGCACACGATAGAAGGTATTTTCCAAATTAAAAGGAGTTTTTGTTCTAACCGACTACTGAAATTTACATTTCTTTGCAGCTGAACAACAGAAACCTGACAATGATCATCTTAGGTAAACCTCATGTGCTTTATTCAGTGTTAAATGCTAATAATGTGAGTTTGAATGTCATTTTACATTACATTTATTGCTATACTACTGAAAGCAGCAGCAGATAGTTTATCTCAGATCTAGAAAATAAAATAAGCAGTTTGAAATTTAACTTTAGAACTATGACTAACACATATCAGTGATTCAGCAAGTACATTTAATAATGTTAAAGAGGTTTAATATGTAATAAATAGATTATAAAACTTACCATTTTGTTGGAGTGCAGTAAGTGCACTATTCTGTGCTTTCTATATTTAAATTTCTGTCGTTTTTCGTCTGGTGCAAAAAGCTAAATTGCTTATCACTGCATATCTCATCATATAGCATGTTTTTAGCACATGGGGTTACAATGTAAACTGCTCACCTGATGTTTACATTCATAATATTTATATTATTTTCTAAATAATAACCACCTCATGTGGAGCGTCTCATTTTGGAGGCTGTTTCTGTCCACCGGAGATTGCGTTTTGGTGCACACTTTGAGTGCCTTCCTGACTGAATGAATAAAATACATTGTTTTCCACCAAGGCAACCCGGGTGCTGAAATTTAATTGGCTAAACTGGCATTGGGCGGGTTAAATGACCAAAACAAAGACAGACGTTCTGCAACGTAACGCCAAGCAGAATATCTGACTTCAGCATTGTTTTTTAGATAAACAAGAATGTTTACTCGGCTTGTTTCTTAAATATCTGCAAAAATGTTATGGCATTTTTATGCTTAAGAAGAGTTTAAAACAAGCAAGATTATCTGCCAGTGGGGTAAGAAAAATAATCTTGTTTTCGCTTTGAAATTGTCAGATTAATTGGTTTGTTTCAAGGAAAAACTCAATTGATTTTAAGTTTTTATTACTACAAACAAGACATTTTTTAAAATTTGTCTAAAAAATGCTTCCTGATTTACGAATTCTTAGATATTTGACCAAGAAACAAGACATAAATGAAGAAAAACATTTTTGTACATTCATAAAAAAGAGAGGAAAGAAAAAAGAATCTGCCACAAGACAGAAATCATGTTTTGTGAATAGTGCGTCAAGGAGGCACCAGCAGGTATGAAAACATTGTTCTGCTTGCTTTGCTGGAGAGGAAAAGACAAACTCACGTTCACATTCATTGGCACTGTAAGTCGTGGCTGGTTTCCATGGGAACTGGTTGAAGCCGGGGCAACAGCGATCACATGACGTGCCACAAGTGTTGTGCTGGCAGTCACACTGAAGCCTGAGATACACAGACATTAGAGACAAGTCACAGGTTAAACGACCAAAACAGTCACAAATGTTTGTACCTTAAAACAGTTGCACAAAATAAACTAAGATTAATTGGGTCACACTTTACAATAAGGTTCATTAGTTAATGTTAATTAATGCATTTACTAACATGAACAAACAATGAACAATACATTTACCACTGTATTTGTTCATGTTAGTTAACGTTAGTTAATGAAAATACAGTAGTTCATTGTTAGTTCATGTTAACTCATGGTGCATTAACTAATGTTAACAAGCATGGACTTGGATGTTAATAATGCATTAGTAAATGTTTAATTATGATTAGTAAATCCTGTACATGTGTTGTTCATGATTAGTTCATCTTAGTAAATGCATTAACTAATGAACCTTATTGTAAAGTGTTACCATTAATTGTGTTCTTGATGACACTTTGACCAACTTTTCTGAAGCTCTAAACATCACATTTCTACTTATTCACATGCTTTTAAACAATTTTCAGGTAAAGCAGATTTTGTCAGGTACTAAAAATATCATTAAATGTGTACTGAAGTATTTTTACACTACATATACGGTTGAAACCAGAAGTTTACATACACTAAAAAAAGGAACAACCATTTTTTTTTTTAATTTCTGATGGTAAATCATACTAAACGTTTACTATTTTAGGTCCGTTAGGATTACCTTAATGATTTACATTTGCTCAATGCCAGAATAATGAAAAAATCTTTTTTATTAATTTCAAGACAGTCAAAAGTACATTCATTTCCTTGGTATTTTTTAAGCTTTGCTTTTAAACTGTATAACTTTGGTCAAATGTTTTGGGTATCCTTCCACAAGCTTTTCACAATAGTTTGAAGGAATTATGGCCCATTCCTTCTGACAGAACTGGTGTAATTAATTCAAACTTGTCAAGCTTTTTCAATTCTGCCCACACATTTTCTATAGGATTGAGTTCAGGGCTTTGTGATGGCCACTCCAAAACATTCACTCTGTTGTCCTTAAAGCACTTGTTAACTATTTTGGCAGAATGCTTAGGGTCATGATCTGTTTGGAAGACTCATTTGTGGCCAAGTTTTAATTTCCTGGCTGATGTCGTGAGATGTTGCTTCAGTATTTCTACATAACGTAATTTCTTCATGAAGCCATCTATGCTATGAAGTGGACCACTCCATCCTGTAGCAAAACAACCCCACAACATGATGTTGCCGCCTCCATACTTCACAGTTGGGATGGTGTTTCTAGGCTTGTAAGCTATTCCCTTTGTACTCCAAATGTAACACTAGTCATTATGGTCAAACAGTTCAATCTTAGTTCTATCAGACCACAGGACGTCTCCATAAATTATTCTTGTTCCCAGTGTAACTTAGCAAATTGTTATCTGGCTTTTTTTTTTGTTGATTCTGGCTTGTTGATTTTCCCATGTTGTCACACAAGGAAGCAGTGTGTTTGAGGTTTTCCCTAAATACTATTGTACAGTTGTGCCTCCAATTAACTCAAATGTTGTCAATTAGCCAATCAGAAACTTCCAAAACCTTGGCACCATCATCTGAACTTTTTTAGAGGCATAATGACAACCCTGCCTCATTGTGGAAACGTAGCCCCGCGGACGTTTCTGCGGACCGCGATTTACGTCCCGGGAGGTACCTTTCGAGCGTTTTTTGTTTTCACGGAGCCACGAGAGGCCGATGTGCGCGCTTTTTCGCGTCTCGGGCGCCTCTCGGGAGCGCGCGCCGTTCGCGCCGTTCTTGTGCGAAAAGCCGCCGGATCGGCCGACTCGGCTGCCCTCCTCTTCCTCCTCCTCCTTCCCTAAACCCGAGCAACGGTCGCAAAAGCCGTCCAGAAAAAAAAAAAGCAAAAGCCCTGGCATTCGATTTCGACCGCGTTTTCGGATCCCGCTGCGTTCTCGCCCTTATTTTTCGGATTACGTTTTTCGTCTTACCTGATTTCCGGAACCGCTGTTTCCCGGACTCGATCCCGGTCTTTGTCCCCGCGGCCGGCTCCTCCTCCTTCTCCGGGGCCTCTGCCGACGCAACGCTGTGAGCTAAGCGGACAAACTGGTTGCATTGGGAAAGCCCTCTACTCGGAGGCGAGCCGTCGGCTCGAAAAAAACTAAACGCGGCCTTACGTACCTCCGGCCACGTAAATCGCGGTCTCCAGAAACGTCCGCAGGGCTACGTTTCCAGAATGAGCTTGGGTTGCATAATGATCTTATTGTATGTAAACTTGAATTTCAAGAAAAGTTATAACAATTTCTCAAAAAATATCTCTCTTATAATTCTGCTATTAAGCATAACAGAGACAAATTTGATAATCTTAACTTACCTAAAAGAGAACAAGACATTAACAATAACATCTGACTTTTTTAAATGGTTATGTGCCTTTTTATTTGTTTTTATGTATGTAAACTTCTGGTTTCAACTATACATGTTAATTATATGTTTGCCATACATTAAATGGTCTAAACTCTAAATCAGGACATATTATAGTGTAAAGGACCTTGAAATAACTGCATTAAAGTTATATAAATAATAAATTTATATATTAATATGACAACTTTTAAAGAATTTAATAAATAAAAGAATGAGTGAATGCATTTTAAACTGTAGAACAGAGCTTCAATGTGAGTCTTGTATAGAAATGTCACTTCTTGACACTTCGTTTCATGCGAATCACTCTATCTTGAGGCGCCAGAATATGCAAATCCTAAAGTGCTTATTGTCTATGTGCATCAAATGAGCCACACAAGAGCTGAAAGTGTTTTTATTCAAGTGTCTACCCTCCTCATTGACCTTGCTGCTTCCAGGAAAACAGTGAATTGGGATGATGCAGAGGCTTTAAAACTCAGAGTTTGAAAGGGTTAAGTTCTTCACGCTTGCTAAATTTTCCAACGACATCTGAAAAGCTAATCGAATTAGCTGAGACTCGGAGGTCTGCACATGGGTGGCTACATTTACACATGTAGCATCAAAAAACTACATAGCAGATGCTAAAAAAGTGAAGAAAGACCTAAATGATAATCATATTTAATGACCTTCAAACTATGATAATAAAGCATTTATAGTTTTCTAAGAATGGTAAAATGTGAATATAATAGGATAACCAAATAACAATTAAAAATATATATATTTAGATTTCAGGAATAGTTGAGAATTACAATTTTTACAAACTACTACTACTGTACAAACTGCTACTACTACTGCTGCTAACATCTAACTAGAGCTTCACAATTGCTGAGAATCATTCATTTTCCTTCGGATTAGTCTTTATTTCAGAGGTCGCCACAGCAAAATAAACGGCCAAATATTCCAGCATATGTTTTACGCAGAGGACGCTCTTCCAGCTGCAACCCAGTTCTGGAAAACACCCATACACTCTTATTCACACACACTCATACAATACGGCCAATTTACTGTATTCAATTCACTTATAGCGGATGTCTTTGGACTGTGGGGGAAACCGGATCACCAGGAGGAAACCCACGCCAACACGGGGAGAACATGCAAACTCCATACTGAAACGCCAACTGACCCAGCCTAGACTCAAACCAGTGACCTTAAGTCTCAGTTTAAGCGAATGATTGAACAAGTCTGAGATTTTATAATGTATCAATCAGCATTTTTGAACAAATGTCTTGAACAAATTATTCAGTGACCAAAAACAAAAATGTATGGTTGCTGTACCATCACTCTGAGTTTTTTATTAATACAGACAGAAGCATACCAGCTCAAACGAAAGACTCTACAATCTATACATTTACAATACCGATTTGGTGCAGATTGTAAAGTTACAAAAATTTTTTGTTTAACAGCTGTTCGGGTTTTGGTACTCACTACAATAAATACTAAAGAACAGGCAACTAGTTCTGGTTCCCTTCTCAAAACATTCTGTTTGTAAAATGTATTATATTATTATATCATTTATTTAGTAAAGTAGTAATTTTTTTAATACTTTGTGAGTTTGTTGGATTGCTTTCTCACTATAACCAAACTGCTCCAGAGTTCGTTTCAATCGAGCCGAGACCACCTCATTTAGGTGGTGATGGACTGATTTATGCCTATTGCGGGTTTCACATATTCCCAATCGAACTGCACTAGGAGGGTAAATGCACCAGGTTCCGAAACAAACTCTAGGGGCTCTATTTTGACGGTCCATGTGCAAAGTGCAAAGCGCAGGGTGCAAACGCTTTCAGGGCGTGTCAGAATCTACTTTTGCTAATATGAGGACGGAAAAATCCGCTTTGTGCCGTAGCGCATGGTCTAAAAGGGCTGAGCTTATTTTCTTAATGAGTTAAAGGTGTGTTTTGAGAATAAACCAATCAGAGTCTCATCTCCCATTCCCTCTAAGAGCCAGTTGTGTCGCGCCTTTGCTATTTACATGACGGAAATTGTAAGTGGAAAAACTGAGCGCTTTAGAGAAACAGTGAAACAAAGCATCTACAGTGCGAGTATCAGAGATAAGGCGTCTCATTATCTACTTTCACTTTCGCTCTCGTGGATAGTGTAACCTTGTACGCACAGACATCAATTAGCCTATAAATAATTAATTTTGTTAAAGAGCAAAGATTTGTTTCAAAACTATTTCTAAATTCAGTTCTAATTTCCAGCAAATGAATAAATGAACAATAATAAGGAAGTGTGGTCAAAAAACCAAATACACATGCTGTGCCCCATATGGTCTAAAACCTGACAGGTGGGCAAATCTAAATTAGTTTTTAATAAAACAAATACAAATATGGATATAATAAATAGTACTGCTAGTCTCCTTATAATGATAACATTATACAAAAGCAAATTGTTACGAATTAACTGAAAAAGCCTCCCGAGATGAAGAAGGCATGAAGGCAGTTTTTAAATTTATGTAGGCTAGAAAATGATATGTTTAGTAATTTTTTAATCCTTAATATTTATATTCCAAATATATCCTTATTATATCCTATATATTCATTCATTTCATTTATTTTCTTGTCGGCTTAGTCCCTTTATTAATCCG